AATCTGGTGGAGGTGGAAAGAGAAAGAAATGCATTGTCACTTAGCCTTTGCTCTCAGGACAAGCCAGCTGCATACTGAATGTTAGGTTTCCATGCCTACCCTCTCTCTACAAGTCCTCAGGAGATGGTGGCCCAACTGTGAAGAAAGCGACAATCTGGTTAGCTTTTAAAATAGGATCTATTCGGGGAGTAGTTTAAGTATTGTACTTATTTGCTTACTTTGTGGGTAGGCAGGACAGTTCCGACCTTCCATTTGTATCTTGGTTCAGTGTAATATTTCAAATTTGGAATGCTTCATGCAATCTTAACTACCACAAAATCCAATCCTGTTTGAAGCTTTCCCATGGTTAAATTATAACTGAACTAGCTACCTTAATAACTACGCATTTCCCCGTCCATAACATTTTTTAAATTGGTTGTGCGTTCATTAGGTTAGCCTAGACCATGTTTTACATACAGCATTTTTTCGGTGATGTTATTACAGGATTTCTGAAACAAAATTTAAAAATCTGATCTTCATTATAAGCAGTGTATTAATATAATGAATAGTTTGCCTTCCTAGCATTGTGGTGTTTAATCTTGTACAGTAATTTAGTGAAACAAGCTCAACATTTGATTATCAAAAATGTATATAATTTTGAATAAGAAGCAGTGGTTGAGCATTACCAGGGTTGCCCCAATTACATCTGGATTATTTCTTTGTGGAATTGTTATCTAGAACATAGATTTTTGTATTTCAAATGGCAATATCTATTTATTTTCCTGTAGTTTTACTTTGCACCTGTTCAAGACTAGCAGGAAATATTACAGCCTTGCCTTTCTCAACTTAAACAAGTATAGCATCCACTTCAGCCACAGATTCAAATGTCTGAATTCATGACAAATAAGTAATCAGAGTTCTTTCTGCCTTCCATAATGAATATATGAGAGATGTAAAAGGTCTTCTAAAATTGTTTTGATGAAATATAACTTTAGGCTATTATCTCCTTTCTGTTTATTTCTAGTTTTACACTGTATCTTTCAACTAATTCAGTGTCAGATAAATGCTCCCGTTTATTTCCCTGCTACCATCAACTAACCTGGGCGGTTCCTTGGCGATGTTTAAAATTAACAGTGGTTGGCTATAAAATGCTCAGTATATATAGGGCTTTGTTGTATCCCAAGCTGAATTCTACCAAGGTGTGTGAATAGGAAAGAAAATCCAGTTTAGTTTAACTAACCTTCTGCTCTTTATTATTGTTCTGTGATTTTTTTGGGTGATATTCAGAATATTTGCTCTTAAGTGGGAGGTTATATCCCATTTTAATAAAAGTTTCAGTATTAATTGAATACTGAATTACACACTTGTTTAAAATGCAGACCATTAAATTTAATGTTCCAGACATTGATGTACAAATAAGCCTTTGTTTTAATGTTGCGTGCATTGTTATTTGCTCTTGCTGGACAATACCCAGGCCCGCACAAGCACGGGATTCATCAAATCTATTCCAAATTTACCAGTGCATGCGGGTTGTATAAATAAGGAGATGAACAAGTCTATTAGTGCATGGAGTCCTGTAGCTCAGTGGTTAGAGCACTAGCCTCGCAAGTGAGAGACCTGGGTTCGATTCCCAGGTAGGGCGAAACATTGGGCAAGTTTCCTTACTTACTCCACACGTCTCTCTTTACCTAGCTGTAAGTAGGAACCCGATTGTTAGTCGATTGGCAGATCGTTTTTCTGGGGGGAATAGTTCCTTAAATAAAAAAAATTGGTCACTTAATCCACGACCGTTTGTGGGACATTGCTGTGCACAATTGGCTGCCGCGTTTCGTCCACAAATATACAGTTAATTCACGTTACAGTAGATACTGTGAAGCGCTTTGAGAGATCTCAAAGGCGTGATAAGGCGCTATATCAAATGCAAGGATTCTTATTATTTATATTGGTATTGTACTTTAAAGGTGCATAAAGCTGAAACTGTTGTTCGAATATTTCGAAACTTGTATCAGAAACCAAATAAGATTGATGAAAGCAGGTTTAGTTGCTTTAGTAAATTGTGTAACAGCTGTCTTCAGTCTTTCTGAGTAGGAAAGCATTACATGATGTAGCATTGATTTGAACAAATTACAGGTACATTGCCATTTGTTATGTTTTATGCCATTACATGTCTTCCCCTTCTAATATTCAAGACCATGTACTGTATTCACTTTTTAAAATAGAAATTAGTTGGTTTGCACAATTAATTCGCTATGTTTGCTGGATGTTTAAAATTTGGAATTGTGCCTATTTTATAGACCTTTCCCATTTAATTTTCCTCTTTAAAGGAGAAACCCTAAATGAAAAATCTTCTTCCGTTTCCGTCTCCTAAAATATTAATTCGGTGCAATAGGGTGGGCAGCTCAGAAGTTTATAGGGAGGACTATGTTGAGATGTTCAGCTTCATAATTTGTAGTGAAGACAAGACTAAAGCGATGTTGGAATGTGATACTGTAGTGAAGAGAAGCTGAGAAGATTAAGACTTCTAGGTTTGCGAGCCAAAACGGCTGGGATTTCACATCCATTATCCACTGTTGTATTCATTCTTTTGTTCCTTGTTCACCTCGTAGTGAAGCACAGGTTGCTGCTTACATTGCACGTAGCCATTGTTATTGCAGTACTGCTACACACTGAATCCCACTGTTCATTTTACACATTTTAGAAATTGGTAAAATATGGCAAAATACTGCAGTATAGATTTTGCTTTAATGTGCGTAAATTATTTTGTTGGTTATGTTGTTTGAAACGGTGACCGGCTGAATATAACAATTCCATTTACCAGCTACGTTTAAAGCAAGAACATGACTGATGATTCTTGTTCCTACTTTTGTATTTTGTCTGCTGGGGTAGGTTAACACGCAAAATATACAAAAGGTAAAAGATCTATGATTGCATTTAAACAAGTGAAGTACAGTTAGAGTTTCTCAAGTAGGTATGTCTAAAGATTATTATTTTCCATGCTAGCATTTTTGCTACCAGTACAGATTCCCAATATATGTTAACTACTAAATATACTTTTTAAAAAGCTAGAAATCTGGTTGGTACATTAATACTGTTTTTGCTTGAGAAATGCCCTTTGCTACTCTTTCATTTCCCTCTCACCCCCTCATCTCTCCTTGAGAAGTTTCGTTGGGTCCGTTTTTCAGTCACATCCAACTGACAGATTGTGTTGAATTTGACATCCAGAAAGCAACTGCAAGAAGTCTTCCTGTTTAAAGTTAGTTTTGCTTTCATGAGCCACTCTGCCACTCATCTCTACAGTAGGTTGAAATTTACACGTTCTTCAGCTGACAAGTACAATTTAAGATGAGCAATTCGGAATCTTTTCTTGCAGTGTCCACTTATTCTGGAAAAAAAACACTTCTGCTGTTGGAAACTCTTAGCTTTTGACCCCTTAATTCTTTTGAAGTCGGGTTTCCAGACAAATTTATCTATGTTACACGTGTATGTACTGTATAATAATAATAATAATAATACTTGTGTTTGATATAGCTCCTTATCACGTCTTCGAGACATCTCAAAGCGCTTCACAAAATATAGTGTGAAGTGAATTGATTGGAATGTACATTTATATAGTGCCTTTCATGTTGTGCTATAACTAAAATAGTATCCTCAGATTGGTCAACTAGTGAGCTTTAACCATGATGTTAGATTATATTGATACTGGATGAACCTAACAGGAGATTGTATTTGAGGGGGGGAAAAGACTGAATATTCTATTTGATAGTCTTATTTGCTTGGGGGAAGAAACAACATGTTGGTGCAGTCTACCTTCAGAATGAAAAGTCATCCTGGACAAAGAACTGCTGTGGACTCCTGGACATTTGCCATGAATATTTGGAAATTTGAGTAGTAATTTTGCTACTTTTAGTTTTTTTGGATGATGGACAAAAGATTTGCATTCATTATCCTGTTTGTTGTCACGGGAATTTTTTTTTAAAAACTACTGAAGGTTATGTAAAAACTCAGCTCCATAGATGTGTTTTTGCAATCTGGGAATTTTGAAGTTGCACAATGTTAATTAATATGTTATAGTTGGATTATAAATATCAGTCCCTCTAATGAAGTACAGTATTATTCATCACAGACTTATTTGAGTAGGCTGTACTAAGCATGTAGTTGGAAGAATATGGTTAGTTTGATGTTTATAAGTGCTGTGCAATCTGTGAATACATTTCATCTGGCCACACAATGGACCCAACATTGAGTGCCTAGTTTTTATTCTCAAGGAGGTAGGTTTAACCTATGATGAATTCTAATGCGTGTTTGTTCATTGTCCAAGAATTATACTGTCTAGATTTTTGTTTACAAAGATTACAATTTTAAGCAGACTTTTAATGGCAATACAATATCGGACAGGAACCATGGGCCCTTCAATTCTTCCCCTGAAATAAGAGCCCTGAAATGCCACCTGGTCTTAAAATTGTAATAAAATGCAAGATTGTGGAGAATTCTTAAATTTGACCTATTTTGGAAGCTGGTATTCCAATACTCTTAAAAAAGAACAGTAGTTCAAATTTTAAATCAAAATTGTTTGACAGATGAAGATTTGGGAGTAGATGGAATTTCAAACGTAAAACGTCTTCAAGGACAACCAGAATTGTCTAGTTAGCAGAGAACAGGTGGGACACCACAATTAAATTTAGTGCCCATGGATTAAGGAGTAAAAGTCATCCATGTTTCCCTCTTCCCTCTATCCAGAGACCACAGTTGGAAACTGTTTCTTTGTGGACAGGATCAGACTCAGTTGTGATGTCCCATGGGATCAAAAAGCTTTCAAATCCTCTTGTCAAAATGTAGTATGAATGATAGGTTAATTGAGGTACTAGAGGTGCACCAACGCGGATGGAACGTGCTCCAGCAGAAGTAAAATCTGTTCAGAAAGAGGGGAGAGAGGGAATTTTAAAGAGAACAATTGTTTGGGGGAAATGCATCTTTAGTAAGCCATAAAATATTGTTACAATTAAATCTTGTTTTTTTTTCAGATACTGTATAAGCATCATGAAGGTACATCTGCATACAAAGTTTTGTTTCATTTGCTTGTTGACATTCCTCTTTCACCATTGTCACCACTGCCATGATGATCATCATCATGACCATGACCATAATCATGGTACTGAGGAGAATCACCTGCATAAGCATAATGATTATCAAATCTCAGAGGAATCGTACCTTCAAAACAACCCCACCAAGGTTTCTCTACAAAATGCAGAAAGTAAGCAAATGTATTACATTCAGAAACTGTTCAGTTATTATGGTGAAAATGGGAAATTGACATTTCATGGTTTAGAAAAACTCTTAACAAGCTTAGGTCTTGGAGAAGTGAAAGTTGTAGATTTAGAGCATGATAATGATGGACATGATCATGTTTCACATCTAGATCTCTTAGAAGCAGTAGAACGGAAACATGTACACTCCCATTCACACTCCCATCATACAGGACGTGTCAAAACTGTACCTAATCCCAAGGTGAAAGGTAGTCGTTGTACCAGAGCAGACAGCAAGAACATACGCTCCACTTTAAAGCCGGCAACTGTTGAAGTTGCTCAACGTCATCATCGTCATCATCATCGGCACCACCATCATCGCACCTCCCCCCATCCTTCTGAAAGTACAGTCAATCATAAAGACGGAGAACAGTTCCCTGAATCTTCAGGTCCCAACGTGTTACATGAAAAACCCCAAAGAAGGTCAAGGAAAAGCAAAAAGCATAAGGTTGTATTGAAACAACCAGAAGGGACATTCACGCCATCTCCAGTGGAATCTTTAACTGCTCTGTCAACAAGTGATCATGATAATGATCTGCATGTTCATGAAGAGAAAACAACTCATCAACCAAGAGCGAAAAAAGACTTGGGTACCTCAAAATTAATTCATGAAGAACACTTAGAAGCAGAACCTGGCCATGATGAGGTAAGATTACAAAATCAAATTGCGTAGAGTTTTAACCATGTTTTGTGGGATTGAGTACATAGTTGGATAGATCTTTGCTCAGTTCTGCTAAGTCAATTAGTTCCAGGTCAAGAAATGGTGAGATGCTGCAATCAACCTAAATATCCCCGAGCTTGGGAAGACACACACAGGATTCCTGTATCTATGTGATCATTATTCATTGTTTCCTTCTAAGGACCTTGCTTTTCATTGTCAAACAGTCTGTCAAATTCACTGTCTGGTTTTGCTCATGAAGAATAACCACTTGAGCGTGAGGTTCTGGAAAGCTAAGGGACCATCCTCCAGTCTTGAGTCACTGTCCTCAGAGGGGAGAAAAAGAGTGGTATTTGGATTCAAAATAAGTATATTTTAAATAATATGTAATCTAGAGGGTGAATCGGTGTGGTAATCTATTTTGTCACTACACTTTTTTTTAATATAAATTTCGAGAATTTTGTGCAAATATTGAAATTTCATCAATTAGGTGCAAGTTCTGTTCCATTTTATTGGAATCCAGTGGTAGTAATACTGTATTACATTGACAAGTTTTTTTTATAAGGTGGTATTTAAAGGGTTAATGTTTTCCCTCACTTTGTGTTTTTCTCAAGGAATTGTTTGTATGTAATTTAGAAATTAAATACCTGAAAGGGGTGCTGCTTTACAAAAGCACAACTCACATTATTAACTGTGGTCTGAGAACGGACGGTAATTACCCCTATTAATTTTGTACCTGTATTAATTGGTGAGAGAATTGGAACATTTACAATGCATTTATTGTTTCTAGTGCTTGAATGTTTCCCAGCTGCTACAACATTATGGTCTTAGCACGGATTTGGGGATTTCTCCAGAAGAGTTTACGTACTTGTGTCCTGCTTTGATTTACCAAATTGATAGCAGGGCTTGTATCAAGCACCATAAATTGAATACGGAAACAGCAGACAATGAAGATTCTGCATTATCAGGTGAGACGTACATTTTTAATGCGAAGTAACAATAGCTTTCATTACATTTTGCCTTGGCATATGGCTGCATATATTAGTCCTTAACCCCAGCCCTGTTTCCTTCCCTTGATTACTGTCCATTCACATCTTGTGAAGGTGTGCGTGTGTCAACATCACGTGATCATACTTATTGTTTCAGTATCGACAGCGAAATTGCTTATTGATATTGCAGGTTCTCCAAGAATAGTTCAGATCACATCACATCAGCTGTACTGGCCTTGAAATACTAACAGAATTTCTTCCTAAATTCTTTGTGAAACAATGCACAGCTGGTAATTTATTTTTTAAGACTACTACATCATTAAGGACGGTAGGCTCATTCTGATTATTACTCCCATGGTGACAGTGTTACTGTAATATCTCATTAACTTGGTTGAAACACTGCAATGAAGAAGCAAGCTATCGGCTGTTTGTGGCAGATGATAGTTCAGTTCACGGGCTGAGCTAATTCTCTCTCTTAATGTTGACCCCTGCAGTAATTATCAAGGGATTACTTTTTAAAGGCTGCTAAGCACTTGCTTCCAATTAAAATGCTTAAATAGTGAAGAATACACTCATCCCACGGAAGCTTTGAACCATGATAATTAGAAAGTTTGCATATATTGCTCTTTATAAAAAAAGAGCATTTTTCAGAAAATGGCTTAGGGAGAAGGTAAATATGCCTAAAGACTGTTGAATGCTTCAGATTGACCTGGACTATTGCCCACATTAAGTATATTTAAATGTTTCCTTTGCTTGTATCTTAACAAATACATTTGCTGTATCCATATGTTATATGTGCTACTTTTGCTTTGTGTAACACTACGTTAATTTTCAGCACTGTAAAACATTAAAATCTTGTCCGAAATGATTAAATGCTAACCGGTAAAGCCTAAACAAATTTAATGTTACGTGTCCTTGAAGTCTACTTAAGAACTGTTTTAATTATTATTATTTCGAGCATGCAGGTTAGACCCAATTTGTTCAGAATTGGAAGGAAACTCTGGTGCATTCAGCTCAAAAATATGACCAATTGAAAACTGTATAAATCGGAGGCTTTTCCCCTTTGCCTAAACAAGCAGATTATTTTGAATAAATGAGGTTGTAATGGGAAAATAATTTTCTACAGTTGATGTTTGCAGGATATATTTATGAACCAAGAATGGCTCAAATAAATGATCTGCAATGAAGGTGCATCATTGTGTTACCAGACATATCTGGCACTATGAATTTATTATTTTTAATTAAAAATTAAACGCTGAAAACATGGTATCTTCAAAGGTATTGCTGCAGTGTGAACTTTTCCTTATGCATGCTGTACTTGGCTTTTTCAAGAGCAAGGCATGCTCAGAATCTTCCCATGGAGGCAATAATTTCTCCTTTATCTTTTGAAAATATTTCCAGATCTGTACAATAGTTTGCAACTATTTGTAGCCTGTGCATATCCACCATGACATGAAGCCCATAAATATAGATGACGCTCAAATAAATAGCGTAAGCACATAATATATTTCTGAGACACATTAAAAAAAAATTAAAAATTAAAAAAAAACCACTCCTGAATGTATCCACTAATTATTCTTCAAACAGAATCCCACGTGATTTTTAAAAAAAAAAAATTCTTTTTCATTTCTCCTTTTCTGAAAGTTTGGGTCGGTGTTTGGTCCCATTGACGATGTTAACTCTCTATGACCTTTCCTAAGTGATAATTCTCCACGAATAAAGTCTAATTTGAGGGGGTTAGGCATGACCGGCAAACAAAAGCCTATGGTCACTTTGTACAGTATGAACTTCCCCAAGAGATCACCGGATAGTGATGAGAAGGGAGAACTCTGGTTCCCCTCTCCCCATTTCCCATTCTCGGTTACGATCAGCTTACTTGAGATGAACCTGGCTCAGTGCATTTGCCCACATAGTCATTGGAGAATCCCTGAGATCTCATGTTATTTATGTGCCCTCCCTTCTCTTCCAAAGGCATTGATTCCATCTTTCTTTTCGGTTTGTTTTCATTGCCTCAGTTGACTCTGGTATCTCATTGTATTTTGGTTAACCAGGTGTTGGACACATCACAAACCCATCACCGTGCTTAAGAAAATCCAAACCTGTCTGAGAGTTCCACATATGTATGCCACCTACACATGGAATTTTTTCTATTTCTGGAGTAGAATACGTACTCTCCCTGGATTCATCTTGCTTAATTCTGGAACCAGAAAAGGTCACTATCCCCATCAAACAAACTAATTCATGGTGGTGAAAATGATGTAATTCAAATCTGCAATTCAAGTTTCAAATGATTGAAGATGTTTAGTATAATAATAATCCTTGCATTTGATATAGCGTTTTATCATGTCAGTGAGACGTCTCAAAGCGATTCACAGAATATATTGTAAAGTGTGTTTTGTGGGCGAAACGTGAATGTGGAATAAATTACTGTGAATTTATTGTAATGCTTGATAAGATGCTTGACATACCCTCCTTTAGTATCAGCAACCTCTGATCCATATATTCCTTTGTGTGTGTGTTTCCTCTGTCTCACTGTAGCGCTAGAGTGTGTCGTGAATCATATTTTTCTGCAGTCGTAAATTTTAGCGATTTTAAAACCAAAAATGTTGTTTTTGCTCAGTGCCCATGAAAGAGCTGAAAGAAGGTTTATTAAATCGCTTGTGAGTGGCTGTTTATCATCCAAAATTATGGCAATAATCTTTGCAGAGAAACATTCAAGTTAATTAACAGCTTTTTTGTTCTCGTTCTATATCATTGGGTATATGAGTAATGATAACAAATGAGATTAGAACCTAATCTTCATGTGGTAGATTTATGATGTTTCGAGTTTAACAAAAGAATTCAAATGCAAACCTGGAAGTGCCCTGTGCATTCAATAATGGAAATTCAAGTGTGAAACATTAATCTTGTGGTAAAGATGTAAAATACTACATCAAATACTACATTGATACGACTGCAGAACTGTGGCTTGTACTACAGGTGAAAGCATTTGAGTGAGGCTGGAGAAAATTACAGCGATAGGGAGGAGAAAGGACATGAAGTGATTTGTAGATAAGGATGAGGATCTCAAAGTTGATCTGATGAGAAACAGTCGAGCAGGTGAGGACAGTGGTGATGGACAGGCAAAGTTTGGGGTAGGTGAGGATGCATGCAGTGGAACATTGGATAAGTTAGTTATAAGCTGTAAATGTTGGAGGCCAGCGAGGTTGGCATTTGAAAAGTCTACTCTGGAGGTGACGATGATGTGAATTAGCAGCGTAGGGCAGCGTTCTGGCCAACAGTCCCTCCCGAAAATAAGGTTGACCAGTCACTTCATGGCTGCTCGTGGGATATTGCTGTGGCCAAATTGGCTGCCGTGTTTGCCCACAAAAACACCTCACTGCACCTTACGGTAAAATACTGTGAAGCACTTCGAAACATCTTCCCAACGTTAAAATGTGCTACGCCCAATATAAGTAAAACTCGCAGAAGTCATACATCCACCCGAGTTCAATTCAGTTTCCTATCAAAACCACTTAGATGTATTTGGACTAGTCGTATTTATTACCTCCTAACTTGTAAAACCGCTCCCCTATCCTCCATTACTCCTGCACTTACCGGCTGCACTGAATCACGGGAAACGATCTCCTGACCCATCCATGCACGTGCACCTACATAGCGGCTGCATAGACCGTAAGCACAATCAAAAAGGAAGGTCTTTAGGCAGGATTTGAAAGGGGGGGATGCTCTTGTATATTTTGAAATAAACATTTATTTTTGAAGTATATCTTTGTTTATCGCTAAGATTTTCAAGTTGGAGCCTCAGTGTAACAGTAAAGAGGAGATTCAATGCTGCTGGCGAAATTGTCAGTTTGAGTTATTTTGAACCATTTCACTTTTGCTAAATTTTCTTCCAATTCTATGGTTTCAAAGACATACAACATGAAGTTACATTAACCGATGTAAACATTTGTGTATATTGTTTGCCATGGCATTCTATTTGTTGTTGTGAAATGCTCAAAAGAATTTTGCCGAGATTGTACACCGATACAACATATTTCTATGTTTTTGGGGTGCATTTTGCACCCAGTTTTTTGTATCTCTATCATGTAGAATGCTAATTGCAGCTTTTATGTTTGTTATAAATTCAATTTTGAGATTTGTAAACACTTGAGCTGTTACAAGTTTGTCTTGTCTGCACGTTGTGTCAGGTGGTTAGGAGAATTAGAGAGGCAGAATGTAGTCAATTTATTAGTGACTAATCATTCAAAAAGAAAATCATGCATGAGATCTCGGATAATTTAAGCATTCTAGCATGACAGGTCATTACTTTTCTCATTTCATTTACAGGTATATTGATTTCATACTCGTTTCACGAGAGAGGAATTATACAAAATCTTTGGTTCTAGTTCCATGTTCCTTTATCCTATTAGCTCTGCATTTAACCAAACACCAAATTGACACCAATGCGCAGCATTTGCTACCAATTATCACCTTAAAAAAAGCACATAGCCTGCTGGAAGAAAAATCTAATCTATATTCAGAAAAATTAATACATTGAATTTTAGGGATGCCCTAGGAGATAACCTGTGAACTGAAAGATTTGGTTGAGCAATCCTGACTTGAAATAATGCCTGGTTTAGGTGCTTCAAGCTGTCTTAGGTCAGCACATAAAGCTAAAGCAACTATGTTTTTATCTGATTATCAGACATTTTCATGGAGATTTATGCAGTAATGTGGCAACCTTGGCTTTGAGGTGGACCAAATTGAAGTACTGTATTAAAGTATAAAATAATATAAAACATATCCTCTGGTATTGATTTAGATCGAAGTAGTTAATAGTGGAATGTCTATAGAGGTCAGTTTATTAGAATAGAGTTTAGAGTTCAATATGCATTGTATTCCTCAAGCAAATGTATGGGGGAGCGTAGGGAGTAATTAATCAGTGCTGCAACATTCTGCAATTCAACATCTGAGTGGTGAATTAAGGCAGTGGCTGCACAAAGCTGTGCTGCTGACAGTCGGGTTGGTTTTGGTTGTCATTAAAACTGATTTGTAGTTACACTAAAAGTTCTTGAAATTCTCAAGACTAAAAACCTATATTGTACTTGAACCTGAGTGAAATCTTACAAATAGTCTGTGTCTAGGCTGAAACTTATTCAACAGTGATTACCTTTATCCGACGTGAAAGAATCTTTCCAGAGAATCAATTGAATCCAAGTCACGATTACAGTAGAATAAATTGCTCTCACTGTTGTTAAGCAGATCACGTTTTGACATTTTGTGGTAATTTTGCGTATTTTTCTGAATCAGTTCTTTCTTACACAGCTTGGATATGGGGGCTCATCTCTGTCACAATCATAAGCTTGCTGTCTGTTCTGGGTGTGGTCCTTGTACCTATCATCAATCAAGTATGCTTTAAGTTTCTTCTCACGTTCCTGGTGGCTCTGGCAGTGGGCACTCTCAGTGGAGATGCATTACTTCATCTCATGCCACATGTAAGTAATTTCATAAAATTTTAAAAGATTTTAAAAGGTGCAATTTTAGTGTTGAAAATATTTTGTGCCAGTTCATTCAGCACATGTGGTATAAAGATGGCAAGTTGTATTAGTCTCCACATACGGTAGGATATTGCCCTTTGACCACTTAGTGATACAGTAATTGCTTTTAAGGAATGTCTCACAGTGAATTGACTGTATACTTTGTGGGCAAAAGTCCAATTGACGTGCAGACCTTGAATGAATAAGGCTGATACTCCAGTGCCGCACTTGGGGAGTGCTGCATTGTTAGAGGTGCTGTCCTTCCGATGTGATGTCAAACCATCTTCCTGTTCGGGTGGATGTTAAAGATTCCACGGCACAATTCAAAAATGAGGATGTTTCTTCTGGTGTCTGGCCATCATCCCTCGAAGTACATTGGTCAGTCACTTTAGTCATTCAAATGCAAGAACATCTGTTCTTGTCATATGTGGGAACTCGTGATTGTAAAATTTTCCACTGATACCTATAGAAGCTTTCTGCATACTTTTTTTAAAGACTATTTATGCCAGGCTTCTAGTGAACTTCAGATGCAGTTCATCAATGTTGCATTCTTTCCTCAAGTACCTGAAATAATATGAATGTATCAGGAAACAAAATGCTTAATGATTTATTCTGGCTCCTGTGTTTTTTGGCATAAATAGGCGCAAGGTGGCCATGATCACAGTCATGATGCACATCATCATGATCACGGACAGAATCATACTCAAGGGGAGGATGAAACTACTGAAGGGCTTCTTACAACCTACAATGCGTTGTGGAAAGGCCTTACAGCTTTAGGTGGTATTTATCTGCTTTTCATCATTGAACATTGCATTGGCATATTCAGAGATCGCAGGACTAGAAAGGTAAGCTGAGAACATGTGGATTTTCCTTCCTACAGAATCAGTGATGCCATGTGATTTTGTGAATGTGGACAACTGGAAATGGAGTCTCTGCAGTTGATTTGATTACATCCTTTTATTCATCAGTGCCCTCCTTTCCTGCAACACTACAGTGGCCATTTTGCTTTCCGTACTCCTCTATCATTGCACTTCATTTGATAGCAGCACAAACAAGGTCTGGGGAATTTTCATTTAAAAAGGCAGCCATCGGAATATTAGAATATCAGAAACAAAATGAGAGCATTCTAAGGGACAAGCAATTCCTGCTTCTAATCATCATTACTGTACACATCCAACTAAAATCTAATTTCGCTCATAGCTATGAGTTATTCAACTGTGTTGTATGAAACCTAAACCTATGGGAGTAGGAAACAGAGTACTCTATGGAAGAAGAAATCGGTTCATGTTTAACAACTTTTTTGTATATGTAATGTACAGACAAAGGAGCATTAAGGAAAAGGCTACTGATGGAAATTCTAATCCACTTTAGGTGTTTTTGGCATTCAATAGCAAACCATATCCTGGGACAGATCATGCACAGCTTGTAACTATATGTGAACCAAGACTGGTTGTGTATTAATCAGAATTTTTCTGTGCCAGAAAGTATGTTTTAAGTACATGGGAACAGTTTGCTAAGTTTAATTACAGAAAGTTATGAGATTGGCAAACATTCAATATGACTAGAAAATTAAGTAAAACGTTTGAAGGGATTATTTTACCTTTCCAGCTCCTACAAAGCAAATTTCACATAAACATTGGTTGATTAGAAAGTAAGTTGACCATAATTGGAAAGAGTATAAACTTAGACACCAGCAGAACTTAATAATCCTTAGATATTTTATTTTGCTGTTAATAACTAATTGCACATCATTCACTTTATGAAGTTTGGCTAGCTTGAGATGATGGGCATCTAATTAAGTCAAAATATACTGTGCGTTGAAGAAAAATGTTAGTTATCTAATTCACTAAGATTTTAATGAAAATTTCTAAGTATTTTATGACCTGCTGCTACAGCTGTAAAATTATATTACTGTCTAATTGAGCATCTGTGTTAGAGGATCGAACTTCACGTCTTGTAACTAAAGGAGCTGATTTCTATTTTTGTGTATTTAAATTATAGTTAGAATTACAAATACTGTATATTTAAAGCATTACAGTTTTCTAGTCTTCATACATTTTGAATGTTGCAAGGTAAGCTAATTGTATAAGTTGTTTAGAATCAGCAGATTTCTATTTTGTTCTTGGAAACATTCAAGAAATAAAAATGTAAATTAATTTTATTTTTTACTACAAATTCAGGTGCACGCCTGAATTACACATGTGTTAAACATGAAGCATTTGGTTTGGTTGCAAAAGTCCTTCCCATCTGATGTGAGAGATTAAATGGAGTCCTGTAGCTCAGTGGTTAGAGCACTCGCCTCGCAAGCGAGAGACCTGGGTTTGATTCCTGGCAGGGCGAAACTTTGGGCAAGTTTCCTTACTCCACACGTCTCTGTTTACCTAGCAGTAAGTAGGAACACAGATGTTAGTCGATTGGTGGTTCGCTTTCCTAGATGTAACAATTCCTTCAAAGTAAATTTAAACAATAATTTGGTCACTCAATCCACGACTGTTTGTGGGACACTGATGTGCACAATTGACTGCCGCGTTTCGCCCTCAAAATACACAGTCAATTCACTTTACAGTATATTCTGTGAAGCGCTTTGAGACTCTCAAAGACTTGATAAGGCGCTACATCAAATACAAGGATTATTATTATTATTAAATATGAACATTCATGTTGTACCAGGGCAAAAAGAGGTGGCTTAAGAAAAAATCCCTAAGTGGAGAAGCTGCAGTGGGACGAAAATTATCTGATCACAAATTAAACCGTAGATCAGAAGGCGAATGGCTGGATCTTAAAACCATGGGTGGTAAGTGATTGGTCTCCCTCTGTATTCAGACTTAACTTGCAGAATATATAAAACTGGTGGCAAATAGTCTATCATAGATAGCAATTGAGAGGCTTCACACTCCTTCCCCGTGCACCACACTCTCATTCTCACACCTGTCATACTCACTGACTGACTATAAAGAGCTAAAATTGTAAATAACTTGGTAATTCACCTTCAACAAAGGCAAGAAGCAGTTGACATTTAATACTGTGTAGATGTGCAATACGTGTTTCTAAAAAGATATTGGAAATAGCGTGTTACTTTTAAAATGACTACTTTAGTATTTTAAGCACTGAAGATAATTGAACTTCTTTTAGATGACATGAGAAACCTGATGTAATGTAAAGTGTCATTGTGCCATTATAAATCTGTCTTCACGGAAAAAACATCGATACATTATTGTTGCACTGACAAAAGCATTCTTCACTATAGTATGTTGTGCTGCTTGTTTCAGGAGCAGATCAGCTTGATGTTTCTGGTGAGAAACAAGATGTAACCCAGGTTACTGACATCGACTGCAACCAAGAAACATCGTCACAAACATTTAGGACACCTGAAGAAAATGCGATCCTGCCACATGGACACACCAAGAATTTAAAGGCTGTTTACATTCAAGATCCACATGATGTTGATTATATTATTCCAAGTGGAGAAACAGCCATGTCAAAGAAACATAGACATTCTCACTCGCACCATTCACACCATTCCCATGGTCATTGCCATTCCAATAAAGAGATGCAAGATGCCGATATAGCAAATATTGCTTGGATGGTTATCATGGGAGATGGCATGCATAACTTCAGTGATGGGTTGGCAATAGGTAAGAAACAGTGCATTTATCAAAACAATATTTAATGGTATTTTTAATAAACACTACAATTTTTAGTAAATGGAAAACTTGAGCACTTTAGCAGTTACATGCATGTGTGTATATATATATATAATATACAATGCAAAATTACATTTGTATAGTGCCTTTCATGTTGGGAGGATACCTCAAGGCGCTAGTGTGTGTGTGTGTGTATATATATATATATATATATACATATATGTACATTTGCCCTTCTCTACCAACTGATGCAATTCCCTGCTCTACCTACTGCTGGCATTTATTTTTCTTCCATTGGGACATGGGAAAGTCTCATCCGTAGTTGAGTAACATGGCTGTTACTGTTTCTTGCAGCCTTCCAAGTGGCAATATATTTGCTTAGAGATGTTTCTGAATTTTTGTTTCCTGCTGGACTAAGAAATAGCAAAGTTCTGAACAGAGTTGTCACAATGTGTAACTGATTGCAAAGCAAGTGACACGAGACGTTCACACAAATTGTAGGTCACACAAGAGAAAATTAATCTTGAGAATAGCCAGACTGATTGATAAGTGCACAAAGTGGCTTTTCCTGTTTTTTTCAAGATAAAACTGAAGTGATTTTGTGAAGGGCAAAATCTTCAAAAAGTCTTACATTAAATCTTGTAACTGAAACCGATTTGCTTTTGATGCGTCGTGATCTATCGTACTGTGAAAGTGAATTGAACACTGAATGTTTGATGCTACTTTAACAACATTTTGTTTCTCTTCTCCCTTCCCCAGGAGCTGCATTCAGTGCATCTATCACAGGAGGCCTGAGTACATCCATCGCAGTGTTTTGCCATGAGCTTCCTCACGAGCTGGGTAGGTTTTCCATCATCTGTCACACATGCTCTGATCTGAATTGGAAAAGCTAGAAACAATTGCAATCATCATCAAAAGAACAACAATATTAAAAATAACATTTGTCGACTAGTTTCATTGAAGCGAAGCAGCTATTAGCAAAAATTAACATCGTGTTTAGCATTCCAGTAAATGTGAGGTCTCATTTGAGTCAGATTCTGATTTCATTCTTTTGATTCTACAGCCAGCTTTAACGTCTCATGCCTGTGGTGTATAAATAACCGAGCTGTTTGAATTAGTAACTGGCATTTGGTGTCATTAGGACTACAATTTAAAATGTCCATAGAGTAAATAACATTTAGTTTGTTGTAAATAGCACTTCTGTTCGAATTTTTTTAGCTCCACAACTATGGCTCTCAATTTTGCAATGCATGTTCCACCTACTGTATAATCGGGAGTGAATTTGCTTTTCACAAAAGTGTGTTTTGCGGTTTCCAACTGCACATAAATAAGAGCCCAGGAAAACCTCTACTGTGTTCTGAGCTTGTGTGAATGCTGCTTTTTCCCCTTAAATTATGCTGCATCTCTGAATGATTTCTTCAGATCGTCTTTGACCTGGCGGATACAGTTGGGAAAATTTCCACCTGGGTTTAGATTTCCTCTAGTATTTTAGAGCATCCAAAATTTGGCAAATTGCTAAGTTCAGTCTTGACTTTGATTTTCTATTTGAAGAATTTACAGAAAAAAGGTTTAAAAATTAAGGCTTTATTGAAGAAATTGCCAAACTTTATATCCTTCAAAATGCTACATAAATAAAGCTAGACCTGGGTGGAATTTCTCTTATAATATATAGTGAGTAAAGTGTTTCCAAAAAAATATCATCCGAGTGTCAATGAGTTTCAGTAGTCATGAGTGTAATCCTAATAATTCTGCTTAGTGATAAAGAGTCAAACAGTACCTTAAAGCATGTGTTTATAAAGACATGGCAAAGGGTTGTTTTAAAACTGTTATGAAGCAGAAAGATTAAATAGGGATAGTGTTTGTGTTCCAAACCTGTCTGCACCGGTTTAATAGTCTGGTCTGAACTAAACCGAACTTTCAAACTCTAAAATGAATTGGATCTTTGTTTCTCTCCACCAGGTGATTTTGCTGTTCTGATCAATGCTGGAATGTCTGTGAAACAGGCCATTGTTTATAATGTCCTGTCAGCCCTCCTTGCATATGTTGGTGTGGTGATAGGCATAGCTGTAGGACAGTACACTCATAATTTGACCCAATGGATCTTTGCCATCACTGCAGGCATGTTCCTATATGTGGCATTGGTGGATATGGTAAGTAATGCACTTTATTCATTGGATAAATGAACTGTAAAAAGGTTTGATTTGAGGTAATTACATTGAAGCTAGCTTGAAGCTAATTATGCAGTTCTATTTTTGCCTTAGTTCTTCAAAAAAATTAATGGTTATGATCAGCATTCTTAAAAGCATTCATGGGAATGAACAAAGCATTGGTTTGCTTGTACTAACTGCATATTTAATTCGTTAACAAAATGAGTGTTTTTAAAAATGATCTTAATAGCAGTTTCCATTGAATACACAGAAATGATCAATTAAAGAATGGTGCTGTTTGCTGCAGGTTATATCAATTATGCAAATCGGAATGAGTGATAATCAACAAAAATGTGTTGCTGTTTGCTCCAGGTCCCAACTGCACATCAATAAGATCCCTGTAAAAACTCTACTGTATGTTGAATTTGTGTAAATGCAACTTTTCCCCCTTAAATTATACTGCATCTCTGAATGATTTCTTCAGCTAGTCTTTGACCTGCTGAGGATGTAATAATAATAATCCTTGCATTTGATATAGCGCTCTTTCACGTCTTCTGGACGTCTCAAAGCACTTAACAGAATAGACTGTAAAGTGAATTGACTGTATATTTGTGGGCAAAACGTGGCAGCCAAGTGCGCAAAGCAGTGTACTTTGCAGTGGGAGGGGTAAGAGCAGAGATTCCTCACCCTGCATTATTAAATTCCCTGTTTTATAAACATCAGCAGAAAGACTGACGTCAGAATCGCCAAGTTTACAGAAGTAAATTGGGCAGAAACATGTTCTGAAGTTAATAGAGTGGGTTACAACCAATAACTTACTTATTTTAAATTAATTAAATTATGCAATTTATTTTCTGTCATGGTTAGTTAAACTGTTATTTATTATGAAATAAAGTGTGTACCTGGATGGGGAAGATCCAACTCCTTACTGGTAGGAAATGGAAGTTTCACAAGATTTCTAAATCTTTCACTTTAGACTGATGGATTGTGGTTTTAAGTGCAATCCATGAGTTAATTTGCAGCACTGATAAAGAAAGCTATGTCCACCAGTTCAATTGTCTCTGAGGAAGAAAAAGTAAAGATTGCGAAACTATTTTGATTAATTTTTCGCATATGGCATGCATGTAAATGTTAGGTGCATTAATGGTTGATTTGTAAAAATACAATTGGGGTATACTGTGTAATAGTTTGATTGACCTGCTCCCTGCTTCAATGACAGTCCATTAAAAACAATGTACTCTGTATCACAACAGACGGTTTCTTTCAGTTAACAATTGATCATTGTGTTCTCCTCACATGCTATCAGATGTGGTTTGCTCTTTTAAAGCAAAGTATCTGCTTTAAAAGATTAGATTTATGACCACATCTGAAATTTTGGTAGATCCGAATTGTTCGTCAGTAAAAGGGGAAACAATTATACGTGTTCCAAATTTGGTTTAAGGGTTTTGAGTGTATGTCATATTGCAAAGATTTATAGTTACTGCTGTCATTGCAAACTAATAAAACCCTGCATCAGTGAGGCTGCTAAAATAACCTTTTTCAATTTGGAAGTGGAAGATTTCATTGTTGGTGGATAGTGGTCTGGAACTAAGGCTATGAAGGATGGGAGGAACAACTGGCATCTTCTGAAACCACGAAGAATGAAAATAATTTTCGTAAAATTCGTCATTTGCTTCATGGCTATGTGTGGGTCATTGCTGTGTGCCAATTGACTGCTGCTTTTGCCTAACATTTCTTGCAAACTATTGAACAATATCTGTATTTTCAAACCTTATTTCAGCAATATAAATTGATAGCTGAGAACTTTAATATCTATTTTCATGAAAACAGGTATTTAGTTAAGACAGTTGCAGTGCTTAAAGATGGATGTTTTTGAGAAATTACAACTTCTGTTTTTCTTTATACCTCCAGTTACCAGAAATGCTACACAGCCCATCAGATAATCAAGGTCAGGCTTGGTTTGGGCACTTTGTTCTTCAGAATGCTGGGATGCTCTGTGGATTTACCATCATGCTGCTAATTGCCATTTTTGAGGATCATATTGTAATTAACTTTTAATGTTTTAACATTTTCAATGACAAATAATGTATGGTCTTGTCTGCCTTATATGTGTGACAGCTTTAATTGTATATGGATTTTGCAAAGCAAATTGTGTGACAGGTATTTATCACTGCAGATTACTTTTCATAATCGCTGTTTTAGGTTTGTTTAACACAGTTGCATCCACATTGAAGTATGGAAACTTAAAAGTGTAGTAGCAGTATTAATACTACTGTATTAAACTCAACCCCCTGCCACCCAACGAAGTGTATTAATGTTTCTTTAACAAACATTATTTTTTGACAGAAACCAATTCACATACATATGTTATGATGTAATTTCATACAAAATGTCATTATACATCAACATTTCCACTGTAGTCGATGCAGGTTGACGCATGTCAAAACATAGTTATTCTGTGTCTCGTTCGAACATTGATTAAAGCTGTTTACAACAGTCGCAATGATCAGAGTTGCTATATTATATATATATTATATATGACAATAAAAAAAAGTAATAAATTGGTCACTTTGAGCCACGACTGCTTGGGAACACTGCTGTGCGCAATTGGCTGCCACGATTTTCCCACAAATATACTCAATTCACTTTACAGTATATTCTGTGAAGCGCTTTGAGACATCTAGAAGACATGAAAAGTGCTATATCAAATATAAGGATTATTATATTAAAATATGTGATTGACAAAGGTATCTGGGGAGATGATATGCCATTTAGCAGAAATGTAATGCTTGAATCCATGTAGTTTGTTTAGTGCAATTAGGTCCATAGATGGAACATGTCTAGTAGTATTTTGTTGAATGTTTTCTCTCCTCCATAAACAATCACCAGCTGTAATGCAGCCAGGGTTCATGGTGCTGTTTTTTNAAATGAAATTGCATCTCCAGTGTCAAATGTACAAACTAGTGGGTACTTACTAGTTTCAAAATAGTGTTTCTTCTCTCATAACAACCATCTCTTACATTCCCATCCCTGCATTGTACCTCAGTATTGAACCATGTTTGCTGTCTTGAGTGAACAGCTAGATTGCTGTACAGTATGTTTGGAGGTTTTTTTTCCAGCAAGCTTGTCACTATGTGACATTTTCTTTTGTCACTGTAAATAAATCAATGTAATTGTGCTAAAATGATGTAATTAATTTTGTGATCAAGTGCAAATGGCCAAAATGTGAGTGGTGTAACCTGTGATTCTTGTGGGTGTTATTTGATTTGAATTCATTGTTAAAGCCAAAGATTATGGGAACCTAATTAGTTAATTTGAAGTTTATGAAAGGTTTTCAAAGTGTTAAGGTTCCATAGCCTTTGTTTGTTACAAGTGACAAAGAATTTTTTGGTAATGCTCTAGAGAAAATTTGTTTGTCCATATTACACTAATCTTTCATGAATAAAACTCACTGCAGTTTCACTTGATTAACTGACAATGCAAGCCTGTTTATTGTAATATGAATATATTTTGTATGTTGACTCACATTTGATGGATAATTTTGCATACTCCTAATGCTGTTCACCTTTCTGTAGTAAAATATTTCCCCCCACAGATTTGATCATGGAAATGGGGTGGGAGGAGAGACATGAGACAATAGGGCAAGACCGATAGAATTTAAAAGTGGTAACTAAAAAATTGGTTCGAAAATATTAAACGATGTCTACTGCAATAAAGTGCTCGGTCCTTAACACAAATAAAAATGTCTACCCAACAACTTAAAAACTAAGCTGACAAAGAAGAGCAACACCACGGCCAATCCAGTGTTCAGGAGGGTGCTGAGAAGGAATACGCATGGCAACCACAAAGTTAGTTGAATGTCCAGTTGTGGATAATGTTCCTCGTCTTTCACTGGTCTTGTAAACTGGAGAAATGTAAATGAGCCGCTTTGAGATTTCTGACCTTTTACAAGGTTTTAACCACATCTGCAAAGAAAGCAAAATGGATTTTTTTAAAAAATGAAATAATGTATCCCACATAATCCACCCATTTTCATTCAAATGAGTGAATGCCTTATTAATTACATCCACTAACGGGTTTTATATTGCTTCAAACTAATTTTACTTATAAGTTGGTTTTCTTTGACATTTATTTAAAACCAAATTGAGTCAGTTCCCCGCAGTTTGGAAAATAAATTTGCCCACATTGGATTGGAGGACTGAGGATTTCTAATTTGTCAAATTCTGACAACCAGTAGCTCCTTATTTTAATCTTAAAACATTCAATTTTGATGAAATCATTTTGCAGGAATTCTGATGATGGCTGAAATGTTGAGGGTATATTACCTTCAGGAGACATTGATCAGTTTTAATAAAACTGGAAATGACAAGCTTGCGAAGAGATAACGGTTAACATGCCGAGAGGACTAATTAGAGAACAAGTACAAATTGGCTACCCTCAAACAATTGGAAAGATTTCCCCTCATTAGGCAAAGGGTCTGTGGAATAGATTCCCAGCTAAACCAGTTCATTTATGCTGATTATTTTTTGAAAAGAGCTGGATGAATATCCACTATGGATCAGGACTGAGGATTACAAGTACAGACAGTGATGAATCAGTCAATCATGTCAAAGAAGTGAACTGGTCTGTGACCAAACATGCAAAATATAACCCTTGGTACTGCAACCATATCCTCAATACTCAGCCATTAAAGGCAGTGAGTTAGCTGAAGATGTGGACGAGCACATACATGTTAGAGCAGATTATACATGAACTCAGGAACGGAACAGGGCACAATGTGCCTTTTCACATTCAGCCTGCTGCAGGGCACACATCACATGCTTTACATCACAACATCGCGCTTCATGGAATGACATGAACAATCTTTATTGAAGCTGGCTGAGATGTTTTGAAATATAACCACACTATTTGATGGAGCTGACTGGTTTTCTGCATACAATCACATTATAAACCTGATTACAACAAACTGAGTACAATTTCACACTCGCTGATTTAAGGCTTATACATTTTCATTAATTTCTTAACATTTACAATATATCGAATTAGGTGAGTCAAGTAATAACATTTCCAGAAATGTAGATTGTCATTAGTAAGTAGGAAGGCTACATGCTACTTACCACAGGCATTGAATCGTAGAGTATTTTGGGGTATGATTCTGCCAGTTTGTTATCAATTCTGTCCCAACGAGCTCCATCCAAAAAAAGACCTCGTACGAATACACCTGTAGTCAAAGAAGATATTACCAGTTCCAAAGTTTACTAACTGAACAGGCATTAAAATAAATATTACAATATATGAATTATAATTAACTTAATTATAAATTCTAGATTTGCTTTTTTAGTATCTTGGTTCTCAATGCATGAACTTCTCCATTGCATGAATTTATAGTATCTAACTTATTACACTGTTGTGTATCAGTATTCGAGAGGAATAAGAAGAAAAGTCATCAAAATAATTTTATTTTTCAGATCACACAAACTCGGAATCTGCAATCGATCTTTCAAAACTAAAGTTGTACTCCGCTACAAAATAATATGCAATTGTATCTTTTAAAAGCATTCACCACATTCATCAAACCTGTGGGAAACTGTCAGGAAAACTGCTGCTGTTTGCAATTTCTTTTTGATACATTTTTACTTCTTAACATTTGTAAAACACAAGGTGACTGCCTCAATCTCTTGCCATTCAAGCTGATGTCTGCAAGCATCCCATGAACTGCTTTCCTGACTCATATATCACCTTCAGGCACCTTTATTTTTGTTAATTTCTAGTTTTACTCTGCCCTTGCTTAACTCCTTTATCTTTCAAATGCAAGAAAGACAACAGAATTTGTCCGTAAAATGCACAGTCACTATTTTACAATATATCTTGCGAAGCACTTTGGGCCGTCCTCCTGATGTGTAAGGCGCTACACCAAATGTAAGGATTATTACTATAACGTTTGTAGCATTTTCACATAAAATAATGTCTCAACACTCAAATATAATGGTGGACAGTGAATGAGGAAATAGGTGATTTAAAGAATCTAACCAATGGCAGAGATGTGGTTATGGGCTTTTTGAAGGTAGGGAAAGAGATAGGAAAGCAGAGATTAAGTTAATTAATCAACCCCTAGGTAAGAGCAACATTTTTAATTTCTTACACTTGTAAGCAAGCTGACCGCAAAATTTCAACACATCTAATGTACCATCCTCCAATTCTCTCCCACAGTGCCAGGAAATACCTGGCCTCTGCTCCACATCTTCCTTCCAAGTGTTTGATCATGATTGAAACTGGGATCTCACTACCGTGGGAAAATAAAAGCTACAAGGGGCGGAGGACAATCTGATCGCCTGAAGCAAATATCTCAGAATAATGACAAAGTCATCTCCTGGGGTATCAGATGAAAAGACAGAACAAGTTTCATACAATTTGTGAGTCACTGACAAATATCAAGTGTTCACAGCATCGAAAGTCAAACTAAGAATAGTTTTGAATTGGTCAACTTAATAACATGACCACGGTAAAATTCTCCTGGGGCTCAATTGCCTGACAAATTGGTCTTTGAAACAAGATTTCACTCAATTTCACATATCTGTGTCCGAAGTCAGGGATCGAGGTTAAGAGTCCAACAAGACCAGAAAAATGAGATTAAGTCCAGTTCTTAAAACTAAAATAACACTATTTTTTACATTTTATGTTGCGAGGTGGTCTCAAAGCACTTCACGGGATTCACTGTAAAGTGGAGTGATTGTGTGTTTTGTGGGAAAAATAGGTTAGAAGTAACAATATAATACAAATCTACATTTATGTCGCAACTTTCACATCACGAGTAAGTGAATAATAGAACAGGGTAAATAGATAGTAAAAAGGAAAAATAATGTAAACTAAAGTTAAACTAATAAAAATAAACAAATGTGAGAAGATAAGATAACATGAGACCAGAAATAAAAATAAAATTTTATTTCAAACTTTAATTTAGTAGTATAGCTTTAATTTTGAAGCAATGAAGCTATTCCTAATACATGATTAGTATTGATACTAATCATTTTTTTTAAGTCTGAAATGCTCTAGTTAGTAGAAATTGGAGCACAGCACATTGGGGTACTAATAATTTTCTCTGGTTGCTGTATGTAAAACTCTGCAAATATTACTGTTTTCATTTTCTGAAGGTTGTAACAAATGATGGGAAATTTGTGCAGCTCATCTTTCCTTTGTTTACTAATTCACTGAAGAACTGTCATGACTACTACATTTTCATCCTTAGGTTTATGCTTTTCATCCTTAGGTTTATGAAAGGGCTTTCTTAATATGCTTGCTTACTGATGAACATAAACCACTATTTGTGTTTCTTTCTGTGGTATAGAATTTATGTAGAACTCTTGAGATCAGGGATTCATTTTAATTTAACAGGTTTCTGCAAATGCGATTAGAAGTGAGAAACATAAATCAGGTTACTTGCTTCACATGACTATTGCTGAAAGTGCTTCTAGCTGTATAAACAGGGCATTAGATTGGGTCAGAATATTGATATTCAGATTTAAGAATCCTGATAGAAGTGTGGAGATCTGTCTGAAGCATCAGAAACTTGTGTCAAGGGCCAATATCCATTAGCTTCTCCCTAATTGAGCAACAATTCACAGTGAGCAGTTGTATCACAATTGTTAGAAGCTGGGACACAAACAAGTGATATATTTCGCCCACACAATGCAGTGAATTCACTTTACAGTATATTCTGTGAAGCACTTTGAGACGTCTAGAAGACATGATAAGGGGCGATATCAAATGTAAGGATTATAATTATTATTTTCGTTCAGAACTAAAGGTCACAGATTTGTGAAATTGAATGACAATTATAATGTTATGTTATGTTAATACATGTTCAGAATTAATTGACAGTTTAACAGTAGACATAGCAAACTTATTTCATGCAGGACTGAAGATCAACAGTTTGGGACCTCTGTCTTAATAGAAATTACAACAGAGTTCATTTGTCTTTTGAGTTGATCCACTGGAACTAACGACTCTAATCCTAATTCCCTGCTTTGCACATCCTCATGATAGTATAATGTGACCCTAAAATCAGTATCAGAGAGACCATGTGCAACATCCCATCACACTGAATGGCCAATACACAACACTATAACGCCGCCAGACATTTTCCTTCAGCTGATTAGTCTCTCTGTTTGCATAGTAGGTTCTACATCACCTGGCGATGTGATAAATCAAGGACTCCCAGTAAGCTGTTTAATACCATTCATTTCACTTGATGTCTGGCCACAAATATGACATACTCTGTTACACTCTGACCTCATTAACTGTTTGTGAAAGACCCACTTTATAGATTAATGCAAAACACACGAACATAGTTATGCACAGGACAGGAAAAGACCGTTGTTCGGTATAATGTTCATCTACACATTCCCAATACATATTTTTACTTACCATCTTCTGGGGGGTGAGTGTATTCCTTATCCTCCATTATGTCATAGTCAAATCCAAGCAAGTCAATAGGAATGGTATATTTTCTGGCATAATTCTGCTGGCCCCCTGTCAGAAAGGCTTGAGTAAAGAAGAAACCAGATAACCAGAAGACAGGAGGAGTTCCTTCAAGATACCAGTCCTGGCAATATTGGAAAGAAATACGTTAATATCAAACAAACTTGATTCTTATGCAAAATAATCAAAATAATAACATTAATTTGGTCACTCAATCCACGACCGTTTGTGGGACACTGCTGTACGCAATTAGCTGCTGCATTTCGTCCACAAAATATCCAGTCAATTCACTTTACAGTATATTCTGTTGAAATTGCTTTAAAATAAAATATAGTAATTGGGCTGTGACTCAGTTCTTCAATTAACATTTTATTTGTGCAGCAGCTGAATCTTAGCTCTGGATGACAGGACAGACGGTCTTTTCAAATTACTACTCAGGCAGAAAGTTGATAAGAAAATAGACTTACAAAACTGAATCACATTTTATATTATTAAAGTTTAATTTAGTACAGCTAAATCTTATGCTCAAATACCATTAAATTAGTAACTCTTTTACATCAGCACAAACATGTTAGAATGCAGCTTTAAATGCTCCAGGATGCTACCCCTCATGAAGGTGCTATATAAATGTACATTGTTGTTAAATATTACACCAAAGCACTGAAGACAGTGATCACTAGGACGGAACAGATTTAGTTTCAGAATCCTTTGGATCTATAAAAAAATCAACATCGCTATAAAAGTCAGTGTAATTTATACCTAATATCAATGTACTTCAATAAACATTTGTCTTCAGTGTTGTGATCTTCATAAAATGTTCCTGTTTTATACCTATAGAACTACAATTTTTTCATGCTTTATGATAAGGAGTAAATTTGGTTACTTTATGTGAATTTGTTATGCTGAGATACGTGACTGTGCCAATAAGAACGTTTATGGCCTCGGAACTACATTCTAAATCACCCTGTGTAGTTTAAAGAATTAAAGTTCATTTATTTGACATCCTTGATTAAAATGGATTATTTTTACTTATATATTCCTATAAGGCACAGTAAATTAATGCATCAGTGTTTTCTAACAAATGGCATTTACGCTTTAGTTTATAAATTAAAATCCGAAACAAATTGGAGGTGCCTAACTAAAATGATATAATTGGCTTGTTTCTTATGGTGAACATTCCACAACCTAATAAGGGTTTGTATTTAAAAAAATCTAAGCTTTCTAGTTTGAATTTACATTCATAATTATATAGAATTCATATCGTCTTAGTTAAAAAGTAAAACTGCAGTTCACAGCAGGTACGTTTCATTCTGTCACCGCATTGACATTTCATTTCTAAAAAAAAGCAGCCGCAAATTAATTCAGGTAACATACTCTTAAATGGTCATTCCCACTTGCTTCTGCATTCATCCAGAGCGTTTATCACATCTGTCCTTGTATAATATTCTTGCCAGGAAATGGGGCCTAGGGTGCAGGCTGGTGAGATTGCACAGCTGTGAATACTGGCTGATGTCCAAGATAGTGAGTGAGCTCCGAGACTGGTACAAATATGTACAACCCTACTTTGTTTTGGGCATTTAAAAATGCAAGATATTTAAATTAACCAAAATGAAAATGTATTTGTATGCGTTGTCAAGATTTGAACTGCTCTTTAGTATAAGTGTATATATGTATATATATCACTAACGATCGGTCTTTGGCAGGGCAGCTCTTTAATATATCATTATAGCTGGTGGAATGCAATGTAAAACTGGAATTTTCACACAAGCGCCAAGTCTAATGGGTTGTGAAGAACACCAGTGCCTCAATACAGCCCACTCAATCTTTCAGTGTTACCGTCGATATTGCCAACATTTGAAGGGCATCAAAATATTCCAAATAGGTCAATTCGACTTATTTGGAGATATATTGAAGCTTTACAAGAGCTTTTTTTCAAACTAGAATGTTAGCAAACCTAATATAATTCTATTGCATGAGCAAGAATTGTTATAAGAGAACTCATTAATGAAGGAAGACAAGCTTTTGTGCTACTCTTGAATAACCATTCCTTCTCTGTATTTGGTATAATGCAATTTTAATCTTTTCAAAGTAGACTGATCTAATTCTGGATTTCAGTTAAAAGATAACAAGAGTATCTGGAAGATCAACCCTGGAAATTGGCAGAAGCACAATTTTGAAAAGTGGCTGCAGACTAAACCAATTTGCAAAGTCAAGATATGGGCGGCGGGGCGATCTGTTGTTGGCTAAAAAGAGGTTTTATTCATAATTTTCTGCCAGTTGATAATTGTGACACTGAATGTCACATTTTTCACCTTAATAATCTGAGATTTACACTTCATCAGAACATGGTAAAATTCAGTTACTTTTAACCATAGTGACATGTTGCTATATCGTCAAATACATTCTGCACTCAGAATTTCCAGAAACAGTAAAGCAGAGAATGATCCAATATGATCATTAGAGAACTTGGGTTGACAGAGGAATATTAGCCAATACCCTGTAAGAACTTCCTGCTTTTCTTCCAAATAGTGCTTTAGGATCTTCAACATCTACCTGAATTACCTGAAGAGGGAATGGAACCTTTTTTAAAGTCTCATTTCAAAAAAGGTACTGCTCTGGAATATGTTTAGATTAAGAGCTCAAATTCTGATGCGAGGCTCAAATTCTCAAAACCTTCTGCTTCAGAGGTAATCACGCAAACAGATATTAATATTAACCTCTTCAATTTCTATGAATAAATCTTTTCTTTAGCGAATAATTTCATTTTGTCAACCCTACACCATTTACTCTTGTACAATTGGATATTTGCTCATATTCATGATGAGCCATCTGTCTAATGTAAATTAAATTGAAATGTGCCAAGATGACTCACATGATAGTATTGTGAGAATTGCCTCAATTGCACATTATATGCATTACTGAGCGGATCACTGTGCACAACAGATGCACAAATGAACTGATTATGCCCTTACATCCATTACCTAAAATTAAGCCAATAAAAACTAATAATATTTTATTGTGATGTTAATTTTAAAGTGATTAGTACAACATGAGATTAGCTGATGAGTGGTGGGTTAATAAGAGAGTAAATGTATTGTGAGTGTACTCACCTGCAGGAATTTCAATCTGGCTAAAAAGTCATTCACATAGCTGCCAAGTGGCTTGAGACTAGGGTACGATTTACTCATCCACATACCAGGAATTTTTCCCATCAGTATACTATTCACTACTTCTTCCAGCTCGGACGACATCACTACCAGACCCTAAACAAATAATATAACACATCAAATCACATTCTTTGCCAAAGCCAAACACAGGTGAAGATAGAGTAGTAAAAGGTTATCTCAAATTCAATTAATTTTAAATGTCAATGGATCTAAACATCAAAAAGCTAACTTTTCATAAAATAATTTACTGTTTAAAATCAAAATTAAAGTGGAGAATAAACTTAGATGCATGAATATATCAACTAAAAAAATAATTTTCCACGATCTAGTATTTATAATGTCTACAAGAATAAACCAAACCATTTTAATCAACAGTCCATGGTGGCCCAAAATACTTTTTTCTTATTCTAATAATCCGCTACTCAGTGCCTCATATCAAAAATTGCTGTTGCGCTCATTTTTATAGATTTTAAACGACTGCAGAAGACTATGGACTCTGTGAAATAACGTGGTCATTCGTGGGCAGGGACACATCTAAACAAAAGTCATTTAGCCACTCCTTGTGTCAGTTAATCAGCAATCACCCAAACACATTAGCCAAGAATAAATGGGTGCTGGTGCTCACATAACAAGCAGAAAATCATCAGTCATCCTATTTAAAAGATGAAAGCGAGAAAGCACATAATAAACCCTACTTAACAAACCGAATGTAAATTCACAAGAGAGATGCCAAATCTTATTATAAAGCCTGTTCTTGAATACAATCCAAAGTGCTTGAACAAACAAGATTCCCAGGAATTGGTTAAAATTTATTGCACGTCCTGTAGCAAAAAAAATGTTAAATGGAAAACATAGATACACATGCTGTGAATAAGATTTTTTAAAGGAAACTATCAGCCTGTTTATATAAATTAGAAGGTGATTTATGTGTATTTCTCTAGGCAGTTAATCAAATTGGACAAGTTTGGCTGAATTCTACCTGTAAGCTGTCAAAAGCATGAGTCATGACATGGCAGGAACCCTCTTCAAATTGGGTAAAATATAGATTTGATTGATTTGATTACTTACGTACCTTGATAGCTTTCTGTATGTTGATACAAGAGGCCCTAATAGTTCGGAGCAGGTTATTGAAACGGCCCATTTCTTGCACTAGTACAGTGTTCATGCTCTGAGTATATGTTGTTGGATATTTTCTCATTGCTGCTTCAATATCAAAATCTGGAGGCAATTTACTGATGATATCTTCAGACACTTCAAACACAATTTCATCTGCGGATTTCCCAGCCCCACCAGATATTCGAGACTGCAGAAAATAAAGTGAGGCATTAAGTAGAATTCATCCTGTTAATTACTGCAATGTTGAACATATCCTAAAATACATTATATTGCATTCAAGAATGGAGACCCACGATAGGAAATATTTATATATATTTAAATTACATTAGCAACTTATCTAACTTACAATATCTAATGCACAATGTGTATTAACAACTGACATTTGGTGCACTTTGTATAAGTGACTTAAGTTGCCACTATACTTTGGTTATAATGCATCTATGTTCCTTTAGATTTGAGAAATAAAAAAAAACCAACTATTCTTGTGCAGATTAAGGTGGGGAATTCATTCTTTGCTAAGTGCTTTGAGACGTCTCGAAGACATGATAAGGCGCTATATCAAATGCAAGAATTATTATTGTAATGCACCCACAGATTTCTAGACCAGTGAAAGGTGCTGTATGAACACTTGCAATCTTTGTAATGCTATAGGTGCAGTCTTTCCCTCAAATGAAAATATCCAGGTCCAGGTAGTAGAGAAATCTAAATCACTTGACCTGCTCAAGGTCACTATTGTTTTTCTGTCATCTTTAAACTTCCACTACAATATTTTAGGGTGTTTCAAGTCAATGGGCTTACCCGTACCCTTGTGCTCCAAAAATAATTTTATTGAATTATATTTGCTTATCTAAAAGTGTTTGATAACTGACCTAAAAAANTATAAAAGGCTTTAATGGTTATGGAGGATTTCTCCAACATTCCTTATGTTGAACCAACATTTCAAAAGAGAAGCCAGTTATAGTTGATTTTAGTATCTCTATCCCTAGTGTCCTATCCAGTCGTCAAAACATCTCAAAGCCCTTCACAGGATATACCGTAAAGCGTTGTGAGTGTTATTTGTAGGCAATTGTAGACAAAACCATTTAAAAGCCAGTTTGATTCAGTTGGAGGGTGGGGAATGGTGGACAGCCTAATTTTTGTGAATTATCTAAGTAAATCACGTTGCTTGGTTTAAATAGAACCAGCTCTGTGTCGGCACAATGTAAAAACAGTTGTGAATTTTCTGATTAAATAATGGATTTCTGTGGCTCTACAAGAAAGGAAAAAGCTCTAAAATGAGTAGCCATAGATGGACGTAGTTCAATGAAGCGAAAGGGTGTGTGGGGGTGAGGGAGAGAGAATCACCAGTTAGTCACAGAAGTTGGTTCTCATGCACCTTTTAATCTCCGATTGGAACAGAATAGCAGATATGGAGGCATAGGAACAGATGACTTGACTATTGTAAATAAATATAAAATGACCTAGACTGTGCAATCAATATTTTAAAAACATGGAAATTGAAAAGATTAACCGAAAAATTAAAACAATAATAATCCTCGCATTTGATGCAGCGCCTTAACACATCTTTGAGTTGTCTCAAAGCTTCACAGAATATACTGTAAACTGAATTGACTGTATATTATGTGGGTGAAACAATCTAAAATAATGCTTTATACTGCCAAATGGTTTAACTTACTAAAACTATATTTTACACTAAAAAGAGCAGGAACTGTAGCTGTAGAAAATAAACACTTATATCTCCAATGGATGAGACTTTTCCTGTAAATTATGAATAAAGTATTGAAACGCAGCAATACCTGCTACATTTCATTCCTCTTCCAGTGGCAAATCAGTTTTTCAAGGCCCTATTAAAATATATAATAATCCTTGCATTTGATATAACGCTTTTCACGTCTTCTAGACATCTGAAAGTGCTTCACAGAATATATTGTAAAGTGAATTGACTGTATATTTGTGGACGAAATGCAGCAGCCAATTGCGCACAGCAGTGTCCCACAAACAGTCGTGGACCGAAGTGACCAATCTATTACTTTTTTTATTGTTAATATATGCCACTCTGATCATTGCGGCTGTTGTAAACAGCTTTAATCAATGTTCGAATGAGACACAGAATGACTATATTTTGACATGCTTCAACCTGCATTGACTACAGTGGAAATGTTGATGTATAATGACATTTTCTATGAAATTACATCATAACATATGCACATGAATTGGTTTCTGTCAAAAACGAATGTTTGTTAAAGAAACATTAATATACTCCTTGGGTGGCGTGGGGCTGAGTTTAATACAGTAGTATTAATACTGCTAATATACTTTTAAAACGAGAAAATATTGTGGGTTTACATGATGCTGATTTATTTCTGGGTGTCATAACAGGGAAGTTTTGTTTTATATTACGTATATACAATAATGATGTGCCAAAGAAGAGTAGATAGAAAGGGGGTGGGGGGAGGATGAAAGCAGCACTGTATCCTGTGGTACTTTCTCCTGAAGTTCCCTGCAAAAAGGACAAAACAATAACAACAGCAAAATTACATCTATATAACGCCTTTCACGTTGGGAGGACGTACCAAGGCGCAGGATAGATAGAGTTACGAACCCAAGCTGGGGGTTGGGTGGGGGAGAGGGGAGGGCACGGGAGGAAGCAGGGAGATCGAAAGCACGTTCAAAGCGGAAGGTCTTGAGATGGATTTTGAAGGTGGCGAGGGAGGGGGCGAGACGGAGGGACTGCGGGATGGAGTTTCAGAGGGTGGGCGCAGAAACATTTGTAAAACATTAGTGTAAACCTATCCGTACACAAAGCAGTTAGGAGATATAAGATTTAATCTGTTCCAATTGTACCAACCAACTTATGTAAACAGAGCAAAGGAAAAGGCTGAGAAATATTTTTTTTACCTAGGCCGACTACAATTATTCCACGTTGCACCCTGTAGTCATATCATACATATTCTTTAAATTGCATATTGTACCCGATTCTATTTAAACCGTAGTAAGTCTTTGATATACCTCTGTGAGTAAGATGCTATTAAAAAGGTTTTGTGTCTCTGATTGATCTTTAGTAATATCTGCATTGGCATTCATGCCAAAAACTTCCGGAGATGGGTTGAGAGGAAGGGTCTTTGTATATTCAATGTAGCTAATATGCTGTAAGTAGATAAAAATATGTATTAGATACAAGCCCTCTAATACTACTTCCAATGATTTTTAAACACAAAAAAGGTGCCTGGGAACAATAACCTAAAATCACTATTTTCATTACGACCGTAATCTAGTTTTGTATGATGTACTTATGCTCATTAAAAAGATTTATCTTACGTCTCCTTCATCTGGTGCAAAGTAAAGTCCACTTGAGTCAAATTTGTAGTCTTTATTCATCGTAATATCTACATTGTAGAACTTGTTCAGGATAGTTCGGAGACTACGTCGGTCCCAGTCATCCGTCACTCTGCCGCCATAATTGCATTCACACGTCATATATCGCAAAGCATCGAGGGGAACTTCCTGTATGAACGTATAGAGAAAGGTGAAATCAATTCAAAGATGAATGATAACAAGCTGATGCCAACTGATTTGTAATTTTTTTTTTTACGATCACATTTTCCACTTTGATTCTTGACCCTGTACTAATAGTAACATTCTCTGATTTTCTCAACTCCTGAAATGAGCAAGGAAACTTGAGAGGGTTGGGAGGCGGATATGATAGTTCAGTTTACTCTTGAATTATCTCCTTTTTATGGCAAATCTCAATTGCTCCGAAATATTGTCATAAATAGACATTAACACATGTTACCTTTAGAAGAATGGTTTACCTCATATTGATTAAGGAACATATGGAGCTGCTGCACACTTATCCGCAAGTCAGTTTCATTGAACTCATACGGTATATTCCATCCCAATGGCCCAAATTTTCGTCTTTCCTGAACCAGAGCATGGAAGAAACATAGACCATACAAGAGCTTTTTGAATTCAACCTGTTGGAAAAATGAATACGACATCCATGTTAACTGCCGTGTAATTTCTGTACCAAAGAAAGCAAATTTACATTTCCGGCAATGTATATTTATTTGGGGCCAGAAAGACTGGAATTAAGAATCCAATAAAGAAGCCAAAAGTCGAGATGGTTGCTTGAACTAAATTCCTGACTTGGGGATTCCAAGGTTATTGTTATCACACAACATTAAACATATTTAGGCGGAGATACAGACATATATACATTTGGAACTAGGAAAACATTTTTAAATATTAATACTGTTCAGATTCTGATTTGTAAGGAATTTTAGAAACCTTTACCATAATCCATACCAAGATATAACATGCACCTTTTAATCAAGGATTTCGCTGACATCCTTCTTTTAGGTCCAGTCACGAAATTATGACAGCGGATGTCATTATTGGTTTAATTTAATTTTATTGGTGTCGGAACATAAAACTACTGCTGTATCTCACAATTTGATGTCAGATACCAGGGAATCTCAAAATCACAGTCACAGAGATAAGAGTTACGTAGAATATGTGGCCTACAAATTACCATACTTTGATTAGTCTGCTCAACTGAAAGCCATAGAACTGTAGGTAAAAATAAATCCATCAAGACTTCAATAATATTTACTACAACATTCTCGTGTATACTGTTTAGCAAGTTTTGAAATGTTGTCCAATTTTAGATTTCTTGACAACCAGTGCATAAAATATAGACAGATCTTGAAACAATTTAATGCCAAATCAAATGATAATCATACAATTAATCCCAAGGCCTGAAAATTCCATGCATACCCACATTCAAAATAAGTCATTACTTATGGAACATCCATGAAAGGAAGACATATGCTCTAGAATTCTTCTTCACAGAATTTAAAACGGGAAAGAATGCAACATATAATAAATTAGCCTCGTAAGCTACCAGAAGTTTACTAGTGCCTCTGCACAAAAGAAGCTGTGTGATTTTTTACTGGTTTAACTTCAGCAGTATTCTAAATACACACTCTGAGGAAGCCAACACTTGGCACTTGCCAACCCGTACCTATATTCTCCAAAGATTAGGTAAGCAGGATGGGAGACGTACATACTCCATAAATAAAATCCATACACACGTGAAACTCTCAGTAGTTTGGTTTTGTGACTATTAAACATGGTGATTGTGTGTGTTTCCATGTGTGTCAGATACTCAGCTGACAAAAAAAAGGAATAAAAGAGTGGTTATCTGAAGTCAAATACATCTGCTCTTCATAATCCCCAATTTCGATGAACATCCCCTATTTAGCTCCACAATCAGACAACTAACTGGGTGAACACATAATATCCGGTTGAGTGTCAACTACATCTATTGCAAATAATTTAATATCCATTTAGTAATATTAGCTACTCTGAACAAATTATCCTTGAGCACTGCATCACAAAACCACATTAATAAATTTGTAGACTAGAAATATCTGCTGCTGTCTGATGCAGAGGTAAGCAATGGCAAGTGTAAGCAATCATACTGAAAAAGATTATAGAATACTTTGTGGAAAAAAGGCCTGCATTGTTATACCATATCATATTTAAAATTATTTTAAAATATTTAGTTACTGTATAGATTTGTCTGAAATGATTTGAAGGTAAATATTACAAAAGAGATTTTCTACAAGCATAATTGTAAATGTAAGTCAAAAAGACGTACTTGAATGCTTTGTTTTCCTAAATTTATATCAATTTTAGTTCATCTTAATATCTTGAGAAAGGCAGAACTTATGAAACCTCTCGTGGAAGAACCATTTTGTTCACCTTAAAGTATTTGACTTGAATTGATTACTAACCGGTTTCTTGCAGCTACCAAAAAACTCGGGGTCAGAAATGGGATCCATTAAGTAGGATCTTATAATATTAGCTCGAAGACCCTTTGGCGGTTCATTTGTCATTTTTACACCATTCTGTAGAACAGAAACTGGGAAATTTGGAGATGGATAACTTGTAAGCCACAGTCTGAAGTCAGGATGTGTGACATCTGGATTCAGTTCCTATGATAGAAATTTCACAAATGAACAATATCAGTCCTCAAGGGAGAGAAGAAATGATATATAAATTTATTACCTGAAACAGAACATCTGTACTCATTAAAACGAACACCTGCATTTTTCACATTATTTGTGAAAGACTTTTGCTGCTAGCATATAGTTAAACGATTTTTATTACCATTTTTGCTAAAGATGACATTTCAAATAACAGTAGAATATTGGTCTCCCATTTAACTACGATAATTCCAAAAGAAATAAATAATTCAAGCAGTCTTGTAATATACAAAGAAATCATGGACCAACCAATAACTAATATTTCTCCTGTCAATAAAATGCTTGAAATCATGCTGATATCTATAGTCCTGGTAACAGTAGGGAGCAGAATATTTTGTGCCAGATTTAATACCTCTGTGCATCATTTTTACATTTGCTGTGATACTTTTTATGTGATAACATTTTTATGATCCAGTGTGTATGAAAAGCATGAACATCATTTGTAAAACCCAGAGGCCAGGGAGTCAACAAAGTGGCAAGAAACTTAAGTTGCTTAGTGTATGTTTGATCATTTGCCAAATATGTTCAAAATCAAAAAGATCTGTTCTATTGCCTCCGCCTTCTCCATCTCCCCCTCTCCCATCCTTCACACCTTTGATCCCATCTTCCCCTCAACCCTCTCTCCCTCATCTGTCACTGTAACTATTTCATTTAAATAGAATACTAAGGCAAAAATTAGCAAGCTTTTTCTTCTAAAAACACCAATATTTTAAATGGCAGTTTCTTGTTGCCCCAGTGAAACTCACCATCTGCTTCACTGACTAGCTCCCTCCATTCCCCACACTGCTCCCATCCACTGCTTTACCTCCTACGCAGCTTAAACCTGCAATTTAGAATTATACTTCTAAACTTGTCCAAAGCATGGCACTCCCACTCAAGGCAATGGAGCAACTCCAGCTATTCCACAAAATATACACAACATCAGAGGGGATTAGTGTAGGAGGAAGTGGGACCTAAGCAGAGGTTGTGTAGGTACAGGAAAATATTGTTTTTCCCATTTCTAGCACAATAATAATAATAACCCTTACATTTGATCTAGCGGCTTTTATATCAGAAGGACATCTCAAAGAGCTTCACAGGACATACTGCAAAGTGGAATGGATTAGACATTTTATCGTGCTTAACTAATGATGAAACAATGAACCAAACCACCCACAAAGTAAAATAAGGCGACCAATAGATGGATAACAAGTGTGGAACTAAATACATTAAGGACCCATAAAATGGCAATAAAGACAAAACCATATAAAAATTTGATTTACTGCAGTTACAATACATAAGGTCAATTGAATGAAATCAATCCTCAATCATTGGGGCAGCCGAGAAACTGCCATTTAAAATATTGGGTGTTTTTTGAAGAAAAATCTTGCTAAATTTTGCCTTACTATTCTGTTCAAATGGAATTGTTATAGCACAACACAATATCAAATTTAAATGTATTGCAGGCATGTCTGTAGCATTACCATAAATGCCAGCATAGAATGCTTAAATAGTCTACTGTCCAATGTTAATTACCTTGGGGAACAAAAAATGAATGGAGAAAAGGTCAGATAGATGCTTCTACGCTTCATTGAGTAGGAAACAGTGACACAGGAATTTCTTAAAGAAGTGTCTTTTTGAATTTCCCAAAAGGCTGGATAAGTGGATCTAATCTTAGGATATGTAGAGGATATTGAGAATAAGAGATGAACAAGCGTACCAAGCACAGACATACCAATTTCATCGTGGATGACTGCACAGTTATTATTCTATGAGCATGGAGATGTAATTCCCCTGCTTTTTGTTGAGCACCCAGGCACAGATTTATAAGAATGGAAATAAATCTATCCTAAATTAACAACGAATTTACACATTCCAATGTTAACACGTGATGTTTGCAGTCATTGGGAGTCAGCAATTCATTAACTTTTAACTCTCAGTCTGGCCGAGAGATGCAACAAAATATTTAGAATGAGCTACAGCAAAAACAACAAATTCAAGATTTAAATAAAAGTTAAAAAAAAGTTTCTGCTTACTTAAATTTGATTTTGAATTAATTCTTGCAAATTCCAGCATGATAAGCTTATTCATAGTGTGTCCACTTCCTTAACTAAACAAAACTATTCAATTTCTTCATTTAACCCCTTCAGTAAATACTCAATGTAAATTTTAAATGTTTTTAAAAAAAATTGTAATACATAAATCTTTACCTCACAGACTCTTTCTAATGTTGTCATCCACGATGTTGCCAGATGACAGTTCTGTAGTACCACCCAGGCACCTTCCTTTACACCTTTCTCAATCAACCTCAAAGCAATGGGCCCTTGACCCTGTCCAAGTGACAGAGAATTCAGCTTGGAGCCCCCAAATCCCTGTATGGAAAGGACATACTAGTAAACATCTTAAAATGTCATTCGTGAATATTTGACAAACAAGTTGTCCATTTTAAAACACAAAGGAATATACCATGTCTTTGGTTAGTTTATTTCCTGGTGTATTGATTACACTGAGTACAGTAAAGCTGGACAAGTACTGTATCACAGGTTACAAGAATTCAGAATTATTATTTTGAATACCTATCTTCAGAACCACAGCATTCATTTTTCTCTATGGAAAACTAATTCCACTAATAAGTCCTGTGCCAGATTTAACAATTTTCCACATTTTAGTTCTGTGGTTCAGGTAATAATAGTAATCCTTTCATTTAATATAGAGCCTTATCACGTCCTTGTGACATCTCATAGCGCTTCACAGAATATACTGTAAAGTGAATTGACTGTATATTCTGTGGGCAAAAAAGGTAGCTTTTGGGGGGGGGGGCAAAATAGCTGGTACATACAGTGTCCAAATACAACGCAGGACATACCTGATCCTCAGCAAACTTGAGCAATGCAGCCATTGGATCAGCACCTGGTGACAGGATAAATATAAGTGGTGAACAGCAATGACTGTCACCGAAAGCATTGCTCAAATCAAATGGAGGAGGTTCAATGAATTGTCGTCCTAGGTTAGAAGTGACAAATTCCTGGACCATTGGAATTACCTGAACAAGAAAAGAGTGACCATTAAGCATAGCAAAGCATCCAAAGATGTTGCTATTTTGTTTTCATCTGCTACACTTTTCCAACAATGGACACATCTTTGTGTTCCATGACTTCAAATTTGAAAGCATTCATAAAATTTAACAAGAAAGAAAATCCTCAAATTGATATAAAGGAGGAAAATGTTCTTTGAATGTTATTTCTAAGTTAACTTGATATATTAATATTACAGAACTTCCCTTCGCATTCATAACAGTTGGATTATAAATACATTAAGTGCTGTTGCCCTGAGGCCTACATAGCAAACAGAACAATAAGAATGAACACCTTTGAGCAATCATTTATCCATTGTAGCCTCAAAACTAGAATTAGCATTTGTTTTATTAGACTATTTTGCAGGTATTTTTTACCCATTTACTGAGTGTTCAAACAGATATATCCTGTTCTAAATGACATTAGTAAGCAGACACCTCTCTTGTTTGTTGCCCAGTGGCATCTTACACGAAAGGCTATGTATACGTTTGTCTATATCATTAGTGCCCAATATTGTAATGCAATAAGTAAGTGCAGCAGGTTCAAAGTAAACAAAAATGCTCCAAAATATAGCAAAGGAAAAATAAGGATCAAGGGGGAAAAAAACCCTGAATATTTATAAAACTTGTAGAAAGGGAGAGGCTGGACACTGAGCAGAATACAAGACTATACAGATTTATTTTGTAAAAGAGAGACCAGAATAGTAATCCTTGGCATTTCCCACAAGACCCAGTGATGAAAGATGTATCTTTTATACATTTCAAATAGGTTGGTGAAGCATGCTATTTTGCCAGAAGTGACCCACGACCTCTTTACAAGATCCTGATTAAATCAGTTAAAAAAAGTTTATATTTCATCTCAAAAGATCAATACACCTTGCTTTTGAAAATATAATTGTTGTGTGTGTTGGAAGCACTTGTACAATTACATTTATATTGTTTTTTTCGATCTACCTAATAACTCCCAGTTTTTAAAAATCTTTTCTGGATACTTATTTATTTAATTGCTTTTGGTGATAGATTGCAGACTATGCCTCTGCAGATTTCAGACAACATCTTAACCCAAGCAGCAAAGATTAGCATTCATACCTTGTCAGGTCTCAGACAGCGAATTACAAGTAACCTCTGGAATTTCCCCAGCATTTCGTTCCAGTCACCAGGAAAATTCTCATGATGTGGCTCCTGCAAAAATAAAATATCCAGCACAAATGTCTGAGGAAACAGTCATCATAAAAACACTTTGCACCCTGAGCCTTAACAAGGTAAGATTATTTAGCTGCCAAAACCAGATAAAATATGTGAGAATAGAATCAATTTAGAAGCTACAAGCACATTACACAACTGTTCTACCTGCAAATTAAGTAAATTATCTTGGCATAATCAGCTAACATTAGCCATCACATCCTACTATAATTCATACTGAACAATGTAATATAGTTTAGAGATGTTTAACCTAAATGCTGATACACAAAATAACTGATGGATGATATATTAATGTTAAATAAACAGGCACCTACCATGCTGTCATATACAGTTTTCCATCCATCTACATGTTGTTCAAACTCGGTGTGGATGTCTTTGAAATGTAGCAACCCATCAAGTCGGCAGAATTCATCCCAAGCCTTTGAAGGAATCCAGGAACATGGACTCTCAAAGGGGTTATCGAGGCCAATACCACCAGTCAGCAAGAAGTTCCACTCCATTTGATCAACCTACAAGCAAAGGCAGAATTATTAGATAGAATGTTAAGCGACCTCACCAGCAAACTAAAATCAAACATCATTTTGAGCTAAACATTACCCATGTTCCAATTTTTATTAGAACATCATCAAGATAACAGTAATGAAATGTTGGTCTGCGTTTCCTTTACAATACCAGACATTCTAGCCAGAAGACAACAATTTGGTTTTAAAAAGCTTGCAAGCACTATTGTTTGTCCTGCTAAAGATCCTTTTGTATGCACATCTATATTGACTAAGCCATGTATGTAATCCATAACTTTTAAAGGGAATTAGACAAATCTTTGTACAGAAAAATATAAAATGTTGTAAGGAAAAGGCAGGGAAGTGAAACTAAACAGATAGCTTTGATGAGCACATTGGCCTTCTTTGATACTGTACTTTTTTTGATTCTATATGGGCTCCCCTTTCCTAGCTGAAATGGCATATTCCTAGCTGTAATCCAACAATAATATTAGGGAAGCTGCATTACCCAGTTAGTTACGAAGAGCTGTTATTTTAATACCTGTAGATGATTCACCATCAACAGCATTTTACTTAATATATTTAACCTCATGCTAATCGATTTGAAATAATAACCATGGAGCTGCAAGTCAAGCGTTGTATGACTGCAATGGCATAAGGCGCATAGAAAAACAAATAAGGGCAAAATAGTACTGTTTTTATAGTGCAACAGAAAAGATATTTTGGAACCTGTGTGTAAAACTTTCCAGATATGTGCACGTGTCATTCCAAACAAAGGGAAAATCCCATGCTAGTGGACATGCATATGTGGAACTCTCAAATTAGTTTGTATTTCTAAACATAGCAATATGTTTCCATGTGTTGGACACTTTGCTGACCCCCAAAAAAGAAAATTAGTAACTGCAAATACCAAATACTATTATACTGTAAAACCCATTTTTCGTAAAAGTAGAGAACTAACCATCTTATCATACTTTAGAAGATTTATGCTCAGGCAAAATGAAAACAACAGCTTGTCCTTTTCAAAGAGAGATCGGCAGACATTTACATACAACAAGTACGTAAAGAAGTTTTTTAAGATCTGCAACCTAGAAGTGTTGAGAAGCAAATTAATTATTCATATAGCTTTCAATCACGCACATGTAAAAATGCTATTACAAGCCACTTAGACCGCTGGAAATCTAGTAAGTTTTACAGTCAATTACACATGAAAAGTCAACAGCTCACATCAAATATGCATGCTGGTTCATACACAATGAGGAAGAAAAGGTTCCAAACTTGTTGAATTTTTGTTAATTGATTTTATAATGCGGGAATCCCACTGGATTTTATAATGCAGGAATCAGCGCCTTGGGATGTCCTCCTGACGTGAAAAGCATTATACAAATGTAATTTTTTATTGTTGTTGTTGGTAGGGCACAACTGGATGAAAACAAATCTTACAAATCGATAAAAAAAACTGTCTAATTTGTCCTTGTTATGTTTTACATAGCACCCCCCCAAATGCAAGTTGTTGTTGCCGTGGAGAATGTATTCTCACTTCAAAAATATGTGTGTTTTAATATGCTTTTTAGAACTGTAATGCCATAAGTTACTTCAGAGTGTCAGCACAACTGATTTTTGTACAAGATCATCCTAGATCTAACATACTCAAAAAACAGATACCCATTTAAAACGTACAAAGTTGTGTTTATTTATTTCCAGTTTCTGCTTTCCTCTCCTGAGCATGTTGGCTTAAGCTGGGGTATTGTTTAATAGGTTTTCCTTCAATAGTTTTTTAAGCTGCATCATTGCAAGTGAATGTCAGTGAGCTATTCGAACATGGGGGAATTCATGGCTGAGCTTCAGCTTTTGTCTCCTGACTATCAATGCATTGTCCAGGAAGGATCAACAGGTAATCAGGAGGGGGCACGAGCTGACGTGTTGTCTCACAGTCCAAAGGCACTTAATACCAATTGTAGTATTGCCGTTACCCTTACTGATTAGCAACACAAACTACAATGGCAAAGTGCATTTATATAGTGCTCTTCACGCAAGATAGTGGAACACTGGGGATTAAACTGGGATGCACCTGGAGAGTTATTCTCTTCCATCGATTTGAAATTGGAAATATTCTAGCCCTCGTCTCCATGGCTAAATGCCACATGAGGTGGGCACATTTACCAACTGAGCTGTCTCAGAAGCTTTTGTTTCAAAAATTAAATGCATTGAAAGATTTGCTTTTTTAAAAAAATAGGCTGATTCCAAATAAGTAATACGTAATGTGGATGTGTTGGCTTCCACCATTATCTACGGTATAATATGAATAATTTGTTTATGCACCACTATACCATACCTTTTTATTTTGGTCATATTAGTTGTTGAAACTATTATAATTAATAAAACGTGAAATAATTTCATATATTAAAATTTTTAAAAAATGTTTCAGCATACCTTTTTTTTAAAACATCAGTTTTATCTGAATTTTCTATAGACATGATAAAAAGGTTGATAAACCAGTTTAGGGAATACTGGTACATAGGTTCTATGTTGCCAAGGTCAGCAATTGAAAAAAACAGGATGGAGGAATGTACTGAAATAGGTCGGTAGCCCATTCGAGTAGCATCAATCTTCTTTTCTGTTTCCTCAGCTATCGCTTGCTTAACAGTTATCTCATTGGCAAGGGTCTTTGACGAAGACAAAACCTTTATAGCTGTCTCATCTTCCAAGATATTTCCTTCTGAGGATGAAAGAACTTCCAGAATCTTATCTTCTATTTCCTTCAATTGCCTGAATAATGAAATAATCTTGAGTTTAATTCAGGTATTTTTGTTACAAAACCACTTTGCATTGTTCAAAAAAAAATCTGAAGAAAGCAGCTGTAAATGTTACTATCAACTTAGAACCTCTCGAGATTACATTATAATTAATTCAATCAACTTTCACAGTGCTGTGAAAAAACTTGCTGATCAACTAGGTGGCAGTATGTGTGTCGGCCTCAGGTGGTAGCATTCTCTTCTGAATTAGAAGGTTAGAGATTAAAACTCCAAGTCAGCACTTTGAGCTCACATAATCCAGGCTGACACTCCAATACAGTGCTAGGGGTCAACTGCATTATTTGAGATCCCATCCTAAGGATGAGATGTTAAACTAAGATCCTGTCTGCCTATTCGGGTAAACAGTAAGGCACCCAAGACATTATTCAAAAAGAAAAAGAAGACCATGGAGTTTCTCCCAGTGCCCTGGCCAACAATCTCCCAGATAGGTCATTCACTTCATGGCTGTTTGTGGGCCGTTGCTGTGGCCAAATTGGCTGCTGTCTTTGCCTACAATGTACACAATCATTTACAATAAAATCCTGCGAAGCTTTCTGAGACATCCTCACGTGATAGGTGCTTTAATGAATTGGAAATATTACTTATATTATCAAACATGAATACAGCTGATACTTTATTACCAGTATATACAGATGTTACCCATTTGATAACATAGAATGGAATGAACCTGTGCTCCCTCACTTTGTCTTATTTGATCAGTAATATATACAACTGTTTTAGAATCTTAGTACGTGCAATTAAGGTAGACCATAGGCCAAACCTGATTTCAAATACTACTTAATATAGGTTGTAGAAAACTAACCCACTTATTGTCCTACTGTAGTATTTAATATTATTACAGTATTTAGTACTATATGCAGATTACTATTCATGATAAATAAACATTTTTTTTTCTTTCACCTTCAAAAGTGGGATATTATTACATGGACACCAAGTGCCCGCCAGTACTTCACTCAAGTACCCATACTTCATGTCAGGCTATGTTACAAATGTAGGTTTAGAGCAACATCACTTGACTTATCCAAAAATGGTCTACTCTCCAATGAGAACCAGCACGCCATTTGACCACTGCAGCTGAGCCATCTTCACGTTTTCCAGCAGGGGTCACTGGATAGCAAGCAAATGTGGGATCCTGAATGTTTTTTTCTCTCTGCAGCACAGGGGGCACTGTGGTGATTTACATCACGACGCTGCTCTCTAGCTGATATATACTCATTTCGCTTGAACTGAAACTGAAATTATAGCCTTCTGTAAGTATACCTTAGTCCTGTTTTGCCTGGTTGAGGCTTTCTGGCCTGCTTTATAAATTGAATTCCATTTGTTGGCAGACAGAGCTTGTTAGAAATCTCTCTCACAGGCTATGCTTGTGGTTATTTGAGAAGAGCATGAAGATAAATACATCTTTATAGGAGGTGAGAAGAGTTTTATGCTTTGAGCAATCAGTTGATTTTAGCTTAGGTGATCTGGACCACAAGGAACCCCATCACCCAATATTGTCAGTTTGTGCTGTGTTATGTTTCTTATTCAAGATCAAACCATTTATTAAATGAAAATTAATGAAAAATATTAGTTTTATTGCGATCTGAAGTAATATAACTTGACTCTCCAGGCTCAGAGATTTTGTCTAAAAATACTTTGCAATCTCAAATAGACTGGAAAATTTTGCCCTTTAAAATATACCATCAACCAATTCAGAAAGAACACTTTAAAATGTAACAAATACAACTCCTAATCCAAATTAACTCACTATCTGAAGTGAATGTTGTCACCTTGGAATATAAGATCGAAGTGAGGAGATAACCAAAGAGTCATCTGCATCCAGTATGCAATTCAATTCATTGAGCCCTTTGAGTATTTTTTATTGAACTATTTTCAAGAAAAATAGCCAGGATCAAAATTTACTACTGGAGGCAAGCATGTGGAGTAGATGATACTGAAAAAGATTGTCAACTTTAATAGCCTTTAACTCTAATCTCAGTAGAGTTGCAATCTTTTTAGATGTGATTAGGAATCTAACTTTTTTCCAAAAAAAATCTCTAAACAGTGAGTACAAGCAAAGGTGAAAGAAAATAAACAGTGATAATCATGAAAGAGCTGTCATGAAGCGACATTTTTTCAAATGTTCGGATCAGAACATGTACAGTGATAAACCAAGAGTTTAAGGTCCAACATGGAAAATATAATTTCTGGATCAATATTGTTAATTGATTTTCTTATTCAATTTCATGAAGGAAATACATGTATGAAGTAATGCATGCTTAACATACAGTTTTAATCACATTGCATTTGGATTTTTTNCACTTAAATCCTAGTAGATATGGCATAAATGCTTAAGAAAAATACATAATTCAATATTATGCTACAATGTATTAACCACATTAAGCAAGAGAGAAAATAGCATGTAATATGCATTTGTACAAATTAGGGATTTGTTTACCTTTTATTTTCTGCACTTTGTAAGATTAAAGATTGCTTCTCCTCTTCCAGGTCTGGTCTCTCTCTAGCCACCACAAAACCCAGAAGCTGGTCCTGCAAACCCTCTGACGTAATCATAAAGTTCAATAGGGTCACCTGCGCGTGAACCAGACAGGAGAAAAATCAAAATTCGTCTCATTGTTAGCAAATTATTGAAACGCAGCAATTTCTGACCTGAATCTATTTTCTGTTGCCAAATTTGGAATTGTCATATGGTTGAACTGAAACTGGTTCAACTATCACTATCTGCTTCTAGCTACAAGTGTGACTGCTAATAATATAGTGGTCACATGAGATGATATAGAATTAGTTCCAAGATTCTATTATGTCACTGAATTTGTTTCAAGGGTAATGATCTATTGTGTGATTGCAGATCTGTAAGTGATCAGTAGCTATTATATTTAATATGTAGTTCTATCATACTGTATTACAGAGTATTCTCCACCTCTACTTTTAGAAAAGCAATATTGGTTATTATTAGAAGCACAGAACCCATATCAAATACCATAATTACACTTTATGTACAATCTAAGAGCCTGGAGCACCACTGAAGAATATATAATATAGTATAATAGTCAATTTGAGTCTATTTTATGAAGGGATCTAATATTTCTTACTAAAGCAAACTGAAAAGTCCAACAAATTGCCCAAAATTAATTTTGAATGTATTTTCTTTTTCAAATCTATTATCTATAGTTTTAAAAAAAACTTCAAAGGTGGTCACTTGATGGCTATCATTACATTTTCAAATTTCAGATTTTTTTAATGCATTTCAGTTACATTCAGGATCAATTCCAATTATATTGCATTCAATTAACGCTGTGTTGGAAAATATATGAATAAGAATTAATTGGAACCAACTGCTTAATAGGTGATTTCTGTAGTATTTACATGTACAATGCACAAGAGATGATTTAGGCAACAGTTTTGAGATAATAGAAAATATTTGTTCCAATAAGTAATGTATCTTACTCAAGTGTTAATAGCACAATTATATAATGGATCCATGGGTCACCAAACAGAGGCATAAAAAAACATAAGTAAAACACAACTAAGAAGGAAATACAGGTTTGAGAACTTGATGATGAAGTTGAATTTGCATATCAAATATATAGTATATTGCTTTTTCTACTGTATAAATTATCGATATTTAAATTTATTCCACCCAGTCCATATTCAAATAAACCTTCACTCTTAAATATAAATAAGTTAAGCAATTCTTTCTGTCAGATTCTAGGTGTTACCTCAAGGCTCAATCAGCTCAGTTAAATCACACACTTAAAAAAGATTAATAAAATCAGTTACACTGTGATAGAGAAACGCAACATGGGTCAGATATTTTTATAAAAATATTATTTCAAACCTTGACCGATGTTTCTGGAAGATAATGGGGATTTCTCAGCTTAGTTGTGATGTAAAAGCGGAAATCCGGGGCATATTCAATTGTGGAATCACCGAGTCGAATGCATATGCTGCCGCCTTGTTTAAATGTTTGTTTAAGCAGCAAAGGTTCCAGGATGGGATCCAGTTCATCACCAACATTTTCTAACAAAACTGGGGAAAAAATCATTAATGTTCATTATTTTCCATTGCACTCTGATTTTGTTTGGACATTCATATCCACTGTGATTTAAAATAAAAATCTAAAATATTTTTCCAGTGATATCTTTGCATTGGCATTATTTGATTATACTGCCTCATAACACTTCAGAGTTTTCTGCATTACGTATTTCAAATTGTATAAACAAGCGTACGATAAGAGTATTGTACTGTTAACTATATGCTCTTCCTGGTTATTTAGCAGAAAATTGTAAATTCCATCTCGTAAGTCAACGACAACAACAATTTATACTTATATAATGCCCTCCACGGAGGGCAGCATCCCAGAGCACCCAACAGTGGTGGAGTCTGACTCCGAGCCAGGGGGCTCCATATACAAATAATACAATACCACTCAAATCCTTCCTTCATTAAATTTTCCTTGTACAATCAAAACATGTAATTTTTGAAGCAGTTTTCCTTCATGGAAAACTGAAGGAATCAGTTGCCCTTCGTTAGGCAATGCTTTGAACTGCATTTCTAACTTACCAGGGGTGCCAAACTGTATACAGTTTTCCAAAGTCCTTACAAAGTCAGCATCACTAAGTTTGATGACATGAAGACTGTTTGCCTTTTCCATATTTTTCACCCATTTATTCGCCTGGCCTTGAGGGTCTATCATTAGAGGCCACCTTCGAGCATTTCTGCAAATGGCACAGAAGTGTGATTTCTTTAAAATTTACTATACTTCCACAGGAATAAATTCCAAACCCTAATCAATACTTCGAATGGCATTGTAATCTTATTTTTGGATAATTATTATTGAATTCTTTAACTACTTTCAAAGCATGCATTATTAATCCCAAATAGTTTTATTTGCATCAACGTTTACATTCTAAAGGTCAAAAACAATCCCTCTTTGAGCTGCTTTATACTTACAATATAACAATGCCATTGTCAATAGAGAAATTATCAGAAGGTAGACCGGCAATATTCCATGCTCGAATTTTTACAGGTTCCCCCAAAGTGTTTACTAGAGAGAAATCATCAGAACATGGGATGACCATTTTCTTACAGTCTATCACCCATTTCATCACTTGTTCCTAGAAGTATACAAAAATAGATCATTAATATATCATCATGGCAAGCTGCAGCACCCACAAATAGCAATAAAAATAGAAAAGGGAAACAGGTTGATTTTGTACGCAGTATATCTAGAAAAGAAACATAATTTTTTGAAGGAAAGTTTGCTTTGAGGAAAGCAAGAGAATAGAATACATTAATAGAAGAATATGTTTTGCATCAGTTTAAAGTAATAAAATCTATATGCATAATTCAGGAACACTTATCTTAAACTTATGAATATTGACATTCTAATGCAGAAATAGGGAGCCCTGCATTGTCAAAGATGCTGGCTTTGGATGACTTTTCATCTGTCAAAGTGTAATGCTAGATCAAGGACCTGAGAAATATATAATCCTGGGGACTATAGAACTCATAGCTTTCACTGAGAGTGTATCAATCCCAAGGAAACTGAGTCTGCAGATCAAGAGAATGAATACAACAACAAATTACATTTGTTTAGCACCTTTCACGTCAGGAGGACGTCCTAAGGATTTGGATGATGAATAGAGGACGCAATACACTAAGGGAGAAAATGGACTGCAAAAAAACTCTTGCTCAGAAGGTTATAAATGAAACAAATATGGAGCATAGTATACACAATAATTGATTACACAAATATTAGAACATTTCCATACCCATATGAATGCACATTTTAGTTTTTCTGATATCTACCTGTCTATAAATGGATGTAAATGCTCCTAGATAAGCTACAATTCCAGAAGAGATGAGAACATCACCAGTCAGGTTAGTGTACTGTATCCCTAGGTTTACAGCAGTCTCACTCCAGCGAGTTTTCTCACCACCAAGACCGCCTATGAGCTGTTCTGCTCGATCCAGTTTTTTACTGCACAAGTCAACCTACAATTAAACAAAAAGATGTGGGGAGTAATTTCTTGGTTCATTTAACATAATCTTATTACAGGCTTGGATTACCAAGGTCAGTAAACTCATCCTTACAGTGTTGTTCATTGAAATAAAGTCCTTTACAAAAATAAGTTAAAGATAACTTCCACAAAAGCTACAGTTTACATTACCTGATTTTCCAGGTCTGCTTTCTTTTGTTTGTTCCCTTCTAGTGTCACTTGCAGTTTTTGTAACTTTTCTTGGACTTCCTTCAGTGTAGCTTGCTTCTTTCTGAGCCCATCCATAGCGATTTTCAATTCACCTTCAGCATGTGCCAGCTTTGCTTTCTTGGGGGCTACAAGCTTAGCAACTCTGAAGAAAAGAAGGAAATAATAAATTTCCAATTTGTGCAACTCAACATTGATTTAGATGAATGTTGTTTCAAATATTTTATGATGCAGCTTCAAATGCTTACTTATCGTAGGAGTCCATGGCAATGACCCATTTGCAGAGACCTTCAGCTGCTGTAGAAGCATTGCGAATCTTTTCTGGAACAAACTCTGGGTTTGTCAGATATTTATTCCTGATGACATTCATGTAACTTACAGGAATATTGTCCTTGTCATATTCATGCAGTGATTGTAAAAACTTCATGTCACCAAGTAACCTTTTGGCCGGACCCCAGAAGTCTTCTATCTTTTTACCTGAGCCGGTAGGATCTGGAATTCTATCAGGTTTTATCCCTTTTAAAATACAGATAGTCTCCATAACCAGCTTTACGCCATTAGGAGGGCTCTTCATGGATTTCACCACTGTAATGTCCTAAAAAATTATAAAACTTTAGTCCTGCCTGGGTTAAATGTTATCAGACATATTTGAAAACAGTGTAAAATATCTTATAAAAAACATATTCAGGCTGAAAGTCAAAGCTATTGTTTGTATCGACTATATCATTAAAAACTATATACAAGTTCTTTCTTACCTGTGTAGTTAATGTGTCAAGGGCAGAAAGAGCAGCTTCCAGAATAGGCATTGCTTTTGCCAGATCAGCATCACATTCATCCTTAATTGCTTTTGATGCCATGGCTTGCTCATTAGCTATTGCTTCATCAGCTTTCACAGTCTCTTCTGTTTTTGATACCTCAATGGACTCCTTTTCAATCATCAACATCATTTCATCCACTTCTTTACTGGCATCCTTGAGTTGAGGTTGGAGGGCTTCCAATTCAACCTGCATGACAGCGACCTGCGAAGCGGCAGACTCCAGTTTCTCCAGACCAACCTCGTATCTCCTCTTCATCTTCATCACCTCACTGAGACAAAAGGTACAAAAATATCCACTATTCTTTCAGAATAATAGGTTTTCTTATTGAGTTAAAATAAACACATTTAATGTGGAACTTCGCCGGCTGTTGAAACCTGTGGGACAAATGTTTCTTGGTAAATTTAAATTCTTGTACACGCAAGACCACAGCATTTTTTGTGCTCAGCCAGGCCTGTGACACATGCAAAAACTTATCACCATGCTTATGAGTATTCAAGCTAAAGTACTGTGGTGTCCTGTAGCTCAGTGGTTAGAGCACTCGTTTTGCAAGTGAGAGACCTGGATTCGACTCCCAGCAGAGTGAAACCTTGGACAAGTTTCTGCCTGATAATAATCCCTCAAAAAAAACAATAATAAATTGGTCACTTCAATCCACGATTGTCTGTGGGACACTGCTGTGTGCAATTGGCTGCCGCATTTCACTCACAAATATACAGTCAATTCACTTTACAGTCTATTCTGTGAAGCTCTTTGAGACGCCCAGAAGACGTGAAAAGCGCTATATCAAATGCAAGAATTATTATTATTGTGAGTTCCACGTATATATCGTCTCAGTTTGTAGAGTGTCCACTCTCCCCAGAAGAACAGACTCTGATTACCTAATCCTGGAGAACTTAGACATAGATTGGCAAAAGCCAAGGCTTGGAGATACCTCTGGGAATTGGGGGTCCTGCTGGAGTTTAATCAGTTACCAGATTTATATAGAAGTTAGAGGTAGACCTTATCATAGAGAACACTGAACTCAGTAGTTCTGATTGATCCAGGTAAGGCTACGGCCCATCTTTATGTCCTTGAGCATGTATGACTCGGGTATGTTGCATGAGTTATACATCTAGAAAGGTCTTCACCAATACAGAATCATCCATTTCAATTGGTTTGGGTATTTTTCTATCAGTGAAGGTCTTTCTAGTTGTTTAGGAAATGCAGCAGGCAAAACATCACCTATGTTTTGCATGCCAGTTAACATTACAAACTCATTCACCCGATTCCAAGAAATTAAGAAACTGAAATTACAGCTCAGGGACTTCAACAAGACTTTGTTCTGTGATGGGTTATATAATCCTGCATATTTATTTCTATGTTCTGCAACCTATATGTTATACAATAGGGTTGTATACCAGAGTTTTAGATTATAGCTGAACTCTGCCAGTATTAAGGTATTAAGGTATTATGTCCAAATGTTACAAGTAGGCTAAAGATGAAAAGTTATGTTGGCCCTGGGTATTGGGCATTCACATGCAAAATATTTCCCTGGGCATTATAAGTCAACTGTATACTGAGAGAAAGGAAGCCTTTGTGGTCGATGTACATTATTGAATTGACTTCTTTTATTTCCTTAAGTTTGTGGTCAATTGCACTCAATCGCACCTGGGAATGCTAGCAATGGCATAACATATTGCTCTCTCCAGCTATTCACCTTTACAGATTAGCAAATAGATGAGCAGTGCAGTTTAATGGCTTTCTTCACTATTCACCAATTTTTTTTAAAAAAGAAGGTATTTTTCCATAAAAGCAAGCATCTCTTAAAAACTGATCATCATCCTCCTCTTATGTAGGTCTATACCCAGGAGAAGTAGCCTGTTCTGAGGTCCATAACAACAGCACTCTTCAAGTAGCTGGAGAATATATAAGTGCAACTCAGTGGCACGCTACCCTGCAATTTTTCTCTCAATTTGTGAGGATTGAGTTCTCATACATTAGCACAGCTGAGACAAGTAACATAGTGGAGTGGCAAACTCCAGATGCTATCTCCCACTTCATTCCCATATGACAACATATGTAGAAGGTCCAGCATAATGCACTCATTATTAATCTCAGATTTTTTTTCAACCATATCTAGTTATAATGCTCTTTAAAATCCTAAAGCCACACAATGCCTAATTTAAATTGGACTCACTTTCGTTTCTTCTCAAGTAATGATTGGAATGTGGACAAAAGTTCTAAGTAAGATGTTGGAGTCACGTAGTTGTGTCTTTCAAGCTCTAAATGGAATTTTTCAGACAGTTCAATAGTTGAGGTATGAAAACTCTGGCACATATCAATACAGCTCATACGTATATCTTCTGCCATTTCAATATCCCCCAAGAAACGTGTTGCCACAGCTTGCAAAGCATCCTCTGGCCAGGACTAAATGGTTAGAGAAGTCGGTTAGATAAGTTGAACAATACAAACTAAACTTTCACATAATTGTTATTACTCATTCTTAGCTCTTAAAAATCTAGTAGGTAGAAGTCTGAGTTGCAGGCAAACGGTATAAATCATATAAAATCCAATTTAGTCAATAATCTACACTGTGCATGCAGCTGGTAAGTACGCGTGCAGTGAAAGTCAAGACTCAGTTTCCCATGATTTAATACGGCTTCACCCATGAGCTAAAAAAGAATTCCAGGTCTTAAATTAAATACACCAATTTATTGTGGTTTGTCACTGTCCTTCAACTGAAATCAAGTTATTTCTTAATTGTTCAGCAAAGATATAAAAAAACTAAATAAATATCTGAATTCAGCCACTCACCTGAAACCAATCTATTGTGCAGCAGTTGACAAGTGCCGGAAACTTCCTTAATCTGCTGCGGAAAGCATCCCCAATTGGACTCATTGCTAAAACCACATGCAACTGATTCCGACAGCGCTCAATAAAAAGATTGAAAAGAGCTAATGGACTCCCATCCGTCTGCTTTGATCTGTCTCTTTGACGGTCAATAATACGCATACGTTCACAGACTTCCTGTTTCTCATCCACAGCAAAGATATTCGGTACTTCACCCGCATTCAGCAAATTGTTGATGTCTTCCAGAAAGGATTCCTGTTTGATCTGAGTGTCTGTGAATAAGAAAACACCTTGCATCTCACCTTCCGTAGATTTGCGGAGTATGTGTTTCAAGTCTTCACGCCATTCATTAGTGCCATAATTCTTGGCAAGTTCAACCTGAAACAGATCATAATCTGCCATGTGTGCAGCAAGCCGGGTTAGCGACTGACGACCACTGCCTCCAACTCCCACTAACAGAGCGTGACCTCGGGGTTGTTTAAGAATGCGGGAAACGCGGCACACATGTTCAATTGCAAATCTGAATATAACCAGATTCATAGGCTTTTTGCTAAGGTTGTTAAATTCCTCCAAATGAGATTCTACAACCCTCCGTAACTTGACCATATCAAAGATTTCACGGTAGCTTTTGTCTGCACCCCTGGAATCGTGGAAATCACAGAACATAAGGCTGCGAAGATCATCTTCCACCACTATTCCATCAGCATTGAAGTCAAGATGTTTGAAAAGTGTATGAAAGTTCTCATTCAGGTCACTGACCACCACGTCTTGAATACAAGAAATGAGCCAACTTCGATCTAAATCATCCACCAGACGATCGTAATACACTCGCAAAACCTGCATTTGCAATAAAAATAAATATTGAATTATGGATTGTTGAAAGTGCAATAAAGCAATTCAAGGATTCAGAAATAGTTCATTCAAATCATACATTAAAGCATTTTATTTATTCTCTACCATCTATGTTTAATAATACTTTAATTACCCTGTAAATAAAATGAAAGCAAGGTCAATTATTTTTAAAATAGTGCTGAAATACGCTTGCTGTTTCATTAACTCTATTTTCTATTAAGATAATTATTACTGATTCTTGTTCCCCTTCAACCCTGGAAGTGCCATATCAGTTTTAACAAATGAGTGACTCACACATAAATTGAAAAGTCAGAACCATTGTGTACCACTAGGATTTATCACAGATCTATAGAGTAATATTAGGGAACCTGCATTTCATACTTTAAATGTATGATTTTTTAAAAAATTGATCAAAGGTGGAAATATAATGCAAGCAAAGTACTCACATCTGCTTAATTAAAACATTTCACTGACATTTTGAAAAAATGCAAGTGAAATTTTCTATGGCACTCGTTATGAATCAAAATACTATTTTGTAACAGGTAGACACCAAATTAATTTTACTTAAAGTTGAATGAATGAATTCTACTCTCGCAAGTGAAAAAAAATGTCACCTCATGAACCCAGAGGCGTTTTATGTCAGCTGGACTTTCAGATGTCTCCGGATATGAAAGACAAACTCCCTGAATAACACGGGAGAAGTCACGCAGATTGAACAGATAGTGAGACTTGGCAGGTGTCGGAAGGAGATTCTTCATTGCTTCCTTGTAAGTAGTCATAGTGGCATTAACAATTTGTGGAGTCAGACTGGCATATTCCCCTGGGAAAGCAAACCTAAGAAAAAAATATAAAGTTATTTTCGCATGTTTTCTTGTTATATAAAGACAAAACTAAACAATGCTTCACCTTTTAAACACCTAGATATGTTTACTATTCAGATAGTATTTGTGGAGTCCTGTAGCTCAATGGTTAGAGCACTCGCTTTGCAAGTGACAGACCCGAGTTCAATCCCAGGCAGAGGGCAAAACCTTGGGCAAGTTTCCTTACTCCACACACAGCTTAATAATAATCCCTCCAAAAACCGAAAACAATAATAAATTGGTCATTTTCAATCTACAACTGTCTGTGGGACATTGCTGTGCGCAATTGGCTGCCGCTTTCGCCCACAAACATACAGTCAATTCACTTTACAGTGTGTTCTGTGAAGCGCTTTGGGACGTCCTCCCGACGTGAAAAGCGCTATATCAAATGCAAGGATTATTATTATTATTATTATAGTATCTGCTCAGCAGCCCTCTTACCATTTGAATCAAATTCCATATTCAAATCATTCTAAGGTTGTATTCATAATGTAACTTCTAATTCCCCTCTTAGGTTTCTATTTCTGTGGAGGGTTTTGAATAGCAATAGAAAACATTCCAGATAGTTTCATCCTTATCTATTCTTGGAAGTAATATCTTCTCTTTTCCTCCTCATCTCCTGGACTCCATTTTCCTTCCAGTGTCACACAGTTGCGACGGGCACAGGGAAAACATTGGTCCTTATCCAAGTAAACAAAGCAACTTCTGGTTCAGCTTCACTCTAGACATTAGTTTTCTTTACCAACTAAAATATGGGGGGAATGGGAGCATACACAAATTGAATTTTCTATTTTAATCCCAATTAAAGGAATTCAAATAGCCTCTGTATAGATTTTAAAAACTCAAAATAAAGTAGTCAGGCGTATTTAAAGCAGCCTCGATTCTCACCAGAAAATTGGATGAAGAAAGTGTGAAATAGAAAACTGAAGTAAAACAACAAGCATTTTTTCATACTAGTCCAAGATCTCTGATCTGAGATTTTATAGGGTTAGTAAGTAATAAGGCTGGACATTACTTCTAATTGATGTAAATTCCTGCCAGTTAAGTCAAACAAAGCAATTAATCAGTGTAACATACCTTAGAGTGAAGTGCCAGTCAAGGATCCGAGAGAAAATGGTGAACATGGCTTTGTCATCAAACTCATTGATAGCCAATGTGTTAAAATGGCGCAAGAATCGAGGTGTGATTGGGTTTCGGCCACCACCTAGAAACAACATATCTTCTGTTATTAACAAAAACACATTATGAAAACAAAATGACACTGAGTGACATTGTGGAGTCATGGATTCAAATCCAACCTTGACAAATGAATAATGATTCTTCACTATAGAAGATTCCTATTCAAAAAGCATGCCGGAGTCTCTACCAAGTATGTGCATAGAATTCTCCTCACAAAGCTCCTCAGAAATTGAAAGCAATTGATACCTAGCTGTATTCCATCACCAATGATAACGTTTTGTTTAAGGCAGCCACTTTTTCCCCCATCTCCTTGATATGAATGACCACATCACCATTCTGTGTGCACTAACTAGGATCACGTAACCTCTTACACATCAGTAGAATTCCTTTTTCAGTTGGAAATGATCACCGAATGCAAAAAGTTAAAAACGATGTTGGCTCCAGGTAAACATTTAACTTTGAATAATGCAAAATATCACCTCCTCAAAAAATATAAATTGAGAAGTAAAGAAGGGGGTTAGTTATTGGACTCTGGTCAGTATATCCTTCAATGTGCACTTATAATGGAACTTCACATTATGAGCACATATTGAAAGATTCATAAAGCACAATAACAGAGCAGAAATGCCCCACCACCACCAACAGCAGAATTCCAAAAGGATTGGAATAATACAATACTACTCAATACCTGTGCAAAACAACAGATAAACTACCAGAACTTTATAAAACAATATGTTATCTGGCTTAATGAAAACAATGTAAATGACAATTTCTAAAAATACTTATTAAAACAGTGTATGTTAGCTATAACGTTTAAAACTCTTTATATAGAATTTTAAATCAGTTTCTATACTTGCATACCTATACCATATGATAACTCACCAGGTGGCCCCATTGCACACATTATTTGTATGTCCACCAGTTTAACCTTGGTACAGTCCTTCAGGTCATACCAATTCCAATGGTCTAACCACTGCCGAAGTAGTTCAACTGGTGGCTGAGCACCATACACTTCTCGTGCCGGCATGTTCACATCATCTACAAAAACAACCTGGAAAGCAATTAAAATCATAATGATAACAGGTTAGATTAGTAATCAGAGTAACCAAGTTCAGAGCAGAAAGTGTCTTGAACTGGGTCATTTCAGGTTAATTCGCAATTGTTTTTTTACCCCCTAATTCAGATCATTTTTAGTTTCGGAGAATAGTGTCAAAAATATATATCACAGAGGTCAATTAAAATAACCTGTGACTTTAAGATTTTTTTAATGTTTAGTGCATTACAAGCCTTGAAAATGTTATCCAGTGAAAATAACAGAGGTATACTGCAACATAAACCTACACTATGGGCCTAATTGAGATTTTCACCAACTAGATTGAATGTTCTCATTGTAACTTTTTCACTGTGAATATTATAAACTGTTTAGTTGGCATGATTTCCAAAAGGGTGAATTGCAAATCCCAAAGAAGCCAAAGTCCGGCAAGTAAAATATTTTGTGGGCATCACAAATTACAAGAGCAAGTTACACTTCAATTGCACTTCCTTTCACGATGGATACTGCCGAAGTGCTTTACAAGGATGGTGTGGTCAACAAGCAAGGTGGGAAGAGGAAATGTAGGACGAATGTGGCTGAAAGCACAAAGATTTGTAGGAACATTCAGAAAGTAATGATAGAGGATCTGAGGCAGCGAGATTTGAGGGAGCTCCATAGAACGGGGACATAGCGGCTGAAAACAGAAGGCCAAAGAAGGGGTGGAACAGATGGTGGAAGTGCAGCAGGTCTGGGTTTTGCAAAGTGCAGAGAGTGGGTGGGAGAATAAGGGATGGATCAGATCTCGGGAACATGAAGTTAGTGAAGCCTGGTGAGGATCAGCTGCAACATGTGGAAGGCGGGGTTATTTAACAAGACGTACAAATATTTCTGGGATGTAATATGGACTGCTTGGTTACTGACTTTCTAAGTTATTAGCTTGTTTAGCAATTATTGTTACAGTATCCACTATGTACCGTTTTTTTCCCAAGAGGTGGACCAAAAACTCCTTTCCTTCTTTTGTCTAATTTGGACATGATGATGTTCTGAGTCTGAGCAGCAGTAGTCTGGGCTGAAAAGTTAATCAGCAGTGGTTTGTAAACCTCTTTGTTCAGATTATTTAATAGGAAATCCTGCAAGAAAATATTGCAAATCCTCTGGTTATTTTACAACACATACAGTTTAGCTCCCAACATACAACTGAACAAAACAAGGCTAAAATGAATGGCCCTGAAGATAATTGACATGTAATTATTTTTTATAATACTATCCAAAACCACAAGAACTTGCAATCCATTCCTTCAAGACTGTGTGAAAAGTGATTAATTCACAGGACAAATGAAATCAATAGCAAAATGCAATCCTTTGCTGCAGCTTAAAATACGTTTTCAGCTCTTTTCATGCCAGAGGCAAAGTAACACTGTTGTGTCATTTGTTTAAGATATAATCTTATTTCACCTTAAATATATGAATCTGAAGTTTTCAAAGAATTAAAAACAATGCCCAAATCTTGTTCTTCTCAGTGTAAGACTGTTACTCCTCTACATTATTTTAGTCTTGAAATGCCTACCACTCTAGTCAACATAGAAATCTAATTGAAAATGAAAGCCATTTGCTCTTATATTTTATGCTTCTCAAGGTATCTGCTTCATGCTTGTCTTGGTTTGGGGGAGGGGAAAGACGCCTATACGTACAATAATATAGACACTTTTTCCTGTTCCTGTTGGGCCCACGTATATAGAAGGTTTTTGATGTGTTGTCAAAAGGGTCATCAGTTCCATATAGCGAACGGTATCTAAAGTTGGTACGATGATTTCATTAAACTGCACATCCTTTGAAATGGGGGGAACTGACTTCAGGGCTTCTGTCCACAATTCCCACCTTCCTGTTCCCTAAGAGTTGAAGTTACAAACGTTAAAGGTAAATTAGATGTACTGACATGTTTACCGAATTACATAAAATGCACACATTAGAAGGCAAAGTAACATTTGGGGATCTAACTTGCAGAACCACAAATAAGATCCTTTTGTTTCTATATTTTAATGTCAATCAATTTGACTTAATATTATAGTTACATCATTCATCTCAGGAGACAACCTATGAAAGCTAATCTAATCTGAGATCTGATTTAGAAGATTCCAATGTCCAATCATCAGTGCTAACCTTGGCAAGAAGGCACATCTTATTCTTTGCTGGTTAATAAAGTATACTTTACCTCTATAATCTGCTCCCCCACATTACTGTTACCCTAACGCGTGATTTGGAGGGGGGGGGAACTTAACGATTCAAAATCTAGGACTGCTGGGCTTCAGCTCGGCACAATCTACATATTTTACTCACTCAATGGGAATTTGAACTCAACATAATTATTAAAAAAAAGATTTTTTTTTAGCCATTTAGTGATTTATGTGTTAAGAACAAAAATCTTATTTGAAGTCTGTTTTTCAAATGGACTCTACCTCTACCACCTTATGTGGCAGAGCATTCCACATCCAACAATTCTCTGAGTGAAAACAGTTCACCCAAATTCTCATTCTACTCTTCTTATAACTATGGCTCCTCATCACAAGCACACACATTAGTATCTCAATATGGTTTCTCCTGGTAATTGTTCACTCAATAAGGCAAATTTCTCTCATCATTAGATGATATCGGATTTATGCATGAATCAATACTTGTCTATGTTGTATATTTAAAATCAATAATTTTGTAATACATACATCTTTAATAAATGTATAGTCGTAAACTTTTCCCTCAGTTGGAATTGGGGCAGTGGGAGCTTTAACTGGAGGATCAACATTGATAATGAGACCAAATTTTTTCTTTGTCTCCTCTCTTAGTGGCCCATCCATTATCTCCCGCAGAAGCTTGTCAAACATCACCCGATCTTCTTCTGTACAGCTAGCACCAATAGACCAGATCAAGGAAAATAGAAAAACACCCTAAGGAACAAAAAAAGATTTAACCATTTTGCAAACAAAAACAAGTAAAAGTCCATTTAACAAACATTAACAATCATTAAATACGTGCCAAGCAAAGAACAAGCTCTGGAGCAAAAGGTAAGTGTATTTTTACCCAACTTGCACTCATACAAAAATGATGAATTGCTTACTGCAGGTATGGTGTATCCTATTCTCTAACAATATCCTTTGATCGTATTCTCTCACAAAAATATATTTATATGTGAAATCTTGTCATTTTCCGGGCAACACCTAAGAATACTGTCCTTTTTAATGTAAAACAATCTGTACAATGAGATCAGCTCATCTGGACCCCACTGAACAAAAGATCAAATGATCTTCCCCTATATTGTTGTATGGAAAACCTTGTTCTGTGCCTATGCAGTAAAACATTTAATATGACTTATTTAAAAGTCCAAGTTGCAGACAAACTATAAACGTATAAAATCCGATTTAATCAATAATCTACACAGCTCAATTCAATGCAGCCGGTAAGTGTGCGTGTGTTATTTTGTCATGGGAGCCGGTAAATGTGGATCCAGTGACAGATACTACATTTCCCGCGATTCAATGTGTTTGACTTGGCGCCACATGGGCACTTACCGGCAAGCATTGGAATCACACTGAATCACAGGAAATGAAATTCTTCTGTTCACGTGTCAACAGAAAAAGACTACATTTCCTGGGATTCAATGCAGCCGAACGGTAAGTGCGCATGGGTGGACGGGTCGGGAAGCGTGACTCAATGCTGTCAATAATAATAATAATAATAATCCTTGCATTTGCTATAGCCCCTTATCACATCTTCCAGACATCTCAAAGTGCTTCACAGAATATACTGTAAAGTGAATTGACTGTATACTTTGTGGGAGAAACGCAGCAACAAATTGCACACAGCAGTGTCCCACAAACAGCCGTGGATTGAGTAACCCAATTATTTTTATTTATTTTGAAGGGATTATTACTCGTGGAAAGATCCACCAATCGACTAACAACCAGGGAAACTTGCTTAACGCAAGCACACACACCAGCTGGGCGAAACTCGCCACGGGGTGAGGGGGAATCTGTAATGCCCACTCTCTCTCTCTGAGTGGGGGAGGAGAGCAGCCATCATTACAAGTGCAGGACTAATGAAGGATAGAGGAACAGCATTCCAAGTTTGTAAGCGATTAATACAAGTAGTGCAAAGAAATCTAAAGTGGTTTTAATAGGAAACTGAATGGGACTCGGATGAATGTACAACTTAGGTGATTATACAATTTATAAAGGTAAGACTTATGTGAGTTTTACTGTATGTCAAAACTTGTTTCTTTCCGCACTGGTTGAGCTTCCACATACATATAGGACCAAAATGGAACCAGAATTATCCATGCCATTAAAGAAATAACTTCAGCCAAGCCAATTAAAAATTATGTGGGTTGGCGTTTCAGTGAACGTTATGAAATGCACCTCATGAAAAATATTTAAATTCATGGTGTACTTGGAATAAAGTTGAAAAATATTCAGATACAAATTTCTACTATTACATGCTCCAGTAGTTTATGGTTTAGTAATTGACGGTTAACTCTTCCAGTGTTTAAATTTGCATGGCTATATGATAGTACATAACAGTACATAACAATGAAAAAACATGATTTATTTGTCAAACAAAAATCAATCTTGATTTTTCAATTACAAATACATATTCTAAACATAATTTGAGCAACAAAATAAACCATTCAAACATCCTTCAATTCTAGTTGTCTCAGGAATGTTGTCCACTGTTGAACCTACCCACAAGAGTATTAATATCTCCTACCTCAAGCCAAGAACAAATGTCTCGTTCATTCATTTGCTTGATCTTGGGCACATCTGTAAATTCATCCATAAGACAATCCATAAGGTTCATCAATGATCGTACCAAATTTGTATCAGAAGTCGGAGATAGTTCCTGCAGTTTGAAGGGGGGGAAAACCAAGGTGTAAATCAAGAGTTACCATTATCTGGAATTTAAAAAATAACAACAACAAAAAAATTGCATTTGTATAGCGCCTTTCACGTCGGGAGAATGTCAAGGCCCTGGACAATCAGTGTTTTGGACCCAAGCTGGGGATCAGGATCAAGGAGGGTGGAGGGCAGGCGGTGAAGGAGGGTGACTGAAGGCACGGTCAAACAGGAGGGTGTTGAGACGGGTCTTGAAGGAGGCAAGGGAGGGGGTGAAGTGGATGGACTGCGGGCTGGAGTTCCAGAGGGTGGGGACAGAATGGCTGAAGGCCCGCCCACCAATGGTGGGGCAGGCGAGGCAGGGGACGTGAAGCAGGCCAGAGCCCGCTGAATGGAGGGAACGGACAGGTTGGTAGGGCATTAGAAAGTCGCAGAGGTAGAGGGGAGCAAGGCCATGGAGGGGTTTGAAGGTGAGGACCAGGATCTTGAACTATATCCTTTGTGTGATGGCAAGCCAGTGGAGTTGGGCAAGGATAGGGGGTGAAAGGGTCCGGGAGAGGACTCAAGCTGCATAGTTCTGGATGATCTGCAGCCTATGGAGGGACGAGTTGGGGAGGCTGATAAGCTGGGAGTTTGCATAGTCGAGCCTGGATGTTATGCATGTGTGTATGAGTGTCTTGTTGACATGTAGTGTGAGACAGTGGCAGAGACGGGCGATGTTGCGGAGGTGGGAAAAGGCAGTGTTTGTCATGGCACGGAAGTGGAGTAGAAAGAATAGTTGAGGGTCAAACAAGATGCCAAATCTTCAGACTGGATCAGTGAGGTGGAGTGTGCTTCCTTGGATGGTGATGCTGTCAGTGCCTGAGGTGTGGAGGCATTGACGGGAGGGCCTCGGTCATGTTGACACTCAACTGTAGAAAGTTAGCTCTCATCTAGGACTTGATGTCCAACAGATATTCTGCCAGGACAGCAGTGGTCCTGGAGTTGAGGGTGGAGACAGACATGTAGAGTTGGGTGTTATCGGAGGCAGACATATAGAGTTGGGTGTTATCCACATACATGTGGAAGTTGACCCCATCTCTACGGATGATGTCACCAACAGAGAGCATATAGATATTAAAGAGGAGGGGACCAAGGCCAGAGCCCTGAAGAACACTGCACAAGGTGGTGCGGGGCCTACAGGAGAAGCTGTTTGGGGAGATGAAGTGGAGACAGTGTGAGAGGTAGGATCTGAATCATTCAAGGACAGAACCATGAAGGTTGAGATGACAGGGGAGGCGGTGGGGGAGGATAGAGTGGTCAAAGGTATTGAAGGCAGCAGGGAGGTCAAGTAGGACGAGGAGGCAGAGGGAGCCCTGGTCGCAGATGGACAAAATGTCATTTGTCACTTTAACGAATGCTGTTTCTGTGCTGTGCCCCAAACCCCGAATGGAGGGGTAGGTGAAGGGAGTGGTGGAGAGGAAGGAGTGAAGCTGAGAAGCAATGACTCGTTCCAGGATTGTGGAAAGGAAAGGGAGGTTGGAGTTGGGGCAGTAATTTAAGATGCATCCAGGGAGGTTTTTTTTAAGGATAGGAATGATGACGGCCGTTTTTAAAGGGGTGGGAACGGTGCCAGTGGACAGGGAGAAGATTATGATGTGTGTGAATAGGGGTGCAAGGAGGTCGAGCTGGGAGGAAGAAGAGGGATAGGGATGTGGTCGAGGGAGCAGGTAGTTGGTTTCATGTGGGTTATAGTGGTGATGAGAGGAGTGGGAAACAGTAAGTAAAATTTTTAGAATTAATTAGTTTCGATCATACTGTATTCAAAGATTCCGAACTAAATTACATATGGAATTCCTAAAGTGAAAATATTTGCAGTTTTACTAAAATTAATCCTTTTTAAACATAATTCACTCAAAATACCACTTTTTCTCCACTGTATCCGAATCATTGCATACTTACAACGGTATTTTACATTTTAAAAAATAGTCGCTCCATTTTCCAAGGCTTAAAAAATTGGTGTACAAATTTTCTGCCGTACCCAATAATGAAAAGGGTAAGAGTCAGAAGAACATCATTTTATTAACTAGATGAGTTTATGATATATGTACATAATAAATTATTTCATTCTTGAATGTTACTATGTAACTTTCATTTAGGCTTCTTCTGGTAGGCAACATTGTTTCTGTTGGGTTATGAATGAATGAATGAATGTATCAACAAAAATAAATGTATACTAAACTTGCAGCAAAACAAATTCTATAAACATCTCTATCATACCTTTGCTGCTTTTCGAATATACTGAAGACACACTGGCACCATCCTGTCGAAGAGCCCTTCAACTAATTCCTTGTGCATGGCACTAACACCAGGAGGCATCTTATTCATCCAGGATACCATCACAGGCTTCCATCCCAGCATTTGAGGTTCCATATAGACCATACCACATCTTGAAACCTAAAACAGATAAAATAGATCAGCGCGTCTATTTTGAACAGAGCTTAGTGCATGAGAGGACACAAGATGCAGAGTTCTGTAAAATCAGCAGTGTGTGGAGGGAAGAGTTGGGAAGTCCAGCGAGCAGGGAGTTAGCATAATCAAGCCTGGATATAATGAAAGCACGGATGAGGGTTTTGGCAGCCTGAGGAGAGAGGTAGTGGCAGAGGCAGCCAATGTTGCTTGAGGAGAGAGGTAGTGGCAGAGGCAGCCAATGTTGCGGACGTGGGGAAGGCAGAATGAGTCATGGCGTGCATGTGAGGTTTAAAAGACAGTTAGGTGTCAAACAAGACACCACGGTTCTGTATTCACGGTTCAAGACACGCAAATTGTTGATGTAGAAATTCTTCTGATAAAGAGGTTTTGGTCCTCATTTCATTTTCTAAAATCCCAACAAGTCACTTGTATATATTACAAAAGAATGTTAAAGTTACCAAGTATACCATTAGTACATCATATTAATAATCCCATTATGAAAGTTGCAAATTTATGTAAAGTATAACACCTCCTTAAATTCCATCAAATTTACCTTATGTTTATACCCTCCATCATAAAGTGACAATTCCCAGTATATATTTTTTTAAATTCAGCAAATCTAAAATGTGTTAGAAGAGCAAAATATTTTTAATAAAATACTGAAGTATGAAACTACTTACAGTGGCAGGGGAAGCAACCTCCAGATCCATTGGTTCAAATATTAAACTCATTTGCGGAGACATCTGAATGATCTCTCCACTCATTAGACATAACTTTTTGTTATCATCTAGTACAGTGTTCATGTTTTCAATCCAGACTGCATCAACTGGTCCATCAAAGATCAGCCATTTCCTATCTGGAGTCTATAAAATGCATAAAAAAAGTCACAAATATTCTAAGAAAATACAAATGTTTGCTTAAAAAACTTGCAAAAGGCCAAAATACTGTTACTATGATGCACCATAGACAAATAACAGGTAAATGGATAGTTAAATGTATGGTTTCCACTTTGTTGGTGAGTCCATAACAAGGAAGCATTACACAGTGGATGCTGAGAATGTTCAACTCACTGATAGAAGTTCAATTTTCAAAGAGATAAAATTATGTGGGTTGGCGTTTCAGTGAACGTTATGAAATGCACCTCATGAAAAATATTTAAATTCATGGTGTACTTGGAATAAAGTTGAAAAATATTCAGTTACAAATTTCTACTATTACATGCTCCAGTAGTTTATGGTTCAGTAATTGACGGTTAACTCTTCCAGTGTTTAAATTTGCATGGCTATATGATAGTACATAACAGTACATAACAATGAAAAAACATGATTTATTTGTCAAACAAAAATCAATCTTGATTTTTCAATTACAAATACATATTCTAAACATAATTTGAGCAACAAAATAAACCATTCAAAGAGATAAGTCTTGAAATGAATTTTGAAAGAGGTAAGGGAGTTAATAGGTTGGAGACCACCACCGATAGGGCATGGGACATGAAGCAGCCCAATGCTTGTTGAGTGAAGGGAGGAGATTGCTAGGGTTTGAGGAGACTGGGGAGGTGAGGAGAGACTTGGAGGGATTTAAAGGCGAGAAAGTGAATCTTGAACATCTAAGATGACTTGGGTAGGGTCTTCTAAATTATTACCATAACTACTCTGGCTTGCACCCTTCTCAACAAGATGTCACAATGATTCCCTCTAAAATTGTGTTCTCTTTTCCCCAAATCTATGACTTATACTTGGATATGTTTTTGCAGATGGCCAGAGCCCTCCAGATTTTCTTCATGTGTAAGCCTAGAGAGTGAATGTCAGTGGGTCATTCAAGCGTGAAGGGCATAACAGCTGAGCCCAAACCTGTTAAGTGCCTGCTGTGCACACATGCATATTTTCCACCAGAGGTCACTGGGCAGTGATCATGAACTCAAGCTTATTTGTCTCTATAGCCGAAGGTCATAGAGGCTAATATTAGCACCCCATTTGTTACCCCAGCTGACATCAGTTATCCCAACACAGTGCATCGATAAAATCACAGATCTGCTTGGTCTGTGTGGCTAAGTATCATAACACATCACAGCTTTTTTTTTAAAATCCATTCAGGAGATTTTAAAAGGCTTTAGATATGTGAATTCATTCAATCCGTATGGTGAAATCAGAGTATTTATTTTTAAAACAATCATCTTATCAACCAAACCTAGATCAACTGGATTACTTCCAATTGCATTAAGTGAGATTTGAGAGACCCTAACAGTTTTAGGCACATTAAAAAATAGTCTACTTTAAAATGCCATGAATGTAGATTTTTGGCAAAAATCAAAAACTGAGTATTTTAATTCACAACTGTAAATTAATATAATTTTCAAACACTTACAGAAGAAACAGCAAATGCTCTATAGCTCACAGCCAGAATGCCATCTGACCATTCATGTGACACTTTATCAAATTGGCCATACAGCTGACCCATCGTGATGGACTTGGGATTAATGACAGTGATTTGAACCTTGTTTTCCTCCATTAGTCCCTAGGCAAGTAATAAATTAAAATTATCATTAAAATGTTCCATTTGGTTAAAGCCACTGAAACTCGCTAAGAACTTTGTTTACTTAACTACAGCTACAAAGAACAGTATATATCTCAAAACACATCAATTAAAAACTATTGTATTTCGGTATCCCACACGTGAAACTACAGTATATACAGTACTACTTTATAGTGTTAATAATAATACTTGCATTTGATATAGCGCCTTACCACATAGTTGAGGTGTCACAAAGCACTTCACATGATGTACTGTAAAGTGGATTGATTGCACATTTTGTGGGAGAATGCAGAAGCCAGTTGCTCACAGCAATGTCCCACAAACAGCCATGGATTGAATGACTAATTTTATTTGGGGAATTGTTGGCCGGGACACTGGAAGAAACTCCCTTCTCTTTTCGAATAGTGCTATGGGATCTTTAACATCCACCTGAACTGGCAGAGGGGACCTCAGTTTAACAAATCATCCAAAGGACTGTACCTCCGACAATGCAACAAATTCCCAGCACTGTATTGGAGGGTCATCTTAGATAATGTGATTCCAAGTCCCTTGGACCCACAATCTTCTGACTCAGAGGCGAGAGTGCTACCACTGCGCCAGGCTGAATCATTGAAGGGGAATAAATTGCAATGTTAAGATATTAACGTTAAGCATTCTACTGTTAAAATACATAATATCCTTTCATGTTATTACAGTGACATCTAGTGTGCAATAATATGCCATTAGTCTTCACATGTTGAAATAGAAATGTTCCTTTCACTTGAGGAATATTTCAGAGTTATCCTTTAGTTTCACATATTTATCTTTTGCTATATTCTTACAATCAATAAAAATTGCTTAAGTTTTGATCATTTGTATACTTGTACGGCTGGAAGGTTGCTTGGCGCTTACTCAACCTAAATCACAGCACAAACAAATATGTGGCAACAAAACAAATAAGATATTGATGATTCGGTGTTAAATGATTCAGTATTCATTTCTACCTTTTCGGAAATGTCACGCAAAGCACCAGCCAGAACTCGATAAGCAGATGTCTTTCCACCAAATGGTTCTCCAACAATCATAAAACCATGGCGCACAATCATCATTTCAAAGATCTGCAAAATCTTCTGTGAGAAGAAGTCTGTCATCTGCAAATTCATTCGTTCACAATTCTCTTTGATTGCCTCCAGCAAGATTCGGTAGTCAGGCTTTGGCAACTTAACTCCAGGAAACAAATCTGTAGTGATACCCTAATAATATAGAGAATGCAATTACTACAATAAAATAGATGTTTGAATTCTTAACTCATTACAAAGATAACATTTCTCAAGGTACATAATATAATGAGAATCTACTCATCTCCATTAATGGTGATGTGTGGTTTGTGAAGCAGGCTATAATGGGTCTGTGCTACATCAGAGATCGTTTTAATCTTTATCGATTCTTTTGACTTGAACAAATGATTATTTTGAATATTATTTTGAATACTACCCAAATCAAATAATTGATTTTAATATTGCCCTTAGGAGATCATCACATAATGAAATAAGTTGCTATGATATGCAATAAACTATTATGGCAAAGGTATATGCGATACACAATGATAAACTATTGTCCCAGGTTTCCTATTGCATCAGTATTAAATGCATAAGTAAAATATTTTAAAGAAAATACAACTAGCATAGCTATTTCCAATGAAGACAGACAAATAAATTTGCTGAAACCCTGAGTTTTTCTGTAGATAAAGAAAAATTAAGGGCAAAAAATACTTCCCCTAATTTTTAAGTGACAATCCAGAAGATACAAAGAGTAGAAGACAAGTTTCACAATTTGATTCTTTGGGGACTAACACAGATGTTGAAATACAGAAGGCAACTGTGCAGTGCAACTTACCAGAATCAAAGACTGGTAAGTTTCATAGTACTGTCTTGTTCAACCAAGAACAGCCCATCAATTAGGGCTTTAATTTTCAGGGTTGAAGACATGTCTACATCCTCACTGCACTGGTGAGCTAGATAAGTTGGTCAAGCATCAAGCATGAACAATTAATTGGATTACCCCAAATCTGTTTTGTTAGAACGTGTCCTCAGAGACAGACTTCACTTATACATGACACTCACTTTATCAACCAGGATTACAACCCAGAATCTTCTGATTCCAAATTAATATCAGAGGAGGAAAACATATGAACATAAATGATGGATTAAAGCAATCCTACCTCAAAAAGTGGCAAATCATGTGCCAAGAACTTAGGCAAATTGACATCAATTATGGATCTCAGTAATAAAATCTCTTCATTTTCCGTTGGATATTTCAACTAAATAAAATTAAAAACTTTTTTTATTGTACAGACATATTATTACGTTTTACAATATTTTACTGCACACTTTCATCATTAAACTTCACCCATTCAGATAACTATATATCATTCATTACCTTTATATTTCCTGCAGCAGTCAAAACAGATTTTACTGCACGCATCCCATAATCATAATGATGCTGTGAAGAAAGTTGCTCTGAACAAAGCCGATATGTAGCAACTATCTTAACTGACAGGGGTCGAGCACTGACAAAGCCACATGAATAAAGCACAATCTCTGCAATCATCGCATAATCTGGTACCATCATGGCTACTGTTCTGAAGAGAGCCTACAAAATAATTATAATAAAAATAATAATTAGTAAAAATATGATTAGCATTTCTCACAAATATTCTCATGATACAAATTGCTGAAAATTACAAAATCTTCTTATGCATGTGTCTTTTTCTTATGATTTATACAATAAACACTGCCAACTGAAAAACAAGCATTTTATTAAAAAGCTTAAAATTACTCATTCCTTTTCAAAATCAATAAAATACAAATGTAATAAGCTAGCATGCTGTGACATTCTCCAATGTGACATTGTAACAATACATGCACAATACATGCAATACATACACTGCATCTCTGGTTCAGAATTACAGCGGTATTTTCTACACAGACTGAATGACTTTAGCACGGTAAAAATTGTGTATTAATTAAAACAGCAATGTCCACCTCAATATCAGGCTTACAAAATAATGTAATGGTCTCCTGGTATGAATATTTCTATGATGATTTTGCTTTTAAGCTGAAAAATGATTTAATCAACAGAGTCTGTAAATGAACTGCAAAGTTCTAGAACTTTATTCATACAAATACCTTAAGGTTGTCCGGCAACTCTGAACGACCAGCATAGCCAGGATTCATCGTAATAAAGACAGCACAGGTCGGGTTAAGCTTCAATTCAGTTCCTTCAAACAATAATGTATCTGACCCAGCAGAAATGCCTGTTATATAAAAGACCAGAAAGCTTTTCATAAATCCAATTTCAAGGGGGCAAGAGTGACTGAGTGAAATTATGTTACTACTTCAAAAGCATACTGAACTCCAATCTTCATTAGCAATTGTACATACTGTTTATAGAAAGGCCAGAATGATTATCATTATGCCTTATAGAGCACTGCTACTTCTATTTCTTTATCTTAAAATTAGGAGTTTTCTTGGCACTTAATGTGGCACAAATAATTACCAAAACAAACCAAGTGACAAACCAATAAAAACTAAACTGAGGCTTATTTTCTCTCGTTTTCAAAAAAATACTGGCATCAAGGCATGCAAGAAGTAAGCTTGCTTGGTCAGGTAGTGCAAACGAATGATTAAAACGGTTGGCTTGTATCAATGATGCACAGAAAGTAATTAATATTAAATCCTGCTTCACAAGTGCATAAATAGTATTTTAGTTTAAAAGCATATTTCTAGAATGAAACATATATTATAAATATTTCAAGGGCACGAATGAACAAACAGACAAATAAAGAGACAAACATTCCTGGAAAACAGTCAGTCCAGCATCTCACAAGAGATCAAGTCTAAAGGCATTTATGTGGCAGCATATCAAAATAATTTTTTTTTCTATCATTCTATAACTTAAACTCAGTTTTTGTATTTTTTTTAACAATGCCATCATTAGGATAAATATGAAGGGAGTTTACAAGATGATATCAAAGAGAGAAGCAATTGTCCATAGGTAACAAGCTGATAGCACGTTAATTTTAATCCAAGTACTTCTGCTACATGAGGATAGGAGAAGACTTGAAGATGATAAACCAGACATAATTTTATCTATACATCAGAGAAAAATCTCAAATGAACAAACCTCTCTGGATTGTTAGGATTTGTTGTGCAACAACAGAAAGCACTTCCAGATCAATTCTGTTGAACTCATCAAAGCATGCCCAGGCACCACAGGAGAGCAACCCCTAGAATTAAAACCAAGTTCACAGTGAATAACTCAACAAATCCTAATTTAATATTCGTATGTTAGGAATCAGAAACATTATGTCATACATACCTTAAAAAATTTCCCCAGGGCAATGTAGTCCAATCCATCAGAGCAATTAAATACCACACACTGCTTGGCCACAGCCTTCGCTAAGTCTTTAGTCGTCTCAGTCTTACCAGTGCCTGCTGGTCCTTCAGGTGCTCCTCCAAGATGAAGATGTAGAGCACCAAACAAAGTTCTGGACATTCATGACAAAAAGTACATGCAGTACAAATATATGCAAATATATTGGAAAATTAACTAACTGGAATTTTAACATCCACATTAAAAATAATAATATATGCTTTAATTTGAAAATAAGTGCAATTTTACCTGTTAATTGTAACTTTGAACATATTAGAGATATCCACTAGTATTCAATATTGTACACACATTTCAAATTTGTCTTTCTAGACTATTTCAGTATCCTTACTAAGAACAATATTAAAGCAGCAGTTTTTTTNATTTGTATAAATGTTATTCACCTGTAGCATCTGTCTGTAAGTGGAGTGATAACCAGGCGTGGTGTATTTCCAAGGTATTCATATCCATAGGGAAGACCTGCATTAATCATTTTTGTCTGAAGCTGATCTTGCTTTAAAGCGAAGAGTAAAAGAAATATTCAACAAGGTCATTCGATTTGTCAAGAAAATAAAAAAGCGGTGATTGGCACATCTCAATTTTTCAATTGATCTAATATAAAGTAAAAATGATCACAAGAATTTATATAAAGTAGCACCATTAAATTCACAGAAATGTAAACATTAAGAGATAGATACTTATGCATACTTTTTTAGCAAAACATTATTATTGAAGATGACATCAGAATTTATTTACAAAAAATTAGCAGAACATTATTTCAATATTCATTTGATTTCCTTAAAATCATAAGAGCAATGGAAGGGTTGATGTGGACGTGCAATGGAAGGATGCATGTGCATGAGGAAATGAGAACCAGGGGACATGATTATATATAACACACAGCTAAACAACAGAAATGACAATTTCACACAGATTCATTCATTGGACCCATGTTTTACTATCTTTATCATTTACCAAGCCTGGCTTCACTGTGGGAAAGAAAACTCTGGTTTCACAGCATCAACCTTCCCGAAGAAACACAAATCTTTGATATAAATTTTTCTGAGTGATATATTTTACAAGGCAGCAATTTTTCAAGTAAATGGAAGCAAGACTAACAACAGTTGATATGCATTTGAGCAGGGAGGCAAATGGTTTGAAATGTCTCACCCCAGTCATCACAATATGATAATAATAATCCTTGAATTTGATATAGCTCTGCTCACATCTTCTAGACATCTCAAAGCGCTTCACGGAATATACTGTAAAGTGAATTTGTGGGTGAAACGCGGAAGGCAATTGCGCACAGCAGTGTCCCACAAACAGCCGTGGGTTGAAGTGACCAATTTTTTATTGGGTTTTTTNCTTGCGGGATTATTATCAGGTGTGTGGTGTAATGAAATTTGCCCAAGGTTTCGACCTGCGGGGAATCAAACCCAGATCTCTCGCTGGTAAGGCTAGTGCTCTAACCACTGAGCTACAGGGCATTGTTTAACTCTTAAATAATGCAATTAGGCTAACAAGAATTGTTCTTTTCTACAAACAATTTATGTGGTACAGTAGTTTGCAAATATTCACTCACCTCCCAATAGTATCTCAGCTGGCTCAACCATTCAAAGTCATTTTCATCACTGATTTGTTTCTTTACCAGGACTGTCAAGACATCTCTGGCATGAACATCCAGTACAACCAAAGCCCCAAGAGTGACCCGATTCTGTTTGGACAGCTTTCCACGCACTAAAGTGACAATGTCTTCAATCTGCTTATTATTCTGCTCCAGGTAGCTCTCCAGGGACTGAAGTAAAACAGGATACATCAATTAACTGCTTGCAATAAAGATCAAAGTATATAGTCACTTCTCAATCTATCCCACACAGGGCAGACAAAAATGTTACTTTATTTTAATATCCACAATTCTTTCTTAAAATACCCATAAATATAATTCAAATTACTGAAATTTATTCTAATTTAAATTAAAACCATAATGCAACAATAAAAACATAATATAACATTATATCTTTGTTACTATACTGAATGTGTTCTGCTGCTTGCAGTGCCATTTGTTTAATTGAATAGACAGAATCAAGGACAATGTCTGGTCATTATAGTAAGTTTGAAAAGGACAACATTTAAAAATTAGAACTGAAAAATCACAGCTAAAAATTTGAAAGCACAAGTCAACTATTAGCAAAACAGACGTTTTTCTATTATTTTCTCTTTATATCAGTGAAAAAACTTACACTCTGTCCACCTTTAATGGAATTCTGAACTTCATTTGTCCAAAAGATCTGTGAGACACACAGCACAGTCTGGCCAGGCCAAGCTCTCACCCAATCTATTCGTTCGTTTTTTGGATAAGCGGCGATCGCTTCACCGATAACCTTTTAATAATTAGAAAACAAACCCAAACATTTTTTTAAACACTGGTACTGTTACTATATTAATATTTTTATTGCTTTTCCACGTTCGGGGAGAGTGAAATGAAGAAATAGGATGAAATGTTTCAGCGTTTCATGTTCCTTGTGATATTCGACGGGTCAGAAGTTCATTTCCCACGATTCAATGTAGTCGCATGCGGCGACAAGTCAAGACACTTCATTTCCTGCACTTGTTTCAAATGGAACACTGAGCATGGTTATTTCAGTGCAGCCGGTAAGTGCACATGCATCAATGGCTCAGAACTTCTTTTCGCACGTTCTTTTCAATGCAGCTGGTAAGTGCGATATCGGCTTTACAAGTTAGGAGATGATTTGCTTCATAAAATAAAACTAGCATAAATAAATCCAAGTGTTTTTTTGGTAAGAAACTGACTGGGATTTGGGTGTATGTACGATTTAATGGATTATATGAGTTATAAAGAAAGACTTGCGCGAGGTTTACTGTACATCAATGCACAAACTACAGAACAGTAAATTGTACAAACTAGTACATTGGGAAAAAACTTCAAGTGTATCTATTCAGTAATAAAGTGGTATCTGCATTTCACAGGCCAAGTGTGGCCAAATGGAAGAACAGGCATCTTACTTTGTGAATGGATCTGACCATGGCTGACTCTAGTTCCAACAGCCACTTTTCTACTTGACCTCTAGCTTTAGCAGTAGAAATGGTATCAATGAGTTCCACCATTTCATCCTCACTGCTTGTCATGTGGGTAATATCCAAGACATCAGTAAATGCAACTTTTGCAATGCCCTCAAAGCACTTCTTCAAATGAGGTTGTACTCTGTAGGAAGACACAAAGTGATCAGTTTGAAATGTACAGTTTAAAACCGTATACAGTACTGGAAAACAAGCTTAGCAAAATTTTAACTTTACCGAGATACAAAAGATTTCCTTTCCCCATTATCTTTCATTATCTTTTGTTCACCGAGTATTCCCATATTAAAACTATAAGGTGTTAAACTGTAGAAAATAGTGTTGAAAAGCATAGTGGATGATTTTCCACTATGCAAGTAGTCAGGCTTAATGTGGGCAGGAAATAGTTAAAGCTTCTGTATGGAGCTCTCTTTTGGTCCTGCTGGTAATGGACATACTAAAATATTTAACAGTAAAGTGTTGCAACACATATGCTACATTCAAATGTGTTATATTGTTAGCAGACTTGAGTTCAAGCCAGCTGGCCATGCAGTGATGCGGAAACTAAACTTTATTGTTAAGTTTGAAACTACCACCCATGAGCATAAATTCACCAAAAGTTCTGCACAAGCGAGGATTCTATTTTTTTCCCCCCGGAGTAGAATTTTTTCTTAAAAAATTGTTTTTACTGGGCATTGCATTGATAAGACTTATTTTTTAATGCACTTTACCACCTCATGTGTTTTTGAACCTCAATTCAGAAATACGGAAACAATTGTTCTTCCGATTAAAATATTCCAACACCAGAGGTAAACCTTTACCACTCTGGTGAGCATGGTTCAGAAAATGGCACACCAGGGGAGGCCAGAAGAAACCATCAAACCAATTAAGGCTTCAGTGATAGCTTCCATACGAACATTTCTCTTGTAAATTCATGCTAAATGGATAACTCACAACTCAGAAAAAAAAGCAAATTCTTGTAACATAAAATAATGATCCTTGTATTTGATATAGCGCTTTTCACATCTTCTAGACGTCTCAAAGCGCTTCACAGATTATACTGTAAAGTGAATTGACTGTATATTTGTGGGTGATACTGTTTGCATAACCTAGCGGCATGTATATACCTCAGGAAAAGTAACAATGGAAATGGAGCCCAAGAAAGAAAAATGTAACAGCAGAACTTAAACCACAGTGTTTTGTCAATTGTACAATTTTGATTATACTTTGTAGCTTTTTTGCCTGAATTAAGGATTTTATGTTATGTGAGCTAGAGTTGTTCTCATTTTGCAAATGTAAATTATGTTGTAGGTTTTCCCCAAAAAATGCTTTTATTAATACCAAATTATTGTAAAATTGACTAATTTATTACTATTTGAAATTCTTTGGATAGCAGGTATTCAGGGCATCTGAGTGTCTTTTTAACCTTGGCTGAATCCAGTTCAAAATGATAGAAAAACAAACCCTTTGCCATCACAGTTGAGGACATCTTATATGAAATGAGTTAACAGTATCAACCCACTGCACACATCGACCAAAATTTAGCAAAAATATACACTAGTTCAGCTGTCTCACTCAGAGAAGTCAGACAAATAACAATGAAAGGAATAGAAAAAGTTACCCTGGTACAGCAGGGACCACGTTTCCAAGTATTGGGTTAAGATTTTAAAGAATAGAGAGAGAATTACTTGGGAACAAGTTACCTGGGAACATTATCTAGCAGAAGTCATTTATAACAATTATATGCAGTATTCCTTGACAACCTGATTATTGCTCCAAATGCACATGCATTACATGCATATCATGTACCAAATTAAATCTAACCTGGTAGGATCTTTGGTCTCTGAAAGGATCTCCAGCAACTCATCATTGGATAAGAAGAAGAATCGTGGGAAATAGAGGCGCTTTTTTTCTAGGTAGTCATTAAGGCCTTTTAGGATTAAATCTAGAAGATCGTTTGATTTTTTTAGTCTGTCAATCATTTTTTCGATGGAAACTACAGCTAGAACATGCCTGTCCTGCAAAGGTAACATTTCACTTGTTATAGTGGATTCCATTCAGAATATCTTAAAATTAGAATCTAAATCCAGCTAAGTAACATTGTAATTTCTTTTGTCAATATGTCACCTACTTTATTTCTAAATGTTTTGATCCATAATATTAAAAACTATCCAAGTTCTAATGTAAACAAAACTTTTTTTGAAAAGAATTTCATTGATATATTCAAGACTTTTGTTAATGTTGAGAAAAGTTAGACTGAAAATAACTTTCACAAAAAATTGTTGAGCCCAAATTATCTGCATTGTTGTAAAACCTGGAGTATGTATGTGTCACACAAGAATAAAACTCACACTTACACTGTGTAATACCAGGCAATAAATCACTGCTCACATAAATCCAAGTTACAGTTAAAATTCAGAAATGTATGTACCAATTATACATCAGAATCCAATGGATGTTTTCTCCTTTTGCTTTTGAAGAATCTTGTAAACTGTCAAGCTAGAATTCAAGCATGCAGTATGTGCTAAGTTTCCAACAAGCCTGAATATACAGAACAAAACTGCCAATATTTTAGAACCAGTTTACAATCTAATTCAGAAGTTGTAAGGAAGGTTAGTTTGGGAAATTGAATAATGCACATTCAGAAGTGCTTATTCAATTGGAAGCACATTATTAAGGTATAACAGGGATCGCTTTATTCTACAAGTCACACCTGACCTGAAAAGCAAAAGAATGTGCTTAATCCTGACACATCCTTTTGACCTATATAAATTCATTTGGTTGTTGTTGACACCAACATACAGGAAGAAAAAGTATAACAATAAAATGTGCTATAGTATTTAAACCATTACAGTATTGTAATAAACCTGCTCACAATACTTTTCAGCTTTATGCGGAAACAACTCCTTTCAGCACTTTCTTCCTCGGGAAGATGTTTTACAAACAATTGCCAATGAACAAATTATTCGGTAGAAGAACTAAAATGCATTTAAATCACTGATTTGATTTACCATTAATTCCCCTAAATAAAATAGCTACATTTTTCTGCTCTTATGTTGTCATTTACATGTTTATGGGAGCCATTTTTATTGCCTTTTAAATACACACCAGCGTTGCTAATTGAATGCCCACATTATGCACAGGTCAAGAACAAAGGTGTTCAAAGAAAAATTCCTTGTCATTTTCCCAGCATTTGCATATTGACCTCAGCAGTTATTAACACACAGCTTAATAGTGCTCTTCACCACATGCAGATAATTGAATTCCAAGAGTAAAGGCAATTAAAATATAAGCACACATTATTATAGATTATTGCTTCAACAAACTTACAACATTCAAAAAGAAAGCATATCTAGTTGGAACATAATATATTATACTGCTTCTTCCATACGCAAGATAACAATCTAGAACCAACCAACATCCAAATTTAGGAAATTCAATCAGAATATATCTCAATAAAACATAAGCCATAAAAGTTTGGACGTGGTAGAAGGTTGATTCATACTGACTGACGTCACAGTCTCAGTCTGGGCATCAATATGATGGGCTAGAGAAACCAACATTAGTATGTCCCTCAAAACAGTGGTATTGTGAAAAAGGAGGAAAGCCATTTATACATTTTTCAAATATTTGTTTTGGGAAAGTTTCAATCCTTTTTGTTTGTCACATAATATTTACAATATTATTATTCATTGGAAACGGCATTTTGTCTTATTTTTACTTTTATAGATTGCATCAAAATCTGGATCAAATTTTATTGAGGTAATCCTCCTTAATAAAAAAGATGGCAAGTGTGAAATTAGAATCATTGTTCTCTGACACGAAGTTTTATTTCTACACAATAATCCAAGAAGCCCAAAGCATCTGACAGGGGATTCTAAGTGCCCAGCAGATGATAACAATAAGCCAGAGGTGCGAGGAGGAAGGGGAAACATATGCAAAAATAAATCATGAGTTCAATGTTTTTTTTAAAAAAACAAGCTGCTATCCCAAAGCTCACCCTAGCATTCAGTTTTATTGCAAATACTCGTACTGGACTATGAAATAAAAAAAACTAACTTTTCTTGTTTAAATATTTAAGAATAAAATGAAATAAGGTTGTAATTCTTGTAAAATTACATAAAAGATACCCATTACATTTACTTTACTAGTCATGATGTGCCAAAATATGCTGCCCAGTTTGGTTTTGCTAACATTAAATAAGAGCGAATATTATAAATGTTTTTGATCCTTAAACTGTGAAGCACCTAATAATATACAGAAAATGGTGCCATTATAACTCATATCTCATAAGAATTTTGGTTTGAGATATGTATCAATAATTTTTTTTTCTTTCATGTTGTTTCTTTTATGGTGTTCCTGTAAACTAGGTATCCAACTCTTTGCTTTTCTTAAATTTCTGATCAGTTGCACAATAATTGCTCAACGACAACTCTTTCCGTTCAAATGGACCTGCATTTGCTTTCTCATTGTAGCAATGAGCTCTGAATGAGATTGCAACTCTGCTTTTTGCAATTGTCTGCTGCATTTTGCCCACAAAATACACTGTCAATTCACTTTACAGTATGTTCCATGAAGTGCTTTGAGAAGCCCCGAAGACGTGATAAGGCGCTTTACCAAATGCAAGTATTATTATTATTATAATAACTCAGCAAAGCTGAGATAGGAATTGAACCTACTATGTTCCTTTGCTGCAAGGTACATTGCTATATTTGGATTTCATGGCCAGAAAATTATATTAAATAACACTCAAGAAAGTACGGATTAAAACTATTTTGTGATATAGAAAAAAAGATGCACATAAACTATTGGACTTAAAAGTTTGAAGATATTCTTCAGATTTATAAAGCACTTCAAATTCATCCTGTGTCTATAAAGTTTCAATCCAGTATTTGGGGTGTTGATCTATGTGCTTGTAGGTTTAGCAGTTTGACAATATGTGCTTGCAATGGGAAATTGTATTAACTGTGCATATCATCAAAACATACTGAGCTCACTGCCACACAAAGCAACATTTTTATTGTGCTGAAGTACATAGACTTTTGGCAGTTATATTCTAGTTAATATGTACAATTAAACACCGCTATAATACATTTTGAAACATCGCATGCAGTTCCATGGTTCGTTCTTTTACAATAGGTCAAAACAATTTCAGTTGATGGAATCCTTCTTGTCATTTGCCAATGGATTCGCTGTGCCCTTTATTCTGAGTAGTTGACGGTTTAATAATACTTTTCACCAAGGCTGACACGTTTTACCCCAGACCAGTGAAGTTAATTGAATTTCTAAAGAGAAGCGTGTTAACACTTTCTTATTTCAATTCATCCATGTTTGAAGGCTTGCTGCATAATGAGCTGGTGACATGAGACAAGAAATACTTTTCTACAACAGGATCAGACATAGCTAAATTGATCTCACATTTTAAAAAGTTGGAAGTTCACTGACCAAACCAGCACCATATATGTGATATATTTTATGGCTAAAATTTTCTTCCAATTATTCTATGCAAATTGTGAATTAAACATCCCTATAATAAAAAAACTAGAATTATTATATTCATTAGAATGCCCTATTTATCTTTATACATAAAGTATCACTGATAAAGTATTTTTATTCCTGATTGGTTTACGATTGAAAAGATAAAACCATGTTTAAAACTGAAACATATTGGTGATATTGGATTGTCTAAGTAATTTCACATATACAACAAATCCATTAGTCATGAGCTGTGTTGCTTTAAGTGGCTTAGCATAAAGATTTGTAAGAGTAAAAGTTAACACACCATCAGTATAATGTTCTGTTTATTAAAATCTATTAAGAGTCTGTCATGTGATGCAAGTCAGTAAGTAACAACTAATTAGATGCAGTCTTTCACTTCAGTTAGTTATAACCTTTTTGGGCAATAGAAACATATTAACACAAATTACTATTCAACTTACCACAATGACTTGCTTCATGAGCTCTTTCCAAGTCTTATCAACGGTAGTGAATCGCCTTCCTTCTTCAGGCATCTGGGCCATAATGTCAGGGGAGCTGAAAATAGGTTCCAGATAGAGCCATGTTGCCTGTACTTTTAAACATTCATCCATGATCTCCTGCAGCAGCAACAGCTTACCTTCCCAGTCCCTGAGATATACAACAATTAGTTGTGCTTGTGGGATTCTTTAGGATAACTTACTCTAATTCTTCTTTTTATAATTTTCACAATTAGGAATATAATTAGGAAACTACATAATTTGTCTGTCCTTTTAAGAGGCCTTTAAGGTTATATCACAATTCATAAATATACAACTGAGAAATTGAACGATACAAGTTGCTTCATTTCCGGCAGTATCAACAATAAAGAGCATTTACTTCACAAGAACAAGGCACATGATTACCATACTTGAGGTTCTTAACTTAATAAATTGGCTTCCACTTTATGTACTAAAATTATATTCAAAAATGAAAGTGGGCAGATTCTTAACTCTTCTCAGATTGTGATTCAGGCTAACTAAACACCTGGTTTCCAGTAAGACAAAAATGTTTTGAGGGGAGCCACTGTGCATGGGTCTAAACAGGATGCCTTAGATGAGCTAATTAATGTTTTCTCATTCCTACTTTCTTAAATGGACACAATCCATTTCTCTCAGGAATTAAGGGGGGAAAAAAAGCTAGAGATGGCCATGTGAAAAAACAATGGGACGGGACATGGTATTGAACTATAAGGCATCCTTATGAATTCTCAGTTACCTGCCTAACATTTACGCAACTATAGTGTACAGAGGATAAGGAATGAAGGAGGAACTTAAGATTTGCACTGGAAAATTTGTTTTATGTTTGCTCAAAATTGTTCAATATTTTTTCAAATAAAATTTATTTTAAATATAATTAGACCTTTTCTAATATTCACAGCTTGGAAAATAATCATTTAGAAATAACTAAAAATGAACTACCGGATTTCCTTCTCAAATGGCTTTATAAAAGGAGATCCACGCATGGTCTGTGTCTTCACAATATGGTCATCTAACAACATCTGGATGTCATCAACAGCAGAAAGTATGTAAGTTCCTGTTTCTCGATATGCAATAAGAACAAATTCCATTTCATCCCATTCAGCCATCATTTTTTCCAAGGCTCTCTCCAAAGAATATTCTTTGCTAGCACTCTCACTAACACTGTCAAACTTGTCTAAGAAAGGTTCAAGATTCATCGTGATAAACTTGGAAACAGTTGTGTCTTCAGTCGGTTTCAGTGAATACCCCACAATGTCAGATAAGGCACCCCAGTGACGGTCCCGAAGACCAGGATTGCAAACAACCTGGATGAGAGGTATATGCTGTTTAAAATCTTCTACTTTGTCCTTAATCTGTTTGGCAATTTTTAATCCATTTGGTGAGTCTCCAAAGGATCTTTCCAACTTATACAGACCACGCCAATAGTTTCCTACATCTAGCTCTACTTGATCTGGGTTGACAGCAGAAAGTGGTCCCTCCATCCAACTTTTGTATTTGGTATTGAACTCTACAGTCATCTCATACAGTTTAAGGTATGGTGAAAGAATATCATTAGTTTGTTTACGTCGAGGATACTGAGATGGAGGCCATCCAAAAGCTTCCTCTTCTGCATTAATCTGATCAACCTAATACAATCAAAAAGAGAATATTGTTAAAATAATCACTTTAAAGGAATATTAACTGACAAAATCTCTCCAGAAAGATTGGCTGAGTTAGTAGCATTCTTGCCTCTGAGTCAGAAGGTTTTGGGTTCAAACTCCTCTTGGGTCTTGAACTCAATCTAAGCTAACAATACAATGCAGTACTAGAGGAGCTTTTTATTGCTGGAGTTGATATCCTTTAGATAAAGATGTTAAAACCATGGGGCCATCCCTCTGTTCTAATATGGAAACTACAACAACAACAACTTGCACTTATAAAGCGCCCTCCACGCAGGGTAGTGTCTCAGAGCACTTAAACTAAAGATTCCATGATACCATTGGAAAAGAGAAGGAAGTTTTTTCCCCAACATTAACTAGTCATTCACACCATGGCTGCTAATGGCATTTCACTGTGTAGTCACCACTCAACAATAATTAGTGAAAAGCATTTGGAGACATTTTAGCACATAAGGCACTATAAAAACGTAGGTTCTTTCTTTTGCCTGTTGGCTGACAGTTAAACAATCATAATTCCAAGTAAATTCAATTACTGCTTGTAGGGCAATGCATTATACATTACTTAATCATAAAATGACTTTCCTATACATGCATATTTGCAGGCAATTAATTATTTGTTTTATTCCTGAAATCGCATGTGATGCACATAAATATCAGTGCACAATCACAGCAGCCCTTGCCCAGTTATAAATAATACTTTAGTATTCTCAATGTTCCTAGCACCAAGTAATGCCATCAGCGATGGAAATTGTGTCATATTAAGCATTTATATAAAGCTCAAAACTCCATGATAGAAGCCATATAATGAAAATAAAAGTGCATGATACATAATAGCAAACAAATTTCTCAATGAACATTACCAAGAATGCATCAACAATTCAATACATGAAGCAGTTAAATCTCAATTGTTTACCTTCCTCCTCTTGAGCTCAAATTCATTTCCCTTATTGTGGCAATGTGTTTACATCAAAAACATTTATCCTACCCCTCCTTAACTGATGACTGCCCAAGAGACTCATGGGCAGCAAAGCACCTCCAACCTCCCACATCCAATGTTTCTAGACAGCAGTGGACCTATATACATGTCTGCTGGGAATGCTGCAAAACAAAGGAAGCATACCCACCCCCACTTCCCAGTGATGGAGTTCAACCTTCTCCAATAAATACGTGACTGAAATATGTATGGAACAAATCCCAAAGAAAAAAAAAACATTGGTCACTGCTTGGTACTGTGGAAAGACCAGACCACCTGATACCCTTTTGAGTGATCTAATGAAATTAAGAATAGGATCTCAGTCTCTTCCCTGTCCAACAAATTCTGTGCCCCCGGAATTTTCTACCTTAAGCACAAATCACTTCCAACATATGCACAGCAACCCCAGCAAGTGCATTTTCCTGCAAGCAGTGTACAATAAAAATATATAATGCTTTCAGAAAATGTGTATCTGTATAAAAATGTTTGAAAAAAATGAAAAACAAATTGTCTTCACAAGAAATAAAACAGCACATTGTTTTCAGCTGGAAAATGTTTGTTTTAAAACTTAGAATAATGACTTTCTTCTGCCTGTGATCTGATACCTTTTCTGCTGCTTGATTCAACTTTGTGTTTAACGCCTGAGCTTTTCGGAGGTATCGGTTGACGTCTGTAATGTCTCCAAAAGTGAAGAATTCCTCCACTTGCTTAGAATAGCTATCCAGTTCATCCAAAAATCTTTCACTGCGAAGCTGAAGATAAAAGGTGAGAAAAGGCAAACATATACATTAAAAACCCACACATTATATATAAATTTTGCAAAAGAAAATAATTCAGCAAACATTTTGATCTTTCAATTTGCTACCAATAATCTTAATAATCAATTTGTTTCGAGGTAGGCTTTTTAAATATAGGCATAATGTACAAAAAGATGATAATCTAAATGCTTTGCACTAAGAAATCAAAAGTATTACTTCAATTATAGCAATAATGCGATGAAAATGTGCAAGCACAGTGTAATGTCAGAAGTATTTCTAAAAACAAACTGTATCTAAGAATACAGTAACTGAAGAAAACAGATATTCTTGTTTCCTTCACCTTGAGTCCCTCTTGGTACTGTAGTTCTTTTTCTGCCACTATTTTTCTATGCTCTTCAAAAATCTCTGCCATTCGTCCCCACCAAAGAAATGTGTTGTTGTTCCGTCGAATTTCAGCGGGGGAAAAGGTAGCGAAATCTAAAAGAAAAGTCAGACGATTCTTGGCTTCCACCAGCTTCTGCTCAAGATCAACCATGTCTTTCCTTTCAACCTGCTTCATATAGGCCTGAATGGAAAATAATAAATCAGTTAGACTTCCAAAGTGTACAAATTTACCATTTTAGTACAAGGAGAATAAGGCAAAATAGATTTTTCTTAAAACATAAACTTTGGAATAAAACAGACAAATATAAAAATAAGATCAAACTGATAAAGTGAGCTAAAATAGAAAGCGAGAACTAGATTAAGCAATATGAATCACAACATGAAAGAGTGTTTCAATATTTATAAAACTGTTGATCAAGAAACAGTATGATCCAAGCATGATCCAACATCAAATGACTGAGAATAGCAGATATCCAAAATGACATAGTTCTGTCTTATTTCACAGAAAACCCAAGAACTTCTCAAAACAAAAACAGAAGCTCATGTACCAAACAATTTTTTATTTATATCTAGTAACTATTAGGAATTTTAGTCCGCTCTGTGAAGCAAAATATTATTTAACCAAATGAAATGGAATAAATGTCACCAGTTTTTCAGTAGGTCAATTGGAGTCCCATAGTGTAGTGGTTAGCGCGCTCGCCTCGCAAGTGGGAGAACCTGTCCCAACAGGTCTCAATGACGTGATAAGGTACTATATCAAATGCAAGGATTATTGTTATGGTATTTTATATGTGTTCACTATGTTAGGGTGGGAGAGAAAAAACTGTCCAGGTACTTTAAAAAATTGTTCGGCTGCAGTGAGTTCAATGTTCCTGTCCTTATTACCATTTAACTCTCTTTTGTTATATTACTATTTAACAAACCACCAAAAAAAAATTACCTTCAGATCCATTAATGCATGTGTATTTGGAGGTGTCGTTAGTGCTTTCTCTGCTATCTTCTCAAACTCAGCACATAACCTGCCATAAGATAGAAAGCAGGAATACTTAAGTTATACTGCAACTATTTGCTTTGCAGCAAATTACTGTTTTGAGTATTTTCAAATGCTGTACCAGCATAATAGCTTTGAATGCAAATTCACATCATGCAAAATGTGATATGTATTTGCTGGCTTTATTCTGTAAGGATACAAATCTCATTGCTCCTGGAATCCCCTTCTCCCCTGCCCTTCAAATCCAGGTAAGGAGCAAGGCTTCAGCACAATTTGCGCAGCTTCAACCCCCACATATACTGCACGCTTGATGGTAAATCATGCCACAAGTGTGGTGCAGATGTTGCATACACGGTAACTTGACTACCACAGATCAAATTAGAGCAATCTGTAACTAATAATATTCAATTAATTTCAAGATACTTAAAATCATATCAAGCCTTCGATAAACATGTATTAGATAGCAGAAGCATACAGGTCCCCAATTCATTCAAAGATAAATAGGCTTCCATCAAGAGAATGCCCATGGGACAGAATACTTCACTAGCGGCAGAGAGCTCCAGATACTCTTTTACTGCTACAAAAATGGTCATAGATCTTGCAACTGCAGCACTCATGACTTATGGGCTTTCAGACTTCTGAAAGAACAGCCATAACTCACAGCTGCCAGTGAGATAGCCTCTATTTATTTGGTTAAAATGAATCTAGGTTGGTACATTGCTATACAAATGATTTATCAACTCTGATGTTTCTTATCTTTTTATTTGATTATCTCGGTTGCTGTCATTATTGTATTAAACGCACAAGATCAGCTATGACTTCAAACCAGACTTACACTAGATAGAACATCTTGTGGCAAACTCTCTTTTAAATGCTTGTTTATAGACTCAGATCAAGTATCAAATATTGAGTACTAAAATTAGAATACTGGAAAGAAAGAAGTCCAAATTCTGGTTCCCCAATTGCTTATCAAACTAGTGTAAAAACAGATTGTACTGTAGATCAATCAGATCGTGCCTTAATTTTATATTATAGCCATCAAAAGGGAAACCCAATCTAAGCCACTCCTGCAACTCTCAAACCACTGTTTATACAAGAACAAATATGTTATTGCTCATCCTCTAAAACAAGAATTTGTTTGTGATCAAAACCTAGAGGAAAAACACAATTTTTAAGAGAAGTGCAGATGCAGACGTCCAACAGCCCATTTGATCCCATCTTTCCAGAATACCCACTCTACCATCTTCCCATCACATAACTTCTCTTTTTCACAAAATGAGTCCAGCATGACCACCCTTCCTAAAAACCCATTCCAGAAGTTAATTACCACATGTGTAACAAAATATTTCCTGATATCTGTTCTACAATTGCCCATCCTACAATTGCCCTTTACAACCCTGAACCAGTGCTCCCTTGCCCAGCTGCTTTCCTGTATTTGAAAGAGATGTGGCCAAATACCCTGATCGCTTTGTATATTACTGCCTTACACACTTCAAACATAGTGAATAACTAACATCTTTTTCCCTTTCAGCATTCCCCTTGACAAGTTTTATCCCATCCATTGAGCAAGTCTGCCTTTTTTTAGTTCCTAAATGCAGAATTTTGTGGGTGATTAGCCCAGATGCATATTTGAATTGGGATTCAATCTTAGCTATCTCAATACATTTTTCTCTGCAAAGCTAACGTTCACTAAATGATACTAACGCCTTATTAATGTCCTGATGGTCTTTAACTACTTTGGCCAGTAGCTTCTCCCGAAGAACTTCTACTCGTTTCACAAGTGCCCTTATGAGTTCATCACAGTGCACCTCAAACATTCCCAAACGAATAACCTGGAAAACAATCAAATGTATATACCAATTTAGGGAGCAGGATGCAAATTTGCTATATTATTCTGCTTTTAAAAAAGCAGTAATCTTACTAGCATCAACCACTACACTAATATCTGTCAATTACAACACAAATTTCCAGTAAATTGTGCAATAACATAATGCATGTACAATTACAAAATTAACCTTTACAGGTAAAGCCATGGTACACACATATTTATACTCTATTTTTATAGATTAACTACACATATTTACCCTTCGAGAACCATATTGAATTTCTTCAAACAGTTTTTGATACTTAATAATTTCTTCCACAGTCTCATTGAATATGTGTGGCTCAATCAGGAACTGCTCTACATCCAGTTCAGATTGCTTGTTTATGAGCATGCTATATTGATCATACAGTCGAAGATGTTCTTGAGGTCCAACACTTTCTTTGTCAATAACATCTATGATTTTTGCTTTGTTTCCCATTAGAATTTCATCCAGGATTATTGGTTTCAGGGTAGATTTGGTACCAGACTGAAACAGAAAATAAAATATTGATTCTTTCACAAAATTTTGTAAAATTATACGTAGAAAGCAAGCATATTACCATTAGGACATATAAGTGTTTGGTTTCAATTCAATTTCAGAAAAATAAAAACAGCAATGCTATTGTATTACATTTAGGTACAATGGAGAAAAAAATTAAAGTTTTTGGCTTTGGCTAAGAAATAAAGTTAAAACATCACTTACCCATTCAGAGTACAACTTTGTCTCAACTCTTGGCACTAGGTTAATGGTTTTCAACATGATATCATAAACGCTCAAGAAGATAATCTCAAAATCCTTGAATTCTGGTTCAAATTGGATACGGTCATTATTTAAGATCATGCGCAAAATGAAACCTGGGTGTTCATACTCACGGGTAGATTCCTAGGTGAAAATCCAAAACATGCACGAATTAAATAAAAATCTGTCAACAATTTTGATTTTAATATTTTGGATATATTTTTGATTTGTAAAATCTCAAGCACTATTCACATAAAATACATATTTGAAAATTCTGTACAAGTATTGTTTTACAAATGTGAACTTTCCAAAACCAGAACTGAAATATTCTATGCTGATAGGTAATATCTCAGTTGCGTACCTATAAGTTCAGGGGAGCAAGGTAAGCTTCAGTTTTATTATTGCACAACACTGCAGGGGTCCTTTAGGGAAGCATATTTAATTCCACTCAATTTCACTTGTTCATTAATTATCTGTAGAGGTCATGATAAGTGATGCTGTTCTATGTTTTGGTGATAATCATATTGGAGAAAATAGATAACTCTACATCTGACAGAAGCAATGTCTGAGTCACTGGAGGCAAACAAGCAGAAAAATGTATTTCGAACTGAAGAGATAAAGTCAATAACACCGTCAACAAAGATTGAACGACCTCAGCTCTAAAGAATTGCAAACTCCATTGAAATATGACATCAATGTTAGCACCTGCAATATTTTGCAAAGTCTATACCTTCCTCTGTTAAAGAACATTGGGACCCTATTTTGTTGGCTACAGAGAAACCCATTATCCTGGACTAAAGTCACGGCCATTTAAAAGTCATCCCATGAAGGGTGCTATATAAATGCAAGTTGTTGTTGTTGAAGTGGTAGGGCACAAAGCAAATTCGCCACAATCATGTGTAACAGTATATGGCACTGAACAATTTTAAAACAAGCTGAAAATTTCTATGCTGCAGCAGCAAGGTGTTTTTTTTGTCAAATGTAGAATAGCAGCCAACATGGTGGCACACAGAAACTGTTGAAGCAATTTCCCAGAGGAACTGAAATTACTTTTTAAAAAAAACTTCCTATGAGACAATACATCCTTAAAAATATGGGAGGGGCACTAGGGACTTAACAAAGAAATAAAGCACAGAAAGATAATAAACCATAGTAAAAATACAAGAGGGAAATGACACATGAAATCACAATTATAAAGAATTGAAAAGATACATCATAAGATAACAAAAGAGGTTTGAATGAAGAATGCCCTTCAGCCCATTTGATCTTAGCCTTCCAAAAATATCCTCCCAACTGACTTCCTGTGATGCATCTTTTAGACACAATCATGACCTGTACACTAACTAGCATGCTGCAACATGGCAGTTTAAAAGATTTGATTCAAATTTTGCTGACTAAAAATTGTAAACAAATTTACAGATTTAATTCAAATTGCAGGGACAAAACTCCAGAAAAACAGCTTCAGAATTCAGATCATTATTGCTTTGTTAATTGTACATACCGGCGACCGTACAATCAGGTTTGTATAATCCTGAATGGATTTCAAAGCTAAACTCTGCAGCTGTGAAGTCATCAGAGTGGCAGCTGAGTTGAAGAAAGCCTCTAGTCTGGTACTGTTATTGGTGGGAAGCAGCTTCCGCTTATTCCCCTGGTAATAAATATTTTGAACCTCAGGAAACCAGCTAAAACATTGGATAGAGACATCAGTGAAAACTGGATATGGAACATCATTTTCTACATTAAGATAAAGATTCATCAGAAATTACAAATATAATGCCTGTGTCTGCATTAACATATTTCAGTTAAATTGAAACATGTATATCTAAATACAGTATTTTTAAAATAAATTTAGTGTGCCTTAAATATTTTTCTAAACTTTCCCGACTGCCTTTCTGCTTCTCATCTGGCCTCCTTAGTCTGGTGTGGTGATTCTAAAGGCACTAGTTATCTACCCACATGGCTACTGTTCATGTGTGAGCTTTGGCTCTGAGTGTCAATAGGCCACTGGGCTGTAGAGGGCTTCACAACTAAGCCTGAACTCTCCTCCCAGCTTCCACACATATCAGGAGCAGGAAGCTTGGCTGTTTTAATTCTTCCCTAACCCTGAGAGGGCCTGAGCTAATTTAGTCTTCCCATGCAACTTTATGATGTATCTCATGACTTATTTCTTTGACTGTGCTTTCAGTCATCTTTACCCTCCCCACCTCTCTCGACTCCCACCCCCATCTTAGACAGCCAACCAGTACTGCTAAGGACTTTGGGACTTCCTCCCAACATGAAAAGCATTATACAGATTTGCATTGTATTATGTCTTGTACTGTATATCTGTTTGAGACCAGCAAACCCAGCATGGACAGGCATTTAAACTGCAACTCTATCCACTATACCATCAGGGCTGCCCCTAAATACTGTATCTTGATTGGACTTTACTGACGCAGGTCGTACTTTTTAAGAAGTTTTTCTTTTACAGCATCAATGTGCTTCATAAACATGACCTGGAATACAGACAGCTCCAGCGCCTTCTGGCGACTCTGAAACTCCTTGACATCAATTAACCGCAAATTCCTTCAAAGAAAAACAAAACAATTATTTTGCATTTGCAATCTATTGCTGCAATGCATTTAATGAATTTCTAAACATTTCAACACAAAATGAAAACTTAAGATTGTAAGCAATTTGTTATTGAAATCAGCACGCTTACAGCTTCAAAATGCAATGCAAAGCAACAAAAATAATTGCATATGTACATTATGATATGGATTTGGGATGTATGGGTCAAATATATTGCAAAAATAAAATAAAAACAATCGAGGATCAATACAAAGGAATTCCCAACTATGTATTTAATAGATTGCTATCTACATGTCATCTCCAGCAACCATGTTACAATAGTAATCACCATACTGGATGCCAATTCCATGCTGTAACCAAAATAAAGATAGTAAGGACCAGAGATTGGCACCAGAGAATTCAATCAGCTCTCCAATCCCTTTATGATCCTACAAAACGTTTTAGAATGCGTTTGAAGAAACCTCTATCATACTTCATTGCAAGATTATTATTAACTAAAAGTCTAAGTTAGAAGGTGATGTTCTTTTTCCTACTTAAGAAATATAGTTATATAAGAACAGCAATTGAGAAAACTGAGAGAATGGCCAACAAACTATTATGATAACTATTTTGATTAGTTTACATATTTATGAAATAAAGAATTAATTACATATATAATTAAGGATAATAAGGTAATGTTAATGTAAAAACTTACTCAAAAGACGTGTGCCAGAGGTCCAGGACAGACAACATTGTGGGATTTATCGCATTTAGGTGTGTCTTCATATAGTTGCGATTTGCCAAAAACGACTTGTGCCAAGGTTTTGGAATTATTGCAATCCTTATAAACATTAAGGTTTACAGGTTATATAAATATTTTTCCAGAGAAAACTGCCTATGGGTAGGGTTTCACAGATCAATCATAAATAATAAAAAAATCTTTTCTTTCAAGAAGTGGCTAAATTTGATTACTTCAGGATTGCTATTTCATTGTAAAGTGTCATACAAAGCCTAAATTCCACCCAATGGTACAAACACTAAAATGCTGCAAATCCACAGCATTAAATCAGTCAGCATCCAAAGGAGAATGCTACCTTGGCAGTTTTAGCTCCTATGTTCTATCATTCAGATGCTAACTGACTAGTTATAGATATGAAGTGTTGCTGGCTTGGTTTCAGGTTTCCAGCAACAGTTCATCTTTTTTATTTTTTTGTGGAATTTGCTTGACCTGTCGAGTTTGCTGATAATCTGTTGCTTGCCTAAGGAAAGTGCGTTAAGAGAACTAGTAAATATTCTATTTTCATATGCTCACAATAATATTTATACAATCACAAATACTTTGATACCTTGGAGAGAATGTGGATGCTCATAGCACAATAAACAGGAAAATAGACTGAATACATATCCCCAGCTATAAAAGCCTTGATCACACAGAAATTCGAGATCTTAGATTAAAAACATACTTTACCTGGAGCAAAACCTCAGTAAAACAAATAGTTTGGCATAAAAACATGAATATATACAAATATTCTATCACTAAAATCTGATGAAAAAGACAAAACTGTTTCACTTAGATATTGACAGTTTTTTTTATAAAAATTATTTTTGACCCTACATCTCAGTGACACTGCTACATGATTAGAATATAAATTAGAAGGAATTCTAAATATTCTATTGCTATGTTCACATTACAGAGCCACTTGAGGGTCACTTTAATGTACAACTAGCTACATTCAGAATCATAGAATTATACAACACAGAAGGTGGACATTCGGCCCATCGTGAAAAAAGAAACCCCAAGACTTCCTTTTTTGAATTCCACACATGCAAGGAATGTATGCTATCAATGTGTAAATGGCACAACAAATTCCAGAACTGCATACATAACATAACATGTAGGAGCAGGAGTAGGCCATTCGGCCCTTCGAGCCTGCCCCGCCATTCAATCATGGCTGATCGTCTAATCTAACTCCAGCTAATAACCTAACCCTGCCTTATCCCCATATCCCTTAATCCCTTTTGGGACTTCCTCCCGACGTGAAAGGCGCTCTATAAATGGAATCTTGTTGTTGTTTTGCAATAAGAAATCTATCTCAGTCTTGAATATGTTCAAGGACTGAGCATCAACAGCCCTTTGGGATAGTGAGTTCCATACATTCACCACCCTTTGAGTGAAGAAGTTCTTCCTCAACTCAGTGAGAAAGGGCTGGCCTCTGATTTTAAGGTTGTGTCCCCTGGTTTTAGTTTCTCCAACCAGGGGAAACAATCTCCCACTATCTACTCTATCATGCCCTTTGGTGATCTTATAGGTTTCTATAAGATCCCCTCTAATTCTTCTATATTCTAGAGAATATAGGCCCAAATTGGTCAGCCTACCCTCGTAACTCATCCCCTTCATCCCTGGTACTAACCTAGTAAATCTACGCTGCACCCCTTCCAAGGCAAGGACATCCTTCCTTAAATAAGAAGGCCAAAACTGCACACAGTATTCCAGGTGTGGTCTCACCAGGGCCCTATACAGTTGCAGCAAGACTTCCCTACTCTTGTATTCTAATCCTTTCATAATGAATGCTAACATACCGTTATCCTTCCTAATTGCTGCTGCACCTGCAGACTAACTTTCGGTGATTGGTGTACAAGGACACCCAAGTCCCTCTGGACGCTAACACATTCCAATCTCTCCCCTTCTAAAAAATAACCCGCTCTACTGTTTTTGCTACCTAGGTGGATGACTTCGCACTTCCCTACATTATACTTCATCTGCCATCTACCTGTCCAATCACCTAACCTATCTATGTCTCACTGCATTTTTTTAATATCGTCCTCTGTGTTGACACTTCCTCCTAGTTTTGTGTCATCCACGAATTTAGATATATTGACTTCGATGTTCTCATCTAGATCATTGATGTAGGTAGTAAATAGCTGAGGCCCAAGGACTGATCCTTGTGGCACTCCACTAGTCACATCCCGCCAATCTGAAAAGGACCCGATTATCCCTACTCGTTGTTTCCTACCCGTTAACCATTCCCCAATCCACGTTAATATGCTCTCCCTAATTCCATGGGCCCTTATCTTTTGGACTAACCTTTTATGCGGCACCTTATCGAATGCCTTCTGGAAGTCCAAATGGACCACATCCACTGATTCACCCTTATCTAGTTTACTGGAAATATCCTCAAAAAACTCTATGAGATTTGTCAAACATGACTTCCCTTTTGTAAAGCCATGTTGACTTGGCCTAATTATGTTGTGCTCCCCTAAATACCGCACTACCACATCCTTAATCAATGATTCTAAAATTTTTCCTATCACTGATGTGAGACTAACTGGCCTATAGTGCCCCATCTTTTCCTTTCCATCTTTTTTAAATAGTGGTGTGACATTTGCGATCTTCCAATCCATGGGGACTGTTCCAGAATCCAAGGAATTTTGGAAGATCAGACATAAGACCTCCACTATCTCATAAGCTAACCCTTTTAAAACCCTGGGATGCAAGCCATCTGGACCAGGGGACTTGTCACTTTTTAGTGCTAACAGCTTCCCTAGCACCTATTCTCTACTAATGAAAATTTCCCTAAGTTGCTCCCTGTCCTTATCCCCTTGGTGCATCCTTATTGTTGGCAGACTTGTTGTGTCTTCTAGGGTGAAGACAGATGCAAAGTACCCATTTAGGGACTCTGCCATGTCTTTATCCCCCATTACAACTTCTCCCGTCTCTGACTGAAGTGGACCTACATTTACCCTCACTAGCGTATTCCTCTTAATATATTTGTAAAAACTTTTACAATCAGACTTAATGTTCCTCGCTCGCTTATCCTCATGCTCCTTTTTCTCGATCTTAATGAGTTTTTTAATTTTATTTTGCTGGTTTCTAAAACTCTCCCAATCTTCAGATTTGCTGCTTTTCTTGGCAGTTTTATAAGCCTTTTCTTTTAATTTGATGCTTTCCCTAACTGCTCTAGTTAGCCACGGATGAATTGCTTTCCCTGTGGTACTCTTATTCCGCAAGGGAATATGCGACCGCTGAGAATTTTGCACTACATCCTTAAATATTTGCCACTGTTGGTCTACATTTTACCTCTTAATCTTATTCTCCAGTCTATTTTACCTAAATCTTTCCTCATACCTACAAAATTAGCCCTATTTAAATTCAGAATACTTGCCTCGGATTTAACTATATCCCTCTCTAACTTAATTCAGAATTCAATCAAATTGTGATCACTCTGCCCTGGAGGATTCTTAATACCTACACTGCCAACTAGCCCTGTTTCGTTACACAAAACAAGGTCTAAGATGGCCTGTCCACTAGTTAGTTCCTCGGCATGCTGCTCTGGAAAGCTATCTCTCATACACTCAATGAACCCGTCTTCTGACCTACTTTTGCCAATTTGGTTTTCCCAATCTATGTGGAGATTGAAATCACCCACTATTATCGCTTTGATTTCTTGATTGATACCCTGTGCTATATTGTGATCGCTGTTTGGGGGTCTATAAACCACTCCCATTAATATTTTCTGTCCTTTATTATTTTTNATTTCCACCCATAATGTCTCGACCTTCTGGTCATCGGATTTCAGATCCTTCCTCTCCACTGCTTTTATTTCATCCCTAATTAACAGGGCTACCCCCCCATGAGATCCCTTAAAAATCGTATTTTAAACCGGTGATCCTGAAATAAAATAGCAGAGACCAAGATGTGTGTTGAATATGGGATCAATTTGCTAAAATCTTCCCTCGCCCCACTCGAGTTCCACAACCGTTGCTTAAGTAGTGGCAACTGTTTCAAAAAACTCGCACATGTATTCCTTACCAAAGAAATTGACAGTCAAATGCACCTGCAGACTAACTTTCGGTGATTGGTGTCCTTTTCAAAAAATTTGAAATCATTACACTTAAAATAAACTCAAGGCCTTTAACAAAGTGCAATAAATGTACATTGTTTTGTCCAAACAGACTGTTAACACAGCTTCACCCAAATACTAACTTGCAGAATATTATTTAAAAAGTTACTTAAGACTTGCACACTCTAATCACGTGTATTACTTATTTGCCTTGTATAATTGTACAATCTAATTTCATTTAAATGAACCACTTCAATTTTGTTACACTTACTCTGCACGATGAGAAGGAAGCTCTTCCTTTACGTCTTCTTTATCTCTGGGGTCCCTTAGAACGAAGTCCACTGAAATTATGAGAAATAGTAATTCAAATCTGGTAAATATGGAAATGATCCTATATACATAATGATATTGGCCTTTTAAGATTGTTGAACAATATAGAGCGTTAAAGTCGGAAGACAATCTCAAGCAGTAAATAGCTGAAATGTGTTCCAACTGCAAACAAAAGCATAAAAAGAAAAAAGGCCCATCAAGCTCAGATCTTTAAAAGGTTATATACTATTTGCATTATTATGGACAAGCCCTAATTTACATTATCAGGTAAATAAAGCGAATAATCATAAAATGGAACCTTTTGAAATTGTTCAGCCTCTTAAAAGATAAACAGTCTTAATTTCAGCCTATGCATCTAAAAATATATTATTCCCACCCACAAATTGCTTTCCACAAATCGCATACATGTGAACAAACAATATTTCCTTCTTCATACATAAAAAATAAGAGTTTAAAACATCAGATAATGAATTACAACCAACTATCTTATGTTGTTAATAATCTACTATGTATTTCCTATAATAATTTGAACAAGAACTTTGTAAACTGTTAATAGGTTTCAAAATATACCTATTGCCTTCTTTACACTAAGGATATAATCTTCTTTCATTTCATCTGAAAGTGACTCAATAGTTTCAGTGTATGTTTTGAGATGGGTTGGGACTAAAGTTAATACATCTTCCAACCAGCTGTCTTCCATAGGAGCCACATGTTCTGTATCTATTCCATGGTGAATGTAATAATAATAACGCTGCAAAATTAGAAAACAAGAGCGCATATTTAACAATGAATATCAGCAACAATTAGCTGATATGGTCTGCAAGAGTTTTCTTGGCACCGTTAAAAATAGAATATTAGCAATATCCATATTTATGAAGCCTGTGAAACGATCAAACCCAGTCCCTAGGAAACCAATGGTAGATGAATGAAAACCTGCTGAGGCAGGTCAAGAAAGTTGTGCTAATAAAAAGAGACATTTGTCTTTGAAATCTGGGACAAAAACAAATTCTACAACAAATTCTACAACTACACCACAAAAGGAGGGTTCAAATGTAAAAGGAATAGAGGGGTTCTCTATCAATCAAGACAAACAAGTATAAAAATGCGAGAGTATAAGAAATTCAACATTCGTTGAAATGACCAGGCAAATAACTTAGAGATATCTCATCCTGTAGAAGCGTTTACATTTCAGACAAAATTATCCATCAGATTCCTGTGGTAAATTTTCCACCACTTTTCATTAAAAATGAAATAATTTTCAACAACTTTTGGTAAGAAAATAGATAACAATCCTTTTTAATCAAAAATTAATATCATAGGCAGAAGCCCCGTTTTGTCTTACAAGGATGTCTTTCTCCACAGCTGAAGGAGCACCAGATGTTGAAGTGGTCTCAGTCTCGTCCAATGAAGGAAGCTGTCCAGCAGTGCAATCTTGTTGCCTATGATTAGACAATGAAAGATAAGAATAATTGGCAATATAGATCTTTTGGTACAACACACATCACCAAAGCAATCCTATGTAAAACTAAGAGAATTATATTTGGTGTATTACCTATATCCCCAATTCTCAGTGCTAAATATACAAATGTGTTGAATGTGTCAACAAGATAGGGGGATAAGCAAATCATACATAGATTTCTGACAATTTCGCTTGAATTAGCTACTAAAAAGCACATAGTAGAGTAACCTTCAACATTTTCTCCACATCCTCTCAATTCTCCAGTGAGCATCTGCTGAGCATCTCTCCAGTGGGATAGCTGAGATCAACAATTCTCCTTGTAAAGAAACTGCTACCTGTTGCAACATACTAAAACACTTTCACAGCAAAAATTACATATGACATAAATAATGCATGAATGGGCTATACACCTACATTATGATATTAACTAGAGTACTTCGGAAGTGTTCACGATCCTTTTTTGGGTGGGAAAAACTGCTTCGTCCTCCAGGAACATCAGAACTTGCCCATTCTGCTCCACCAGCAGAAATTCCAGATTCGGAAACTCGTTTACGTTTCTGTGTGGGTAATCCTTTTGGCAAACAAGAATTTGTAGAGTTAATTGCTTTCCAAATTTAAGAGTATAAACACTCTTGGAAAAGTCACTTCTGAAATACAGATCATGAGATAAAACTAGCAGCAAAATCAAATCTGGTTAGCAATATAGTGGTTAAAATCAACACATCTTCATAAATGACTACTTTAAATCAGCCTTCATTGGTTTAATTGCTGTTGGAAATGCAATGAATATAATGATAAAAGATTTTGGTTGGACGTATCAAAATATGACCAGTGCAAGACTATTTCCCCTGGTAGAATCTAGAACTAGGGGCCACAGTTTTAAAATTAAGGGTCAGCCCTGTCGAATAGAGTTGAGGATACACTTCTTCACTCAGAGGGTAGTGAATTTAAGGAATTCTCTACCCCAGAAAGCTGCAGATGCTCAGTCCTTGAAGATATTCAAGACTGAGATTGATAGGTTTCTAAAGGATAGAGGGATTAAGGGATATGGGAATATGGCAGGCAGATGGAGTTAGGTTAGAAGATCAGCCATGATCTTATTGAATGGCGGGGCAGGCTCGAGGGGCTGAATGGCCTACTCCTGCTCCCAGTTCCTATGAGCACCAGCGATTTTCCAGGTTAAAAGATCACTAAGTTGACCCAGAGTTTTGGTTGTCTTAGAGATAAATACATGATAAACAATAAATATTGTGCTATAAATATACTATAACTGCTTTTGTTCATTACTGATGTTTTCTGCATTCATTCACCTGCTGTGAGACAACCTTAGACTAAAAGTTTGGGCTACGGACTATCCATGCTTTGCTGCAGGCTATGCAAATGTAACTGCACATCTTTATTTCGGAATAGAATTTTTAATGCACTCAGGTTTACAATTTTATGGAAATCTAATCTAACCGTTTAGTTTGCAGTTTTAACTATACAATATTGATTGTTGAATTTATCTGCAGAAAATTGAAGATGACTGTCTACATAAATGTAGACAAATGTAATGATTTTTAATACACTTCATGAATAAAGCTCCTGCCCTCTGACTGGCCAAAACGTTTATCTTTCAGTCTGAAAAATTAGAAGGAAAGTAGAGTAAATGGTCACCACAGACTCAATTCCCATTTCTTACATGATAAAAAATTTTCCGTTGCTCCCATCTCCTGCAACCGTTTCTCCCTTCTACTTATCTTGTGAGAGAAAGCTCAGTTACGAGGGTGAAAAAATAAAATTTTTTTTGCTACCTGTCATCTGTGTATACCACCATAATATAAACTGGATGTTTTTGTGAATTAGCAAGAACAGGACTTAAAAGTATATTAGAATTTATATAAGCTGGCAATTTAATGGCCTTTAGTCAAGTGCATTCACAAGAAAACCAACAGAGATGATATCCACATGTTAAATAATACTTGTGAGACTGGTATTTTATTTATTGTGAAAGAATGTAGTTGCCATATTTCTGACACTTAAATCTCACTTGTTCCATCTGATTTGACACCAAGCACATTTGTTCCATTCTCATCCGTTTTATTTAGGAAGAATGCAGGAGAAGTTGTTTGCCACAATGGTTTGACCCGATTCTAAAATTATATAAAGAAATTCCATATCGTTAATTGCAGTGGTTGTTGAGAGTATGGTCTCAAATTAACACATTTTGTCAGGGAAACTATTTATCATTATGAATGCATATTGTTGTTTAGGAAGTTAATTTTAGACATATTAAACACAGCTGCAGCACAGATATTGATAAACTCTCTTTTCTTGCAATCTATATTAATCAGCAACAATACGTAGAGAAATAAGATTGGAAGTAAGTATAACAAAGAGAAATATCATTCACTGCATAAAATGAAAATGTGTGTCAGTTTATCGCAAGGGCTGATTTAATTGATCTTAGTGTTTTAATGAACACTAGAAATTATTATTTACAGCTGATTAAGCACTGCAGGTATCAGAACTAGTAACAATCATGCTGAGCCAGGATACAAGATAAATATTTCAATTTGCAACTCATAATGGGATTTTGGAGCAATAATGATAATAAACCAATCTCATCAAGTATATCAGATGGCATGATAATCTGTGAGAGAAGTTCAAAGCAGTTAGAAGCATTATCGGAACCTCACGTCTAAATTACATTTTGAATCATCCCAACCTATAATTTAGTTGCATTATTTTAAACATTATTGTATGTTTTCATTCCATTTGGCTTATTTTGTACTAGACGTCGTTCAATGAATGGATGTCAACACCGTTGTCATCCTCACATGATTGTATGTGGAGTCCTGTAACTCAGTGGTGAGAGCACTCGCCTTGCAAACGAGACACCTGGGTTCAATTCTAGGCAATGCGAAACCTTGGGCAAGTTTCCTTACTCCACACGCTTAATAATAATCCCTCCAAAACAATAATAAATTGTTCATTTTCAATCCACGACTGTTTGTGGGTCACTGATATGCGCAATTAATTGGCTGCCGCGTTTCACCCACAAATATACGGTCAATTCAATTTACAGCATATTCTGTGAAGCACTTTGAAACGTCTAGAAGACGTGAAAAGTGCTATATCAAATGCATGGATTATTATTATTATTATTATTCACCCTAAAAGATTAATATTGTGAGAACAAATAATAAAAGCTTATTGAGACGATCACAGTGCAGTCACATTTGATATCACAAGAGTTGGTGAGGTTATAAAAACCCAAACAAAACTGACACATTTCAAGAGGACTGACTTTGTGCACTTGAGAAATCTAGTCGGAGTGGGTCTGGCAGGTTTAAATATAGAAATGGGAGTGGAGGACCTATGGAGTTCCTTCAAGGAGGTGATTATGAAGGCGATGGAACAATGTGTACCCATGCAAAGCAAAGATACTAAGCTTAAAGGCACTCCTGCCTGTTTGGACGGGGCTACAAAGCAAATCAAGAAAAAGCATTTAACACAATGAAGGAAAATGGCACGGAAATAAGTCGGACTCAATACCAGAAGGCATGCCAGGACTGCAAAAAGGAATCAGAATGACACAAAAAAAGCTTTGAATTGAACATGGCAAGATATGTGAAGGATAATAATTTTTTTTTAGTTACATTAAATAATTCTTGCATTTGATATAGCGCTTTTTACGTCCTCTAGATGTCTCAAAGTGCTTCAGAGAATAGACTGTAAAGCAAATTGACTGTATATATGCGGGTGAAACATTAAGATTAAAAGAAAAACAAGCAATGGAATAGGGCCACTGAAGGTGGGTTCAGAAGACAACATGACAAATAATGCTGCACAGGCTGCACTAGTGCTAAATAATTTTTTTGCATCAGTCTTTACCAACGAGGAGACAGGTAACCTATCTGACCTGGAAAGAGAACTCAAGGATGTTGTAGAGAAAATTTGCAACACTATTCATATCACTACCAGCATGGTTGCCAAACATCTGTGTAAACGTAAGATATATATATCTTAGGGGGCCAGATAAATTGCATCTGAGGATCCTTAAAGAACTAAGGGAGGAAGTTGGAACAAATCTTTCAAAAATCACTGAATACTGGAGAGGTGCCGGGGGACTAGAGAAAGGCAGATGTTACTCTTATTTTTAAGAAAGGTAACAAGAGTGACCCAGGAAATTACAGGTCAATACGTTTGACGTCCGTTGTGGGTAAAATGATGGAGTCTCTTGTTAAGGATAAAATCATGGAGTATCTGGACTGAAATAAAATCATAAATTATAGCTAATTTGGGTTCATGAAGGGAAGGCCTTCCCAATCCAATTTACTGGTTTTCTTTGAGTGAGTGGCAAGAGAGCTTGATAAGGGTAAGGCTGTGGATGTTGTATATCTGGATTTCAGTAAGTCCTTTGATACAGTTCCTCTTGAGAGGCTGATACTGAAAGTAAAGAAAGCGGGAACCAGTGGAGGTATATTACAATGGATACACAATTGGTTGACCAGAAGGACCCAGAGGATGGTGGTACAGGGAATGTCATCAGACTGGAAAAATTTAACCAGGTGAGTTCCACAAGGGTTTGTTTTGGGACCTCTTTAGTTTAATATTTTTATAAATGATCTGGAACTAGGAGTCGCAAGCACAGTGGCTAAGTTTGCAGATGACACCAAGCTAATGAAGGTGGTAAATTGCAAAGCTGGACAAGATAGGTTACAGGAGGATTTGAACATACTTGGGAATTGGGCAGATCGGTGACAGGTGAAATTCAATGTGGAAAAATGTAAAGTACTTCACATGGGGTCAAAAAATCCTGGGAGGGACTTTTATTTGAACGGAAGGAAAATAATATGTATGGAAAATGAAAAGGACCTGGGGTCCTTTTCGAACACAGATTATGTCGTTTTCTTTTAGGAAATAACATTATGGGATATAGAACATAGATAGTTCAGGACATATGTGCGTGCAACCGCCAGGAAGGTGGAAGGCGAACTAGATGGACCTTGGTCTTTTTTCGTCTAGCATTTCTTATGTTCTTATGAATTAACCTATATCTGAGTAGTATGGCAGTTTATATTTGATACATATTATTTTGTCTGATCCTATGCTTCTAGGTTTTCTACAGGTACTTACCAGAGCCAACTGTGGTAAAAATGTAGCAGCACTGGTAGCTAGTCTTCCTTTGGTCTGTAAAAAAAAACACAAAACAATAACAAGATATTGTCACCAAGTATTGTAACTTTCATGAAGTTTCATGTACTACACACTTTCAAAACAAGAAAATCTGAAGCACTTTCACAAAATAAAATTAGAAATGAAGTGAATACAAATTATATATTTGCCAAATGTCAAATATAAATAATCGACAATGTTTGCAGTATTTGATCGTGCCAGAAGAAAAAGTTCAGTATTGTGCAGAATCATTACAATGGCATAAAAGTTACCCAAATTCCACAATAAATAGTATAATAAAATAATAATCCTTGCATTTGATATAGCGTTTTTCATGTCTTCTAGACATAAAGCTCATAATAGTAAT